AAACAAATAAAGTTTGATTTGATTTTGATTTGAATTTGATGAAATTAATTGTAATGGTCATCACTAGACATCGGATTATATGCACTATCAAAATGCCAAAATATGCGCTAAAAAGGGGCGAAATATGCTCAAAATATACACAATTAAAAAATATTTATTATTGGAATTTAAGTTTATTTTCACATTATATATATATATATTAAACATATAGGTACACGCCGCCCACTGCGAGCCAATATATCGTATTCAGTAGACATGGAAATTATTGCTACTCATAAATCATATTGATTTGATAAAATGATTGATTTTAGTCACAGCGATTTCACATGTGATTATTATTTCGTCGTAGACAAATATAATGGGTATTATTTTTTAGATTTAGACACCACAATTTGCTAAGATAGAACTGTTCTTAGCTAGTTGAGTAATTCTTTATGCCACTGAACTTCGCATTTTTAATGAGCTTTCTAAAACGCATCTCCAATGTTGTGTGTGCTTCCTGTATCATCATAATCATCGCCTCTATTGAGTTGACTGGTGTTCGTAGACTTCTGATCACTTACTGGCTGGCTTTTGAAACGAGAAACATCTGTAGGTCAGAGGGTTAAATGCAGCATAATACTTATAGCTGAAAATGTATAATTTATTATTATACATTTTTAGCTATAATATATTATTATTATTACACCTAATTTATTTAGAATTTTATCGAAACCATACAATTACATCGTTGTACATGTGTTTGCTTTAATAGAATGTAAACTGTCTATGGGATACATTAACCAAGCAGGTAAACGCGCTAGACCCCACATTATAAAGTAGACATAAATAAGACATCCGTTTCACACACCCATCCGTGTAAGGTGCGCTGCGTCAGTACCTGGTGCTTCACAATGTGCGTGACTCATTGTGGACATCTGTCGGTTGATATGAGGGTTTCTTGTTATGCTGGCTGTTGTGCGAGCAATGTTTGATTATTCGACATGCAAATATGTGTTTTATTAAAATAAAATACTACGAAATCCACTCCATGACAAATATAACGCGCTATTAAAATTGTTTGATACCAGTTTCTCTACTTCTCGAGTACCAAAGTTGAGAAGTCATAATATAGTATAATCAATATGTGAAAATCAAGCAGTTGTACACATTTCCCATTTCATTCTATAGATTAGTCATGTAATTAGAAATTCTGGGCCACAACACACACAAATCTTACTGCTTTACTGTTTAACCATTATTTAAACTTCAAAAGAAGATCAGAGACTTCAGAGATGCTTTATCGAGGAAACAAATTCGCTGATGTTTGTAAATTAAAGTCAGGATATCTGTAATTAAATTGCATATTAAATGATTGCAAATTGTACATCTCGTAAAATACAAATACGCTCAAACGTATTTTAACGAAACCACGTTTTGGATAAATCTAGTTAATACCTTCAATGACTTATTCAATTTAAATAAAAGTTTTTTTTCTAAATTAGAGATTAGGTAGGTAAAATAGTGGTGCTTAAATTTAACCGAGATATTAAATACTTATTGGCTCTAGAAATTTAGTTAGTTGATGTTTTTAGTTAATTGTTAATGTTTAAAGCGAGTGAACCTTATGTTCTAAGTTTAGAGTTGAAATATGATTTAAAAAAAAATGCAGGTTAATTATTTAATGCAGGTTATAAAAAAATTCGTTTGCCCACTCTGAATCACACAATATACTTGTGTAAGTATAACCGTACACCAGTAACTTAAGGTGAAACCGGTTCCATAAACTCAAGTTTCATACTGATCTTAATATGTCCAAATTGTCGTGAGTTTGAAGCATATAGTTTATTCGTTAAGTATGACTTTCATATCCCAAAGTTTAAAATTACTTTTTTAATGAGTTTGTGAGTGAGATGTGAAAGACTGTGATAATGTGTAGCAATTTACTAAGTAAAATGTCAAGGAAAGTTCTAACACGTATAAAGACATGCAAATGTTTTATTTTATTTTATTTTGTAAATGAAACCTTCACTAATCGCAATTTACATGGTGCAGTTTTGATTCTTCAGCAAATGAATGGATCTCTCTCTCTCTCTCTCTCTCTCGCTCGCTCTCTGTGCCAGATTGTTTCCTCACTTAAAATTTTACCTAATTTTTTGTTTGGCAAGAAATTGTTTACATATTTTTACTACTCAGATATAGCATATTTTTCACTAACATGATCGAAGTTTACTAGTTAATTGATCAAAATCACTAACAATTTCACATTTTAATAGAATGTGATCCAAGAGAAGTAATAGGTTGTCTCTAGAGCATACTAAAGTAGAGATACAAATAAGCTTATTTGCGTAACTTCAAGTTTCGTGTAGCGAATTTAATTAAAATGCAATAAAAAAGATTTCTTGTAAACAATCTTGATCACAAATATGTAAAACCTACCTACCGGTGCCATTGGCATGGTGTAAAGAAATTTGGCAACCAAACATTGGCAAAGTTTATTACATTGTTTTAGTTGAATTAGATTTAGGTGTCAGATTTCGCTTCTGGTTTTTTGCCCCCGCGACAGTAAAATAATCCATAAAAAACCTGATCCTGAACTGGGTTAAACAGCTAAAAGTTCCTTTAGTCTAGATTTATCAAAATAATAAACTCTTAGTCTGTTGTATATTTATTACCTGCGACTGTCATTTCTACCCTTATAAGTTTACACTCATGTTTGCATGTAAACATGAACTCTGGGGTTAGATTTCTTGTTAAATAGATTATTATCGAGTTTTACACTAGGAAATCTCCGATTGCAGCATTAGCTCGATGGGGCCTATAATTTTTTTGCTGCCAAATGTGTTCCTTATTTTTCGAAAACCTATACTTCGTTCATGCAAAGTTACATATAGCCTTTAAAACTGATTTGTGACTGGTTGACTGTCATCAGTTAACCGGTCAAAAATCAGTTTTGTGTGAAGACAAAATTATAGTAAAAACAAATAGTCAAATTTAGTGTGTTCCTGGAGTTCTTCGGCTCGGAGCATGCTGCGGATCTACGATCATTACCGCGAAAACGAAACATTAGTGGTACAAAAAAAAAACAATAAATTCGATGTACACATTTTAATAGTAAGTGTAATGTTGTTTCTATGCTAATTTTTGCTTGTAACTGATAAACAGCAACAGTAACGTTACATGGTATTTATAGCGTGCTACAAATAGCACTCCTTGTTCGCGTTCTATTTATTTATGAGTTTTTTATTATTGTTCCCATAATCATGTATATTTTTTATAAAGTTAATATAAATTGAATCAAGATGGACCTACTTTTAAATGAGTTTTTAAATGAAGAATAACGCCATTTTAAATAAAAACCGCCATGGTATTTCTTGTAATTTCTAAATATACGTATAATAGTAGTAGTGAAATAATGCGTCTCTGTGTTAGATATCATTTTATCTTATCTTTAAATAACTACTGCTAATTGTTCTCGGTTATCTTCTATTGTTTACTGAAGAAGATTGTACGACCTATGTACAATGTGTCCACGGTTCTATTATCATAATAATATGCATGGCAATGAATACTGACAACGTACAGCATTACATTATTATGCTATAGAATCAGCGTGGGTGACACCATAAGACCTTGCGGACGCCAATCGTGTACAATTGCATAAAAGCTTTTCGACTCCAGTAAAATTTTACCTGCTTCGAACCCGAATAAAAATGGGATATTTATTTTAAATTTAGCAGACCGACGAACGGACGAACGATGGTAATAATAACTTGTTAAATCAATGTCAAGGATAGCAGATAACAATTTGACTTATTACATAAATTATAAAGTAATGCTTAACGTGTCCTTAACCTACATATATTATAAATAGACAAATTGATCAATCGCTTGCACGTGTATTCGCTCCTCAGCGCCCATGTATCGGTCGGTAATTAAATCTTCCCATACAATCCACGCGTTCAGTCGCAGGGTGACTGACCCATGCGGCATAGCTATTCGCGAACGGATATCGAGCGGTCACATAATTTATTGTTGTTTCATACGAATAACGGCTACAGTTTAGATATTTTAAAACTTCCATAGTCAATAATATTTTACATGCACATGAAGGTATATTGGCTTAAAAGTTATATTCGTTGACTTTTTAAGCAATCTGAAAGTTAGTGTGTGGTTGCAGAAAGCGAAAGGGAGTTTCGAAACATATTTCTTTAACTTCATACTTTGACAGACGTGAATAGAAAACAATAAAACAACAAAGCATTTATGTTTATTTAGTATGTATAACTAGTAGTTATCTTTTGCTTTTAGCATTTTGAACCGAATTAAAAAAAGAAGGAGGTTCTCAATTCGTCGGAATCTTTTTTTTATTAAAATAGCAATCTCCTGATATGGCAGTGGCTATAACGTAACGCACGCTAAGTGATTAGGAAAGTAAAGTATTTGCAAACCACTAAATTCTGTTTATCAATACTTAATAAACCATGTCTTTGCAATAGATAATATTCATAAAAATCAATATGATAGCTTACAATCGTGACTAATTAAATAGTAACTCATTCTCATTATACATCCCGCGATCATTGATATTCATAATCATTATTCTGTACATAGAACTGTGATTCTTGGAAAAGCTTATAATAAACGCCTGCCAATGTGATATTAGACTGGTCACAAATTATATAAGTCGTGTAACATTTAAAGCTAGGTTAGATCAGAAAAATATAAAAAAAATGTTGGAAAACTAGCATCGCAGCATAAACTGTTTTTGCATGTGTTATTATTGTATCAACTAATACTTAAAGTGTCGTATATGTATACGGTAAAGGTAATATTATGTTAAAGGACGCAAATACCAATACTTGAGCAATATACATTACAATTTCTTTTAAAGCTAACTCAAAACCTGAAATAGAGTCAGTAGTGCAACCATACATAAAAAGATAACCAACATCTACAGATCTGTATGTACATCATCAATCGCACAGGATCGAAATCATTTTATTTTTCTTTGTTTATAGGCCCGGGCAGACGGATCACGGGCACGGCGGCGGCGCGCTGGCGTACGGTGGCAAGCCAGCGGGGGCTGTGGTGGCGCCGCCGCAGCCCCGGCCGCCAGCCGCGCCCTATGCGCCCCAACCCTACGCTCCTGCACAGCTGCGTCTGCACCAACCTGGTTATGGATCTGCTGCATTATCATACAGGTGTGATTTCAAATCATTATCATCATCATCATCATCAACAGCCTTTAAGAGTCCACTGAGGCACGGCCTCTCTTTAGAAAGGAGGTTTTGGCCTATTATAGGGCACAAACCCATACGAAGTGACCGGTGACGTAGTTGGGGAGGAGGTAAAAATGGGTCACGTAGTATGGGCATGTTCCCATTCCACGCTGGCCAGACGGGTTGGCATAGGGTTTGTGTCAAGTTTTCCTTCTCTTTGCGGTGCTGTTGTCCTGCGTAGTTTGCACCCTCAGTCGGTTCTTACGACGATTTCAAATATATGTTTCAAAAATACCAAACAGAGTATCAGCAAAAAGTAACCGATTTAATTTGATCCCGTGTTTATAAACTTTAGCAATGTGTTTTCAAGCTACATAGAACTAGGAACGAAAGTCAGAGATATTCGCAAGTATCTCCGCAATGAAAGAGGGCATTATATTTAAATCTCTGAAAACTTTAAAGTAGTTTTACATTTTCATCCCTTCAAACCCTAAGCGTCTTTGCTTCTCGATGTTATTATTCCAGAAATTATCACTTGCACAACGTTGACTAAATACTGAGTTTCTTCTATAGTGTTCGCGAAGGTATCTTTTGTCTTTTAAGAGTCATTAATAGAGTTATTATTGTTTGAACTATTGTATCAAATAACAAACCTATAATATATATATAACCTTTTCCAAAAAAATTAAAAAATTAAAAATTAAACTGTTTGTTTCCATTACCATTACTAGAAAGTTATATCTGCTAAAATAAAAAATAGGCTACTTTTTCGATTTTATTGGTGATTTTTTTTTAATCCATTCAGTAATTTATAATTACCCTTGTGATTATTGTCTACATACATTAATAAACAATTAGAAACTCAAAAGCTTAACTACTTTAATTTTTTTGTCTTAATGTTAATTTAAAAAGTCATAACCAGACACGAAATGAGCATTATGGGCTTGACTTTTATTAGGAGTCTTGGAATTCGCAATGTTTTAGAAGTTAATGGTAATGCCCCTGGGCCTAGGGGAATTACGTAATATTTAGTATATGAGCAGTTCTAAACAAAAAAACACATCGAATTATTCATCAACGTAGATAATGAAACCTTTTTTTATTATGGTTCAAATTAATATTAATTAATTGTTTGTAGTTGAACGATTTTTAATCTACAAAATTTCTTTGTTGTTTAGACTTTCATACTTCCATTACTTGTTTGCTAGTATTCTCAGCAAACGATCTGAATGCTGCCAAACATGACCACGGCAGCTCAATAGCTGCAGACTTGTTTATAGCAGCGACGCAGTTTCGTGTTCCTTTTGGCAAACACTAGCGCCACTTCTGTAGGATTACTGAAGTAGGTTATCTTATGAATGTTGCGTCATTCATTACACTCGAAATATCTAAAGTGCTCTTGAATAATATATTTGTCATTGTCATTGACTGCCTGTAAAGGCGTGAAAGGTGTTATTTATAGTCGTAGGTCGCGTCTAAGGTAATTCAGTGTATCTGAGTTTTGTTTTTGATTCATTTAAATTTTATCACATAACTTTATATAAGGTTACTAGCACAAAGTCCGGTAAGATTGTGATAATTTTTATCGTAATACATATTTATGTGATCGATTTAGGTACTAATCACGGATAAACCATAGCTTGCACGTCTGTTTAGCATACTGAACCACATTTAAGTTATGTATTACTAGCTGACCCGAGGAACTTCGTCTACTTCTCTCAAAAGGAATAAATTTGCCCGTTTTCGCAACATTTTACATTGAAACTCGGTCGGCTCCAATAGGACTTAGGCTCGTAGCATAATGATTATAGCTCATATCCTTCCTTAATAAAAGGGCTATCTAACACTAAAATAATTCTTCAATTCGAACCAGTAGTTCCTGAGATTACCCCTAACCTACAAACTTACAGACTTTAACTCTTTATAATATTAGTATAGAAAATATTTAAATCCAAAATAGATGCTAACGAATTAAAGTAGTTTTATACAGCTACATCTATGTTACTTTAGATTTAGTATGTATATTTTTCTGGACTCCTGACAATGTATGACAACTTTTTGCAGACAGGGTTTGCAGTCTACAATCAATACAATTTATAAAAACGGAAATTCAATGGAACATTGAGATAATTTAATCTCATCATCAGCCTATCGCAGTCCACTGATGGACATAGGCCTCTCCCATTTTGGGCTTCTCGCATCCAGCTTCTGCCAGCGAAATCAAATCGTCACTCCACCTGGCCTGTGGCCTGGCCCGCGTCTCGGCAAACGTAGGACGCCCGTCTCCACTCAGAACTCGTTTTCCCCAACGGTTATCGGTTATGTGGCTAATATGGACAGCCCACTGCTACTTCAGCTTGCTAATCCTGTAGTCTATGTTGGTGAACTTGGTTATCTGCCGGATCATCTCATTCCTGATATCGCATCAGGAATGAGATGATCCGGCAGATAACCAAGTTCACCTCACACTTAGAGAAATGCCGAGCATAGCCATTGCGTTTCAGCTCCGTATGTCATGACGGGTAGGACGCACTCATTGAAGACTTTCATCTTAAGGCACTGTGAGATCGACGATGAGAGACTCGACGTAGCTTCCCAAATGCTGCCCAACCCAACTGAATTCTTCTATTCACCTCGTCTTCGAAGTTGTTTCTACATTGTTGTACAGTTGTTGTACATGTTCATTGAACATGACCTTGGTTTTATCCAGGTTCATCCGTAGGCCGATGCGTACAGAAGAGTCAGCTAGGTCATTCAGAATCTGCACTTTAAGCTATTTTATGCTATAGCATGTTACGAATGTATAAGAAATATAACTTCTTAAATGGATCTTTTCCCATCGCTACTGACACTAATTTGGCTAGGAGGTGGAGACTATTCAATTTGAACCAGTGCGTTCAACTCATTAGCATCATCTTCTGAATCACCTTCAAACTTGTTAGTACATTTAGATATCTCTAATCTTTGAGACTTATTAGATATTACTTTTTACTGCTAGGGTTTAACAGCATATGCTTATGTGTGTTAAAATTATTTTTTCCAACTTTGTAAAAATCTGGAATAATATAAATAATTGTCAAATATATTTATATAGGTCCGTGTATTTGGAGTTAAGTTTATGAAGAAATAGCACTTCTTCTTGCTTAATTTATTGTGCAGCAACTTGTCCTTTGTTAATGCAACTCATTATTGTAAGCAACAACTAGTACATTCTTTCTGCAGACAACATCTGGTCTGTCGTCCTTCAAAGTGTCCCTATTTATGTATATATTTTGTTGTTAAACTTTTGGAATTCATACACTCTTTGTGATTTAAGGAACACGCTAGGGGTTCCATTGTAGTACAGCCCGGCTGTGGTCTGGTTTAACGTAAATTATGCTTTAAGAATATATTTTTTTGTAACTATAATTATAAATATACATATAAGCACATACGTTGTGATTGTTACCAAGTGAGATGGCCTACGTGACGACAGATATGAAACCTATAGTAACTGAGTAGGTTGTACCTATTTTGCGTTTATAATGCTATTATGTTACCTTTACGCAGATTATTCTTGATTTCCGACAAAACAATGTGAACCGACTACATTGCGTCGAGATAAGGAACAACGAAACAACACTATTGTTACGACTTAGGGCTGTGAAAAATACATACACATAAATAATAAAATAAATAATAGAAAATTGAAGAGATGATTTTAAAGGGATGGAACAGAAACTACAAATAGAATTTGAAAACTTTTAATTAATAAAAATGTAACTAGTGATGATCTTATAGTCAGCATGCTTTTTTACATCCATCAATCTTAACCTAAAAAACTTAAAGGCATAAAGACCTACCACTACTAAAAGAACGTTTCTGTTTGTAAAGTTCTTTTATGTAGTAATCCCACACATCTAAATTTACAGTAGGTACCTAGTTACTTCAAATTACTTGTGCGTTACGTTTAAAATCTCATTCTACTTGGTCTACTTAAAAAAAAACTACCCACCTACTTGATCTTTGTCTATTGCGAACCTTGATGTTTCCTTGGCTCTTGATATCTCCATGTTATAAGATCCTCGCGAAATTTGTACGTAAAACATTTAAGAAGCACTTTCTCCTCTGTTTGTGAACAGGTTTTCTTTATTTTTGTTTTATCCTATGTTCAGCTTTAACAGGGTTTTATTGTTATAAAAATGTATGGTTTCTGATGTACCATGTTCGAATGTGTAATAATGACAAAATTGTTTAAACCATTCATTTCAAAAATGCTTATTGTCGTTCGACCACTGTAAGATCACTAGTTGTGATAAAATTACAAAAACATCTTAATGTTTTTGCGTTAGGTACATACATTTTTTCCTCTTCTATTTGCAAAAAATAACTATGACGTCATTCATGATTTATGATCAGCGTTTCGCGATGTTAAATGTTCTTGTAATTATTATACATACAAGTCATTTAAATTCTAAAGAGTTTTTTCAGATAAAATATTGTTTTAATGTAGTACCTAACGTAAAGTAAAAACTATATAGACCATAGACTCAGATTTAATTAATGTTTGCATTAACTATTCTATGAAAATGAAAGCTTGAAATATTCAAGATCAAGTAGTCTTAAGATGTTCAGAGACATGCGATATATACAACATGTGTTTTATCTATATTTTTGACACGTGAAGCTTGAAATGCCTTGCTTGATACCATACTTTCTCTAAGCTAGCGCTTCGGAGCGATGAATCATAGACATTATACCTACCTACTGAGTATCGCTGTTTTTAACACCGACAATAAAATGCGAGCGTGGGGCGTGAGGATAATAAAACTTAAAATCTAGGAACTTCTTTAAATATTCTGTTTCTACGCATTATCGTATAACAAACACTCTTAATAAAGTATCTTAATTTTATTAAGTTAAGAATATCTTGTTTTTTACACGTCAGGCATAGATTGTATTTCTTACACACCTTTATTGAACTTGATTAATTTTAATGTTGAACAACTGGCATCCCTGCTACGTATGTGACGCGGGATATGTAATAATGCCCGTCTACGAACGACAATACCCGCCATGGGAAACGATTACAGTCTTTTTGCACAATACACTGGTTAATTGAGATTTCTTTGATCAGCGGCAAAGGAAAGTAACCTCTATTTAAGCGGTATTTGTAACATTATTCATCACATGAAAGCAAATGATTTCACTGTGCGAATAATTAAGATTGTGATATCATTTGTTTTAATTAAAAACTGGTTTTATAATTCCTAGAAATATTTTAGAAGATACAAATATAAACATATTAAAACTGTTTTTGAGCTCGGTTTCACAAATTACACAGCTATAGAAATTGAATGGTGGCAGGTCTTTAATGCTTATTTAAAGCGTAGACGCAGTTAAAAATACCGAATATTACTAGGTTTTTTATTGCTTCATCTACGATAAGTAATAGATTATCCTAAAAGAAAGTAGCTCTGTATCTAAGGAATACACAGTGTCAGATTGCTGCCCTTAACTCTACGAAGTTACTAGTTATTAGAAACATGCATACTTCCGTAGATACAAGCAATGCTATATAAACCAATTTTAATTTCAATTTCTATAATAGTACGTCATTCCACAAGTATGTAAGTTTGCGATTTTGGGCGTATTCAAAACTTGTCTTGTCGTAAACTGTGTGCAGCAAATGCAACTTAGGTTATAAACGCCATGCTTGAAGGAAGCTAAAAGTAGGAGTATAAATCTAGCATAGTAGACAATATTCACATGGTTATTTTGCCATTTTTTGATATCTAAAACAAACGTATGTACGTATGTTGTAGGTACTTAACTGAAAAATGTTTTCATCTGAATTTTATATTTAATCACAGCGCCACATGTCTGACTCAAATGACCGAAGAAAGGCCAAGCCAGGCAGAGAAAATGTAGCAAAGCAAGCAAATTATGTAGCAATAGACATTCACAAAGTGGAATCAAGTATTATCAGTTTTGAGTTATTTTTTGGTTAAAATTTACTAGTACCAGTACTAGTATTTAATAACCACAAATATGCTAAACTCAATAAAAACATGTGCAATAATGAATCAGTTCCACTCCTGCAGATTGTTATTTTTTAAAGCGTAACTATAAAAATAACAACACGCGATGTATGCCAATCATTCCCCAAATAATTTAATACAATTATAAATACGTGTTTCGACTTGCTTTGCACGATTTCACAATAGTTTTAGCAATTTATCGTTGTTCTACCTGCCATATAAACTATAACAATTCAATAACAGATTAGATAGGTACTCCATTTGGTGTAACATGAACATTATCACTTGTACGTATGTAGGGTTTTTCTAATAAACATCCATCATTCACGAATGGCCGCTACTTATAGTTGTCCGCCATTTCAGGTTGCCATGTTTTCATTTAGACTAAACACGCTGCCACGTTGTAAGAAGACTTATTTTATCTCATATGAGCATTACCCGCTCACAAGCGCAGCTAATGAACCTGTTTTCCTGAACGTGATATTATCAGTAGCAAATCACCTCTGTAAAAGTAGAAATTTCATAAGCAAATAACTTTTAACCATGAACATGACATCCTGGCAGAACGCAATCACATCCTATGATAAAAAGTAAGCTAAGGTTGTAGACAGAATGCATGACGTAACCGCGGCATGGCGATACGCGACAATACGGCCGCGTCTGCATTTAGCGCGCCACGTTGGCCACCACGTGGAGCGGCCGCGAGCGGAATAATAATAAAAAATAAACATTCTTCTACGCGCCAACAGGGCTGCCAACACTGCAGTTAAATGTCAGTATGTAACACAGATAATCGAAATTAGGAATAGCTGTAGCTTTTGTAATAATTACTACCGTAAATAATATAACAGTTTGTATATTATGATAATATTCATCGTGTGTATTTAACGTGAATTATAGTAAAAAAATATTGAATGAAATTATTTACGTACTTACATGAGTCTCTTAGCTACTTACGTGATTATTTGTTTAATGTATTTACTCATTTAGGACAAGATAGGAGTAGAGTAGGATTGACATTAAGAATAACGATTCTGAGAGGCATTTCACAAGTTTAACTATTTTAGTAAGTTGCTACTTAAATAATATCTGCTATAGGTATTACCTACTGCATATTAACTATTTTATCATCTGCTTTGTTATTTTAGCGTGGCGGCCCTATGCCAGAGTACCCCCTCCCTCCCTCCAGGAGTTTAACCTTGACCTTTCCTTCACCGCGGCATGCGATCAACCGCGGATTACTAACAATACCTACACATTATTTTTAAAGCCAGACATATTTTATTACGTCATCTGTATAACGTTTGGTGAAAGTTTAAGCCATAGAAATTGATTAAATATTTAATTTTACTAGGTACGATGTTTGCTGAAGTGGGCAAGGGTTAGGTGAGATTAGGTGACATTGACATGGATGGTACAATTGTCAACTTTCAGAAAAATGTTTTATAATGTGTAGGACCTTAATAGGTACCTACGTACGTAGATATATTTAAGGATGCTAGTTTCTTTAAATTTTTGTCTAAGAGTAAAGAGTATCTATCAAGAAGACATACCTATGTATAGTATAGGTATATATTGAGCTCTTGTTTCTTATTAATTTAAACACTTGTGTGGTAGTTGGCAGTGTAGTGTAAAATAACAGAATTCTTTCCACGTTGTGGCTGTTTTATGTAAGCATGGCAAGCCAACATAGCCCGTTCGTGGCAATGATAGATGTTTTACTAGATAAAAAACTAAAAAGCTACAAAGATAGATTTTGTATATTATTTACTCTTTAATGAAATACATAATGACTATAAGAAATGTGAAATCAGCTATCTATCTTTTGACGCCTGAGGGCCTAGTGCAAGTTTATTTCACCTCAACTCACTTCCGGCTTGCGATTGGCCAAGATTTCAGTGCGGGCCAATTGCAGCGCTGAATGCGGTCACCGTGACGATCGAGTTGATACGAATAAACTCACACTAGGACCTCAGTGTGCACCAATCGCAGCGCCGAACTCGGCCACCGTGACGATCGAGTAGAAGTTAAATAAACTTACGCTAGGGCATGTAATCTATTTTACGCAGTTAGTTTTTTTGATAAAAACAAAAACAATTAAATAAAAGAAATGAGAGTTGAAAGCTTAGTTTGAATTTTATTTTAAGCTATACTTCTGTTTTTTTTCGAAACTCAACATGAATATGGAAAAATATACATAATTAATAGATAATTTTGAAATATTATGTATTCATAAAGAATTGATAAAATATATTTTTTAATGGTTTTGTAAATATATAAATATTCATTAGATGTACCTTATATTTATAAACGCATAATGGCACATAATATATCTAGACGAGGAACTGCCGTCATCTCGTTAAATTATAATAACAATACGTTATACCTACTTCGTATGAGTTGTTCTTGGTTTTTTCGGTAACATGTTGGTTGTGCTGGAACAAGACGACGGTGGAGACGCTGTTGCCTCAACGGTTACACTTTAACACCAGTATACTAAGTAGCTATAATATATTTTTTCCTTTTCTCACTTATGGCTGTCTTTGAATTGATCTTTGATACCATTCTATAAAAAATAACAACTCATAATGACAACGTCAAAATATAGATACGACAACAAAATGATATTATTTTCAATTATTTAGCTATAAAAATTCAGTGAAATGTTTTTAAATTACGATCACTCTTTACCTAAACGTATAATTCCTGTTATGGTTTCGCTCAAAATCATGACACGTAGTCCCTAATGGCAAGGGATTGAATTTCAATTTATGCGCATTTTGTTGCTAGTTGTATGTGAGTAAAATTAATACGCAGTGTCGTAGTATGATGCATTTGATTTCATAAAAGTATGTAAAAACCAGACAAGTTTGCAGTGCTGTCAATGAGCAAGTCGCGCGATATATGTAGCTTTTTCGTAAAAAAAATCAACAAAAATGTAATGTACCCATTACATGTCTTAATTTGTTTTGCAATTACTCTGTACTAAAATAAATGACTAATTTAATTAAGAAACTAAAATATTCAAAGAAACTTAATTCCATAATTTAACAAACCAAGTTTTTCCTTACTTAAAACTTAATTGACCTTTTGTGAAGTTACAAAGAGAATAGAGATATTGCTTTTATGAAACTTTTATGGCAGAGAATGCCATATACTTCGAAAATATACTTGTGATTAATTCTTTGTGGGTGTTATTTATGTATCAGAAAGTGTTGAACGTTTCGACCGTACCTACTCCGGATGTAAGTTCTTCCGCGGTATAGCTACGAGCGGAGGAAGCTAGTTTAGACGTTTTAAAAATTATTTTAACGATTGGTCTTATATTTTGGAACCACATTAAAGAACGAGTTTAAACTCTCGTCATACCAATCAAACTTAATTATGTTTCTAGACACAAATCTGATGTTTCCTTTCGCCAATCCTAACTGCAGTTCAATGTTGTGCAATTTAGTTCATGTCATGCCGATGACATATAAGACTTTAATCCCGTCTCAAGGAGCCAAACAGTCTGCCAATCTTTGGCCTTTAAACATATGACAAAATGTGCCTTAATCTGTAACACAATAGAATAAAAATATAATGTAGTGTACAACCAATATTTACTCGGTATGTTCGCAAGATTCCAACTCTCTCGGAAGTCCAACTTTTATAATAAGATATTAATATACTCAGATGTTATTTCAATTCAACATTTGTTAATAGTCTTGGGAAACATGACATCCTCTTAACTCTGCCTTTTTGTACGTTTCAGGGACAGTAGTTACGTGCGCGGTGGCGGCGCCGTTGGAGGCGTGGGCGTCGGTGCGGTGGGCGCGGGTACAGCCGGCGAATACCGCGGTGGCGGCGCCCGCGTCTCACTGCTTGGCGGCGCATATCTACCGGCCCCCGCACCCGCCACACACCACCCGCCCCCCGCAGATCCACCTCCCTTCAAGAAGATACGGCTTACTGCGGATAGGACGCCGATGTCACACCACCAACCGCTTAGGGTTGATACTAGGGTTAGTATATTACAACATACGAAGATAACAAATATCACACATACTTCGCATTGGATTCGATGTGATAAGGATAGCTACTACCTACATTGTTTTGCTAGGTGTAGCCAACGCTATTTTGTACGTAAAAGGCCGTGTGTAGCTACTTTATTTACGTCTGATGTTAGGAATAGATAGTGTTCTCAAACTTGACACTATCATTAATACGTCTGCCTCATTGGTAAATTTCAGAAAGCTTAGTGAGTTGTAAACAACCTAATTCAAAGGTGGGTAATTGTTTTTAACACGGTTTGAGAAAAGACTGTATTGACTTGTTTTTAAAATCTACCCAATTAAGCTCATAATCAAATCATAAAAATTTTACCCACCTTTGAATTAGGTTGTTTACAACAACCTAATTCAAAGGTGGGTAATTTTTTTTTAACACGGTTTGAGTAGACTGTATTGACTTGTTTTTAAAATCTACCCAATTAAGCTCATAATTGATATTTGACTATACACCTATTATATATATATATATATATATATATATATATATATATAGATACCATTTTTCATAAAATAATTTGTTTCGTTACGTTCCAGGAGCCGGTGAACGCGTACAACACGGTTGAAGTCCTATCTCCAAACCCGCCTTCAGAACCGACCATCGAGGACCAGAATTTCAGAACTACTAAGGATGATTTATTACAACAAATATCCAAGGTACAAGCCTCAAATATAATGTTGGACATAACTTCTAAGCCGACTGGATTTTTTTTAATTATAGATTTCCGTATTGGCGCCTAATGTTGGGCAGCCACAATGACCGATATGGTTCTTGTAAATATAAGTATGTTAAAGTGGCTCTTATTTTATTCTTTAAGAAGTGAAATCATCCACGACGACTAAACTGTGTGGCAGAAAGCCAAAGGATAAAGACAACGAAGAGATACTGTTTCTTGGCAATTGTTTAGAATAAGCAGCGAAGATGATGGTCATCAGTCGTGAAAGGAAGCTGATGAATGTTTTGGATTAATACGTAATGAAAAAAAGAACATAATACATACATGCGTTTACCGCCAGCAAATTTAGTCTCTTATAAGATCTAGTAAAAAATAAAGTATCATACGCTGCTTGAGAACACCACATTTCTTATACCTTTAAACTGCTTAAATTAAATTTAGGACAGTTGTTTTAGTATAAGTAACAAAATTCTTTATCACTTATTAGAATCTTTAAAGATAAACGATAAAGAATGAGTGAAAACTGAATGTTTCTTTTCCCATTCACAGGTGGACCGCGAAATGGCGTTATCAGAATCTACTCTCACAAACCTAAAGAAGAAACAAGAAGAACTTGAACAGACAGCGTCCAAGCCAGCCCGAGCTGAGGAACCCGAGGAGGTTACACCAAGGCATAGAAGCCTTGCGCAGTGCATCTATGCTGAAAATAGAAAAAAGGTTCATATTATAAATCTGTACTTGTATTCTAATGTACCGTCTTATAATATTTATATGAGTCAATATACTCTTTGCAGACGTAGAATATATCATTTGTTGAGTTTTTCGTCTGAAAACAGATAAATAAAGGGAGTAAAGCACTCCTCGAGATTGAATAGGCTTTGAGCTTTACTTGTAAAACTGTAGGATAAAACCGTCTGTGACTGTTACTTAACAAGATAGACAAAAAATATACTATTGTGTTTAGACATGAATTCTTTTAAACAGATGTATTATTTGCCCTGCAGTTGAACTCTGACAGATTAATATTGGTAATCTAATTATGAAATATAAGAGGATATGTCTACTTTCAGATTTCCTTTACTTGTTAAGATACAAGTATCCAGATTAGCTCTAGCGATCATGTCAAATAATAAAGGCCTAAAAACCACGCCTAATTCTCTTAACTCGTATAAATTTTTTTTATATTAGATTAGATAATGATCGCAATTATATGTAGGTCACTAGATAGTTTGTGGAATAAATTAATATTCATCAAATCCTGACAAACATAATTATTATTCATAAGAATTATTGCCTGTATTAAAAATAAAAAACTATCTTCCTTTTATAAAACCAAACCGTTTGTAACGCATTTAATAAGTCAATGAATCGCCTGATGCCTGTAGAATATTATCTTTAAACTTCTAACATTACTTCATTATAATTATGTGTGGTGTGGTGACGGATTAAGAATATGGAATGTCACCACCCCTATACATCCCTTGGGTGTCGTAAGAGCCGACTAAGGCAGCAAACTACGCAGGACAACAGGTCTGGTAAAATTTAATGTTAACAAACTTAAAAAAAAAACTAAGCAGAACAACAGGACTGCAAAGAGAAGGAAAACTTGAAATAAACCCTATACCAACCCGTCTGGCCAGCTTGGTATAGTAGGCCAAAACCTCCTTTCTTAGGAGAAGCTGATGTCCAGCAGTGGATTATTATAGGCTGTTGATGATGATGGTTGTAATTAAAGTTTTCTATAGGCTACTAAAAGTTGACTTCCCCCAACCCTTGAACCAAATCCCTTCTAGTATATTATAGTCATATTTGCCGTAATTATCCGCATATTTCTTCACATTGATTTCTTTGCGATGTGGTGATTAGTAACACAAATAGCTATGCAGCTACCTCCATACCAAATTTTATCAAAATTGATCAAGCCGTTTGAGCGTGAAGAAGTTACAACATATAAACTCACACGCTCCCAAACTATCGCCTTAAAAGTACTGTTATCACACTAGTATTATAATCATTGTTTTTCTCATTGTTCTTAGGTTCCTTTTTAAGTTCTATCTAGTGACTTTCTTATAATAGTTAAAAAAATAATTAAAATATTCTTTTATTAGGAAAAAATCTCAGTACTAAAATATACATCCTTAGTTAATGTCCATGTGGGATGTAAAAATACATAGTGTATCAGCAACACGTAATTCGTGTAATGTTCTGGTTTTGCAGTTCTACCAGAAGAGTGTCTGTCACTTTAGATATAATTTCAATAAAGTACATTGGCAAATATAGTGATAAATGTTAATAATGAAAAAAATAAATAAACCGAAATTGAAATAATTTTAGATAATATAAGTAGAAAAAAAGGTAGTTCTACTGGTGAATTTAGCGATAGAATATGCAGAAGGATATGTTTTAATTTATAATAATCCTCAATTTAAATGGCGATGATTAAATCTCTATATCAACAATCTGTGCCATCAAAACAGGCCTTGATCTTGTGTTGTGAACACAAGTAGAACACCAGTAGATACCGTTTGTGTGAAAATAAGATCGTAGATCGTGATTTAATTTATTAGTGATTTATCCTAGACAAGTTATGTATACAAAAATTCAGTGTGTGATAAAATTGTGTAGCGATGTGTTATGTCTGTCTTATGTAATATTCTCAAAAGAATGTCTGATACATTATGTTTTTTTCGTCCCCAGATCAGCATGGATAATAAGCGGCAAACGGTATTTATAATTTGTTTTAATAAACTATTATAAGTACTAAGTTTATTTTCTTTATATTTATTTATCAAAGTTAATTTGTTTAAGTATGAATTATTTTATAAATTCAAGCATGCTGGTAGTTTGGGTATACAATAATTTGTAGGTTCACAAGCAGTTGTTGCACTTTTATTATATATGATTTGTCGTATTTATTTTATTTTAGTAGAAATATGTTGATATTTGGATATAAGGATTTGACCACATATAGCGTTAATCTCATTTTGTACATAGGTATAAAAAATACAAACTATACAGTGTCGATAAAAGGTTTTTGTTGCATTTGACCCAGGGTCACGTCGCTCTATTTTAGATTAATTACAAAAACGATTCAGTCAATATTCAATAAACGCTTAAATGTGAACAAATCCTTATTTTTCAAAATGCTGATATAATTTTCACTAACATGTTTTGTTTGTGTGTTTAGGCAACGTCAGCGCACGCAATGTTATCACACCTGGGCCCGCCCGTGCTGTACCCATTGTACAATCAGCCACAAGACACAGAAATATATCATGAAAACATAAGGCGACATAGGACTTTTAGAAAAAGACTCTCCGAACACATCCGAAAGTTAAAACTTGTGGCAGAAAAGGTTGGTATTTCTTCTGTTTTGAAATGTATTTGGTTTACTATGTTACTTATTATTACTTACTATTTTCAGTGTCATGCCAAGTTTACTTCATTCTCTTTATAAAACCTTTTATTTAAATATGTTGATACACTAGCCGTATAGTTTTTAATATCTATAGTATAGGTTGTCAGTAAAAAATAGTTTTTTGTAAAGTACCTCCAAAATGTAAAAAAATTGAAAAATAAATCTTATAATGCAAACTTACATAAAACAGTTCCTTTAATTAAAATTGTGTTTAATTTGCAGCGAGAGGATGCACTAGCAGAAGCGTACAGCAGAAGAGCAGCGGAGTGGTTAAAAAGGGTAGAACGGATAGAACAGGGACAGAAGAGAAAGGCTAAAGACGCAAGAAATAGAGAGTTTTTTGAAAAGGTACGTATATAATGCGAATGCCATCACCAATACATATTTTGTTTTGAAAGAGTTTCTTATTTTTAGAGGATAATTTAAGTAAGCTAATGCTTAGATTACTTAAATACTAACTTAATATCAATGGCATAAGCGTATCGATTCATCAGAGATGAGAAAATGAGATAACAATCATAGCAGTCATATTAAATGGCTTTAAAAGACAGCTTAAACTACCCTTATAGCTAAATGAACTAAATTTAACAGTTTAAAAAAATATGGGATCAATTTTGGACTAGAAGAGATCTGTTGAGATCTGCATCTAAAATGATTACTTATAGGTAAATTAAAAAAAAAATTATAGCGTAGATTGTTACGTTTAATTAAATAAATTATTTCGCCTGAATCATTAAATGTAACATCTTAAATTACAACCCTAATCATCCTCCATTTAAATTTTAATTTAATGTTTTTATATCTTCAAATCAACATTCAATATAAAAGATTTGACAATAGCTAGGTATGACGTCACGCCGTAGTCTATGTCTATAAAAGAAGAAACTGACAGACTGATTCACTGACTAAACGCATTGCTGAAATCGCCAGGTATAGAAGCATGGAATTTAGCACAAATGTGCCTCAGGTGACGTAGTTGTGCACTAAGAAAGGATTTCTGAAATTCCACCCTTACAGGTGAAATGGAGGTTGGAATTTTTTATGAAAGTTCGTCATTTTTGGTAGTAGCGTTTTCAAACCCACAGTACTCTTTATTAAAACGAACGAAAACGTTGTTACAATTTTTTTTAAAAGGGGTGCAAGTTTGTATGGAGTTCTTGATTCATTGTATCCTCTACGATGTCTGATTTCGACCACCAGGCGGGCGAAGTTGCAGGCAAAAGCTAGTATTTAATACAAAACATGTCCCGCATCGTTTTGACTTCTAATAAAAATATACTGATCTGACGTGACAGTCACCTACCCTATATTTTAAATGTATATCTAATACGATAGTTAACAGTCAAAGATAAGGATTTTTGTTCATTTAACTTGCGTACTATGTCTGCGAAGCTGCTTTTGTTAATATGTGCTAAATAGATGTTAATATACGCCGTGTTCCCCGCAGGTGTTTCCAGAGCTGCGAAAACAGCGCGAAGAGCGAGAGCGATTTAACCGACTGGGCGCGCGAGTCAAGTCTGAGGCGGAGCTGGAGGAGATTGCCGACGGGCTGCACGAGCAGGAGCACGAGGACAAAAAGATGCGCTCGCTCACCGTCGTGCCGCCGCTATTGCGGGACCCCAACGACACCACGCCCGTATACGTCGATACCAACAGTGAGTGTGCTTCTAGCAAATCAAAAAAGAAACATTAATAATAGTTTACAATGCAATAGATGCCTTTGAAATAAGAATATATTGACATTTGATTACAGTAGTCAAACACTAGTTTTGTTCTATTTGTTTTACTAATAACGACTTAACTTGAAACCATACATGTTTTCTTCGCATTACTCCAATATTGACTAGCAGAGAATTAAGCACACTTATCTACCAGAGTCTCAATTCTGCTATTTCAATATTCTATCAATAAACTGCAGATGGACTGTCGTCGGCATAGTTTTGCACTATTCGTATTCTACTAACTATGTAAGAAAAATGGCCTCCTGATGACTTGTTCACTGACCTGCCACTGATACAAATGTCGTCGATGTCTTTGTAATAGTTTGGTATACGGTACATTTTAAATTTGTAAGGAAATGATAATATCAAATTTTCCAGATGTGGCAATGTTGTTGATATCACTATTGATGAGCCATTGTCACTATATCGACAGTCTATTGACACTGTGCATTTATGCTAGTAGAATACCGATATTTTGACCGATGACAATGGCATGTCAATGGAATGACAGTGGCTTGTACGTTAACCTAAAATAGCAGAAGTGAGGCTCAGATGTGTTACATAAATAAATAAAAAAAATGAAGATAACAAATCATAGGAATCTTTTTCCAATGGTCAAAAAATGTAAAATTTACCAAGAAATAGTAGTAAAACATTCAAAGAATTTTCTCGATTGTCTCACTATGTTAGATTAATGATTCCTACACTAAAATGATAAATGATTTATAGTCATATTTTTCTTTATAGGAAATATTTCTATCTTTCTTTATAGGAAATATTTCCTATAAAGATTAATTAAAAATCACATTATTTACACGTTATTTTTCTTAGCTTAAAATATTTAAAACTAAATGAGGTAATTAAGAATTCTATACATATGTGATAAAATAAAAATATCTTTATAATACCATGTTTTTACCGAAAAGGTTGTTGAAATTTTGTGAGTTACGCCTATACAAAGTTGTTTCGTCTTAAAAAATATGAAACGTCATTCGCTACCGATCGCTATCGATTAGATGGAGTATAGTTAGTGAAATCGAATGTGCAATGGAATTCATGAACTGATATTATTGTTACAATATAGGACGCTGTATGGACATGGAGGCAGAACACAAGGAGTTACAACTACGCAATGTGTGGTCGCAGGCGGAACGGGAACTCTTTCGCGAGAAATACCTACAACATCCCAAAAACTTCGGACAGATCGCTTCATTTCTACCTCGGAAAAGTGTTCGGGACTGTGTTAGGTATGTTTTTTTTTTATGGAAGTAGGGGCAAACGAGCAGACGTGTCACCTGATAGAAAGTGACTACCGCCGCCCATGAAAGCCTGCAACCCAGGCGTCACAAGCACTTTGACGGCCTTTTAGGAAGAAGTACGCTCTTGTTTTGAAGGTCGCATCGGTTCGGAAATACCGCAGACGATAACTTGTCCCACAGATTGGTTGTGCGAGGCAAAAAGTGTTTGCCACTGTACTTGACTTTGAAATCCATACAACCGTAAGGGTTTTATGGATACCATCTATTATTTTAGTGACCGACGTAGGTTCGGTTTCGGCCAGTTTTGGCTAAAAAATCTAGTGTCGGTTCGAGTTTCGGTTTCGGCAAAAGTTGGCCAAAACTTACGGCCGCACCGACACAGTATTCGTGAAGTGTCGTGCGTCGTTTCGTTAACTTCGCGGCTAACTCGTGTACACTGACTCCAGTCGAGCCTGGCCCATATGTGCCGAGGCATGGCTCCCCCACGGCTAACTCATCTTGTTAGTTAGTCTTGTTAGTCAGTAGGTATAGAGCTTCGTTTTATTGAGTTTTATTTATATTTTAGTGGCATAAGCAGATAAATGGCTAAAAAACACACCAGATTTCAGCATACAATCGAAATTTTAAATGATAGTTTGAGTTTCGGTTTCGGCCGAAACTGAAACAAGGCCCGAAAGTTCGGTTTCGGCTGAAAATTCTGTTTCAGTCGAACACTAATTATTATGCATTGTCTACACAATGATGAATGACATACCCAGGTGTCTGAGAGCAATTCACAAGGTTTACTGCACTTTTGAGAAATGCTGTGCAAGTGTGTAACAAGCTTTACATTACTTCAAATGTTAAGGTTGTTATACACTTGCAAATCTATAATCTTATAAGTCTTATAACTAAGGATGGGGAGGGGCCTATCCTTAGTTACAAGACTTAAATTGATGAACCTCCCAAGCCTACCATGTATATATTTGCTAAAGAGTCTCTTCTGGTGCAAATGACTTACTATAAATCGAGCAGTTTTAATACATACTTTATCGGTATTATGTTCTATCAGTGTTGAACTCTGTGAGACTTACGCATATTAGACATGACCATTTCTCTGTCCAGATTTTATTACTTATCGAAAAAGGCCGAGAACTACAAGCAACTCCTCCGCAAACCTCGGCAGCGACGGTCAGCGAGAAATCCTCCGCGTACTCAGCAGGAGCCTGAACTGCCCGCGGGGGTCACTACGAGGTTGCAGCGGTCACAGGGTTAGTCTCATACATTAAATAAAATAGTTTATTTAAGGGCACATTAAATTACCGATTCAACTACAATTGTACTGACGTTATTTTTGTAGAACACAATATCTACAATCTCTGTATAACACTATCACGTATATATACATAGCTAAGTATAAATCATGGAACGTGGACGTTTATAAAGTAAAAGTTTATTGCACTGCATTCCAATTCATTTTCATTCTTACAATACTGAAGAAACTCATCTTATATAAACATAGTCAACGTTTGTTTCCCTACCACATTGTTTATTTGAAAATCGCCTATCAGTATCACACACACATCGACTTACCGCTGTCGACACTAAACACTATGAGTACCAGCATTCATGTATATAGTATTGCATATTATTATGCACAGTGGTAACCTTTGACATACTTTGGTACAATCTCACAAGCAACTGACTGAGGGCTGAGGCGGCACGAATAAAAGAAATGAAATTAAATGTCACTCAGTCAATTATGCAACAGAAATGATACTAAACTCTGTTAATGACAACTGAATTGTTCATATATAGAAACATCAGGGATCGTTTTATTCCTGGTTGATATTAACCTGTTGGTCTAGTATTTAGTGATCCTGACTAATAAGCCAGAAGTTGTGAGTTCGACTCCCACCCAGGACATATAATTGTGTGATAAGCACGATTATTTATTTGTGTCTGGGTGTAATTGTTTTATAATATGTATGTATTTAGAAACGTATGTTTATGCAGTCTAGTTAAGATAGCATAGGCTCTGCCTAGTTTGGGATCAGGCGGCCGTGTGTGAGGATATTGTACTCAACTTTTCAAAGGCAGGCAAGGCACTAATTTTGATAATGCAACCATAGTTCGCTTTTAGCCACGTACGAGAATAGCTTCGCCGCACAATAGAAAGGGCACATAAATTTACAAAGGGCGCCTTCACTGCTGTCAGACATCCTTGGGTTGGTCACGTAAAATAATAACTGGCAATATGTAGTTATAGATGATGAGATGATTAATAATCACACTGTTAACAAAATTAAAGAAGAGAAGCGATTGAGAAAATCTTCTTCTACTAAGCTACGTTATTTATGTGTAAGTTATAATGCCATACGCGATGTATGGCATTTATGAATCATTCATAGAACGTGGCCGCGTGGTTGAAACTAATTACATAGAATTAAATATATGGTGCATAATTAGAGCATATCTTATATCTTTGTATGAGTCACGTGCTTTGTGGATTCCGGTTAAAATATAGATATGATCTAGATAAGTTGCAAATTATTCACTTTAATAATTTATGCATACATATGCATTCGACTTTAGTCAGTACTACTACTGCTGCAGTGCTGCTGCTATTGATGTTCTTAGAGTCGGTTTTATATTACAATTGTAATTTAATGAAGATCAATCCTTTGTACCAGTTACTTTGTATTAAACATACTGTTTGAATTCCGTTATTCGATTATTACACAAATTATACTAACAAAAATAATAAATATAATATAATGTATCACGTGTTCACCGTTTTCCTTGTGTATTAAAAGTTATTGTCCTTAAAAGTTATTAATTTTCTTAGAAATAATACTAACGACTTCTTCTAAACTCGAAAGAGGTAAGAGACTAGGTTTATTAATGTTGAATGTGTTAATTGATTAGATTGCAATTTATTTTTTAGAGCATGGTGCCAGTACATAATAAATGCACACTTTCTGGTTAAATATTAACATAGCAGTTGGTTTGTAATTCCAATATTTTCCTCTTTTAATATCGTTCATTATTTCATTTTATTAGGAACAATCAAACATGCAGGATACTATATGAAATATCAAATAAGACATAAAAAGTATTTGACTTTGATTTTGTGATGTATTAAAGTTATACTTGTCGGCAGGTACCTCTGTACGATCGGAGAACAAGGAACCGAACATGGAGGATGGTGGTCTCAACATGCCTCCAGGGGCTGACGGGGTTGCGGTACCATGTATACCTATACCATCTGCAGGGCCTGCTCATCCACAAACGTAAGTTTATTAGAATAGTTTCTTTTCGTCCGTGCATTGTCTTAATAACGATAAATTGTTTAAGAGTTCTTTTTGAATGTTACTCAAAACTCTTTATTATAACAGATGTTGTACTTATACAATAAGGAAAATATACGTATATAAAATTAATGCTGGGTCAGGTTAAATTCATTGTTCGCAAATTCTGAATATCTTATTTTGTCATAAACTTATGCAATAGATGAGTCGTAAATAACCTTATCACTTTATTTTGAATTAAGTCACATAGAAAATAAATAAAGGAGCGTTGCTAAATTAAATTTAAAATCTGTGTTATGATGAAAGTAAGCAAGTAAGTATGATGATTAAAATCTGTATTAGGATGTGTAAGTATGATGAAGTCGGTTAAAAATTACCCACTTTGTAGTGCATAATTATTTGTATTACCGATAAGTACAAATATCTTGTCGTACAAGCATAGTTTCGTAGTATCTCATAGTCTGCAAATACGTAATAAAATTCCTTATTACATTCACTTTATTACAAAGATGTTCCCTTTGTCGCATAGCAGAATCTTTAAACAAATGACGTATAAAACTATTTCTTGTCTTGACAAACCCTGGTTTTTCTACGATTATGTTATGTTGGGGGTCAAAAGATTAGATTAGTTTGAATTCTACCCAGTGTACTGACGTGACCCTTTTCCTCATACTTAAATTTAGCTCTTTTGGAGACTTTGTGTTGACACTACTCGTACTCTAGTACATAGTCCGTGTGTGGTGGATTAAGAATACGGAGTGTCACCACCCCTATTCATCCTCTGGGTATCGTAAAAGCTGACTAACGCAGGACAACAGCACTGCAGATAGAAGGAAAGGTTGACACAAACTCTATACCAACAAGTCTTGCCAGGCTGTTGATGATGATGATGATTGCACATTTTACATATGAATGCGTCAACGTCATTACTGTCAATTAAAACTGATAGATGTATAAAAAAAATCCTTCCGTTTTACGTTATTGGAATTGGTAATCAAATTTGTTGATGATTGATGAATCATTGCAAAAATTCGAAACATTGTCATAATATACGTGCCTCTTCAAAGATTGTTTTCATCTATTTTCAACGACAATACAACCACAATTTACCATAGCAAAGCGTGGCAGGGTACAGCTACAGGTGGTCAGTTATATATATATAAAATAAAACGTTATATACATGAGTATTTTTCGGTACCCAGTTATGATGTTAATTTTATTAGTGTTCATTTACAGGCAGACACCATTTTGAATCATTTCTCTGATGTGCACAGGCATTTTAATGTCATTCATTAAAATACCCAAAGTATTCCGGCACATTTATCTAGTATGCTGACTACCTTCGACTGTATGAATGTCCACGAGATTCTTGTATCAGAATCGGGGTTCAAGCCATGCCTATCCACAGTATCGTGCTCGTTACCAGGCTTTCAGCTGGTAAGGAATGATCGTATTTGTGGACGTGGCGGTGGAGTTGCCATGTATATCCGATCTCACATTCCTTTCTCCATAGTAAATATGTTATGTCAGCTCCCATGCCGACGAGCATTTATTTTTTTAAATCTTACTCCCAAACACAAAACAACTTCACGGTGTTTATTATCTTATATATAAAATTCTCGTGTCACAATGTTCGTTCCCGTACTCCTCCGAAACGGCTTGACCGATTCTCATGAAATTTTGTGTGCACATCGGGTAGGTCTGAGAATCGGCCAACATCTATTTTTCATACCCCTAAATGGTAAGGGTGACCCATCCCTATTTTTTTTTTTGTTTTGCAATACAACGTTTGCCGGGTCAGCTAGTACTCTATATAACTACTAACGAGTCGACGTACAGTCATACTATAGTCATAAGTGACTTTAAATCCTGTTTACCGAAAAACGATTCTCGTTTTGCCACGATTCGATCCATTATTGAATCCAGTAGTCTTTTCATCCTCTTACACAATTCGCCAAACCGTACCTAATTAATTTGTCACTTCTAGACCTCATCCTTGTATTCTCTGTGGATCACGTCGCCAAATATGGCCAGTGCTCTGCAGGTCTCTTTTTCTTATCATGATCTTCCCTTCTTTTCTATCTCATTCGTGCTCCTAAACCTAAAATAAACGTTCGTATAAAATTCGTAGATTCATATGACACTACAGTAATACCTGAGTGAATGGTGTTTTGGTGTTAACAACACCTTAATTTACTTAAACAAGTTAATCGATTTAATATTAAAAAAAATACGACGGAGAGCGCAAAGTCATGAATATAAAGAGTGGCCATGAGTTTGTTTGCCCTTTCTTCTCATAAGGCTCAACCCCTTGGAAACGGGCGGTTGTAGATCGGCACAGGCATATCATAGATTTTGTATGGGTTTGATTTTGTTAAATTTATTTGGTTACTATTTGACAAAACAGAGATTGTTGCTTTTGTGTGTGTTGATCTATGACTTTAGAGTCTACATGGAAGACGATTTCAAACAATTTTGAAAATTTTATGAAATAAAGAAAGTTTGAGTTTGAGTTTGAGTTTACTATACCACGCTGACCAGTCGGGTTGGTATAGGGTTTGTTTCAAGTTTTCCTTCTCTTTGCAGGGCTGTTGTCCTGCGTAGTTTTTTATCTTAGTCGGCTCTTACGACACCCACGGGATGACTTGACACTTCGTATTCTTAATCCGTCATTACACGGACTTACTATGATATTTGTGACACATTAGTATGATAATTGTTAATCCATCTAATTGGAGCTTAATTGATTTAATAGATGGGTATGTAAAGAAGTAAATAGATATAAAACTATGTTTGTACACTATTGTACAAGAGTAGTATCATACATAAAATGTCGGATACTGTAATGTACAAAGTACTTGAATGTTCTTATTGCTAATATAGAAATAGACAAAGAATAGGTACTTATGTAAATTTAAGAGACCTAAGATAAAATAAACACATATTATAATAACATAATAATCGACGTGGAGGACTGCTCACCATATACGTCTCGAGCCGGGCAACTGATATCGACGCCTTATTTAAAATTGTAGGTATTACAGTGAAACCTTTAGTGACTGGAACATTAAGAGACCTGTAAAATGGTTTCTCTTAAAGAAGTATTTCACTCACTCGGTGTCTCAGATATAATTAAATATCTACCTCTTTAACAGAGGGTTCCATTATAAAAAATTGTAATTATGACTTTAAAATCGAAATAATGAATACCAAATATGTGGTTGGTTTTGTCCTACTTATAGAGGTAATTCAGTGCTAAAGGACTTGAGTATGAGTTCTACTTATGGAGGATTCTTACTTATAATGATTATTACTTGTATTTAACCAAGTTTTACTATACCAACACGTTGAAAAGGAATTTGCGTAATAATTTCTTTATTGATATGTATATACATTTATATAAATATTCATGTATATACATTTTATTTTTCATTTTAATAAAATCTTTATATAATAACTTTTAAAAAGCAATCTTATTGTTAATACTTCATTCTTCTTTTATTCCTATTCTGGCTGAAAGTTTTCCAAAAAATAAAAAATAAAAAAGATAATAATGTAGAACTATTTGCACATCTAGTCGTACGTACTTGACACTATCGTCAGGTAATTAGGTACCTAAACAGTACGTAACCTCCTATTAAACCTTACCCAAACAACCTTTAGATCATTCAGCTACAATCATAACAAAAATCAATATCCAACGTGGTAAAATATAGAACTTACATAACACAAAACGAAAACACTACAGCCATCATGATTTTTCTTTTAATATCTATACAGTAAGGTCTGTACGATTCTGTGGAGCTGGGCTTTTTAATTACACAGTGTCAACATTGAGCGGCTCCACGAATGAATTATTCACCGATTGCTGGAGAGAGACGGCGGCCCGGGGTATTTTTTGCACCCCCGCTTTTTGACTGAGAGACTTTTCCCTGTTTGTACACGTAATGTACTCTTAGTGAATGAGCACTTGTTACAGTTCATTGTCTTGAGAGTGGTCGTAACACTGTTCAACAGTGTGCAAGCATAAAGAAGTTTCAAGAACAGGAATATCTTATGAGATACTTCTGAAGATTTACTAGACTCGCGATCTTAAGCTTCAGGTATTGTTCAGGTATTCAGGTATCATAGTGACGCCGGATGTTACGCTTAGACTTGAATAAAACAGTAAAATCTGTAACACCAAAAAATATTATCATAAAAGACGTCGGACCGGTCGCAGGGATGGAGTCCTCGACACCTATTATATGTTAACACAGGCGCCATACAATTTATCTGTGTTTTTGTTCTTCAGGTCAGATTCAGATTTCAGATAAAAATACTTTTATTTACATTGTAAAATTTTATAGTAGCGTGCAATGGAAGAGGCCTATGTCCAGCAATGGACTGCGATAGCCTGATGATGCCCCTGGGAGAACAAGCTACCTACATAAGAAATAAAATATGATAACTGTTGACGAGTGATGATGACGAGTAGTTGCAGTTCAATTTCGTAGTTCTTATACCTTTTTTAGACATATACATCATTAAAGCTTGATGAACAAGCAATTTCTCTTTTGTAATACTATTATTGCCATATTAATTATTTTATCTCCACTTCTTCTTTATTTAATATTATTTCATTAATTGGTTAATATATTAGTACGCTTTCTGGAGTATCTAAGATAATCCAAAGGCCGGCAAAATAGACGAATATCTGCACACATATTTGCTTATATTAAATTGGCCTTGTGATCTCGGGTTAGCTTAATAATTTATTGATAGAGTTTTCAATAACATTATATTATATCTAATGGAAATATTAAAAATTCAGTAGTCTGACTGAGATACTTAATTCCCAAATCTAATTTGTATAAAAGTCCCGAAAATTTCTATCTAAAAAGACGTATTGTTTAAGCAAAGCTTCGCTTACTACCCTCTCCTGTGTTAGATGAACAGGGTCGGAATTAGATTTTGTGTGCATTTTAATATAAAAACCCATTTCATTCATTTTCTACAGTTTAAAAAATTGTAGCTGGGCAGTTCTATGAATAATGTCTTTTGATAAGAATATTAATATTATTTATTATTTATTTTTAAGCACTGTCAACAAGTCAAAACAGACGGTAATGAGCATAAATCAATGTTGACTGCTTATTTGTGCGACGTCTTTACTATACATTAAAATGCATTCTCACTGTCTTACAATAATATGATCATAACGATATAAGAAAAGTCCGAACATATAATAATTTTTTTTTTAACTCACTGTTTGATTTTTAACTGTCCTTACTCCCTAGTAAGGACAAAATCATTTTACATTATTATAGTTTTTAGTAAATATAATAAAAAGTATTTACTGCGTTTTCGATATCATATACCAGTAGTATTTATAAAATGAATTTGTACGTTTTTTGAAAAACCACAAAAGGGTAAGTTCGTCCCTGTAAGTCGATGTTTGCTCTAGCACTCACTTTTATGAGCTTCAGACAATGAGAATAACTCAATTTTTCATCGACCAGATGAATCGTTTAAAATTTATGTATTTTTTCGACTTTGCAATGGGGAAATTGACAGATTTGTTTCATCGGTTCAACAAAGTTGATCGTGAGTTTTAGGTCCACTTTGCTCTTATAAAAGATTTTTTATTCTTGTTCTTCTAAAATCAGATAACATTATATTCTTTTAAGTTTTAAGATTAGATGTTAAGATCGCAATTTTTGGAATCTCGCATCCGAGTAATTCGACGAATCCCCATCGAAATTCGAAATCGTGTTTCACTCGGGATTAACGGTATTAGCACATACTTAAAAAATCTCTAATATCAATGGCTTTGACGCAAACGCCAGCTATATTTTGGAGCAAAACTGGCAATGTATAATGGCCATTCCTCCAGATTACTTTGGCGTTTGTACTCTGTACTTATAAGTTAATATCGTTCTTTAATAAATGTTGGGTGGGATTGTTTAGTTTACTCCGAAAAGTACTTGATTAGAACTGAAAGAACAGCGAGTTGTATTATTATTAGTATTATTCTACAAATTAAACTTGAAAATTGACCAATAAAGTTCATTTTACTTACCTTAATTGGTCAAGTTTTTATTTTATTTTCTTTTTGGAAGAGGGAGAGATTGCACATAAATGAAGCTATAGGTACTTATTAGCGATATGGATGGAATTTCGTCAAAAGGAATAAAAAAAAGTTAAAAATATTAATTGAACATGTTAATATTTACATATATATTAACTTTTATTTTGCTATTTATTAGAAAACTTTAAAAATCACTTATAATCACTGATGCAAGTTTCGAAAGCTCAACCATAATAATATGTAAAATATTATTATATTACTGGATGGTTTCTATGGAAAGTTTTCTTCTTCTGGTCGTACTATCTCATGTGAGAGTTCGGCTATCGTTAAAGCTCATCACTAGCATTCGGTGTTCAGTTAAATCCACTCACTGAGATATTGCACTCAGTTAGTGGTTACTCGTAACAACTGTTATCGATCGTTACATACTTTGGTGCATAAAAGGGTGTGACGTTATTTTTGATATAATAACAAAATGACAGATATTCTTTGTCTACCGCTTATTAATATGATAGGGACTTGACGATATCTTTTTACATTTTTGACACTGAAATAAACATTTCTCAAAAAACCTTTGACAGAAAACCTACAATTCTTATTTTCACGTGTTCGCTGGAGAGGGCTGAAGGGGGCGTTAAGAGAAATAATAAAAGAGAAATATGTAATAATAATGGGCCCGTGTGTTGTGTGCGTGTGTGTTGACAATCACTCCAGTGATTATTTGCACAAGACTCCCTCGGGAATCAGCCCCGGATCCAATCAGCATACGCGATGGGAAGCTGTAGTATCGATGCTCGCCTTATTTACTTATGTTTCTCAGCTTTTGATGTTTTCTTAAAAAACGAATTAAAAATTAGTCTTGATAGGATGTACCTATATATATAAAACTTACAATATTATGTAATGTCAGTTATAATTATCACATCAACAAAGAACATCCTTTAATATTTTACTACTGGCCATAGGCCTCTCCTTAGAAAGGCCTACTACACCACGCTGGCCACCGCGGGTTGGTATAGGGTTTGTGCCAAGCTATCCTTGTTTTTGCAGTGCTGATGTCCTGCATGGTTTGGCTCCCTTAGTCGGCTCTTACGATACCCACGGCATGAATAGAGGTGGTGACTTTCCCTATTCTTATCCTTCACCACACGGATTATATTTATATGTATATATTATATTATAGATTCCGATTGTAAATTCGATGGTCCTTGTCTGGTTTTGGTGTATCCAAACTTTTATATGCTCTCCATGCATTTCGAGGATTACCAACTCTTTAATTTCTTTCTCATTATAATTTAATATGTCAGAATGTTGTAAAATATATTAGACATAACAGTTTCGAATATCTTCGAACGTCGATAAAAAATCGTACATCACTAACACAGCCGTTTCTCCCGACACGGTTTGTTTAGATTTTTACGCAAACACGGGGCCAGCCCATCTTTCTAATTGGCTTAATTAAAAGCATCTAGCAATTGATAAAACGAAATATTTAACCAGCAGGAAAGTGGGGCGGTAAAAAAAAACTTGGCTCTTTCGGTACTCGTTTGATTTTGTGATTGATCTTTTATTGAATGTCATGGTGATTATTGCGCCGCGATTCATTTATCAGCGTTCCGTTATTTATATTATTCTGTTAATTTATATCAACTTGTAATTAATGCTAAATCGTTGTTTATAAAAAAATATCCCTTTCCTAATTATGGACTTTAAACAGCTGCAATCAGACGAGTTTTTTTTTAACTAATTAAATAAGCCGGCGAATCGTATTTACGCGGTTAGAAGATTTTGCAAGGAATCTTATTTTTTTAATTTTAGATAAAGATATTTTATAAACTTCTGTTATCTAAATAAAATACATCATATACTAAATTCATATCTACGTTATTTGATTCCGAAGAAACAAAGTATTTACTGTTTCATACGAGTATGTCAATGAATAAATTATTAAACATTATTCGTAAAACAATTACACAAAAACTATAGTGTTGAATTTAGTGTGGCGTGTACTGTTCGAGAGATGAGCTTAATTTGATTGTCGGGTTTATATTCGCTCAATGTTTGTCCAGTGAGAGGGCGAAGGGGTGCGGATAATTACCACCCCAGCCCAGTATTAATTGGCCAAATTTTAATGATGTTCAAATACCAGCCGAGTGTGCTAACTGTTAACAAACTGCGGTTTTAGCGCACGGTTTTAACATTAGCTTGCAGATGTTATATTTTTATTTCAATAAAAACTGTTTTGCGTTTTAAACTCGGTGATATGATTTACAAGTATGTTTTTTTTTCTTCGTATTCTTGTATGTAAAGTCCTCCTTAATATGTGTAAATATTTGATTTTTTTGTTTGTAAGACTCATGACCGTTATATTTAAGTAGGCTAGTCAGTTATCAAATACTACATTACTAATTTTCCTAGATCGTCTCGCGCAACTTTATTATACACAAAGCTTTAGGACATATCTATAATCTTTAAGTAGTCATTATAATCTGCCTAATTTTGTAGCTATTAAAACTTTAACGCATGAAATAATGACTGTTATAACTTAAATTACATTAAAGTTGGTACTAGCTGATTAATTGATTTTTTCACCGTTTGTTAATAACAAATGCGCCCCTGCCAACCCCAACCAGTGAGGTACGTGGTTGGTAATTAAAAGAGAGGCAAATTGAGATAATTATGTTTGCTATAACCCCCGCGATGCAACCCGCTCGACGGCCTACGCTCTGATTGTGTTTTGGTTTTATAATTAGTTGGTAATTTAATGCGGGTATCATTTTAATCGCTAGATTATTTCAGTGTTCGTGTATTCTTCTGATGTAAATCTATCAAACTAGCCATGTCGCAAATAATAAATGTAATTGTAAGAACAAGACTTGACTAGACGCAATGTAACCTACATTCCGTCTACCTCTGGCTATCTAGATATCTTGTTTGTTTTGCACTTGCGGTTCCCGTCATTTAAGTTCATCTAGTTCTATGAACTTTACTGTTAAATTAATCTTGATTTTGTCATTATTCGCGAAAAATTTAATATCTATATGTTGAAGATTTATTAAAATAACTCACATATAGCTGTGTCAAATGTAGCTTGCACAAATTTATGTCAATATTCTTTTGTTCTTAGATCGGAGCTAATACGAACGCCTCCTCTTCCACCATCGCCACCACCGGCGTCATCAGCACCGCCAGCGCCCGTAGCGGTAGCGGGGACACCGATGAGTGTTGCAAGTCCTACAGACACGCCAACACCTCCTACTTCAGAAGTTCCCCTACCACCAGTGACCTCGCAGGAGGTTACACTCGTCACCATCACCCCTGTTATGGTAAGAAATCAACGCAGCATATCTTTACTAAAATATAATAACATAAACGATTTTTACATCCTATCAATGACGAATTATTACACATGTTAATGCACATAATATTATACACATAATAATGTAATAATGTTACGCATGAAGAATACCTAGTTTTGTGCAAGCATGTGCAGCAATGTATACCTTATAGACTAATTTTCAAGGTTATTAAATTTTTTAGTAAAAGTGTGACTAGGTATGTTTTCCTTATCCTCTTTCTGTTTGGGTATGTTACAAATAGTGGTATTCAGGTTCCATAATACTATATCCTAGAGCATACTTTGACTGCACTTACTACAAAATGTGCCATATAAATTATACTACGAGGGCTGCTATTTATGTATCCGAAAAGCAAAGTGAAATAAACATATGGCATTTATTATAGTTTTATTGCTTTTCAAAATATTCACCGTGATGACTGATGCACTTTTGCATACGTTGGAACTAATTTTCGCAGCACTTTTTCCGTTCTGATTGTGGTATCTCCAAAACGTGCATTTTGATCGCATAAACAGCCTCTTCACGTCTCGAAATTTATTCTTCACGGTTAACAATAAATAGAAGTCGTTGGGAGCCAAGTCAGGACTGTACGCGGATGACCCGCTTGATCATCTAAATACTGAGTTGTTTCGGTCGATGTGCGGCTAGCAGCCATTGTCATGATGAAGGAATCTGCGTTATCGGTTGTTCTTTCCTATTTCTTCAAAGACTTCTGGCAAACAAATGGTCGTGTACCATCCAGAATTAACCGTTTTACGATCCTCTAGTGGTAATGTAGCCACATGTCCATTTATACAAAAAAAAAAACGACCATTTGCTTCAAAGTGCTTTTTGAACGAATGACTTTAGTTGGGTTCAGCTCATCTTGGAACACCCAAACCGTTGTTTGTTGTTTAGTTTTATGATCATACGCATATATCCAAGATTCATCAAATGTGTAGATATTATTGACAACTTTTGACGCACCTTGATTGTACTTTTGTAACATTTTTTTACACCAATCCACACAAGCCCGTTTTTGGTCAATTCTCAAGTTGTGCGGAATCCAACGAAACAATTTTTTTTTATAGCTAAATGTTCATGTATTATTTTATAAATACGTCATACTTATTCCCAGAGACGCCTCTGTCTCGCGATATGTAACATGACGATCTTGCATTATTAGTTCCTGCACAGCATCAACATTTGGAGATACAACAACCGACCTTTAAATTCGTTCGTGAGCACAAACCGCCCTCGATTAAACTTACTAAACCAGTGATACACAGTTCCTTTTGATGATGCTTCGTCCCCAAAAGTCGAAGTGAGTTGATCGATGCAATGTTTTTGGCTTAGCCCACGCTGAAAATTGTAATAAATCATAGCACGAAAATTTTCGCGAGTTAAATCCATACTGATAAAGACACGCAATTTTCAAAATGACGCCACAAAGGATAAACAAATGACAACTACATGAAACAGATTGTATTCTTCAGCCAAAGAGTTAAATTTTTAACTGTTATAATTATTTTTTAATATTGTTCTGTAAATGACCAGTTCCGGATACATAAATAGCACTATAATTTGATACCTTTATTTAATAATCTTGAGCCAAACATTATGATTTTATTACTTCATAATTTCTTGCCAAACGTTATTGCAAGAAAGGATAAATCTAGCTAACTTAAGTCTTTCTCTAAATTCACTTAATGACCATATAAACTTGAAATCAGTCTTGAGCATACATGTGTTTGCGGTTACAACAGACATCGTCACCAGCGCCAGCACAAACATCGGCACAGACGACGTCAACCTGCCTAACAACAACAGCTCCTACGATAGTGGTCGTAGCTGGCTCGCCGGCGTCAACACTAACGGTCCCCGCGATTTCCAACATCTCAAATGTGTCAAGTTTGTCCATCGTGTCTACGGGAGGAAGTGCGTCGCCTACACCGCAACCAGCTCAGCCGCCCACGCCAACGCAGCCACCGCCTACACCCGAGACCGGTGAGTTTATATTTGTAAAATATTTTTATTTAAATCCAAACTCGACCCAGAACACCGCTACAACTAAACGAAAGTAAGTGAGTAAAGAATGAAAGTTACATCAGATAAAAGTTATTTATTTAACCAAATGTCTAAACTAATTAAATCTCATTTAAGGTATCTTATTAATTAATCTTAAGTTCGGGCATTCTCATATTTAGCTAAGTTCTTTTAAATATAAGTTTGATCTTTAACCAAATATGTAGATCACATATTCAACATCACATATACTGATCGGAATGTGTTAGAATAATTTTTCATTTAAAACCTTTTAATTTAACACTAATGTTGTTTATTGAATTAACTCTATGACAAACATAGAAACAAGGTCTTTCATCTTAATCATTTTAAAAGTTACAATAATCACCTGTAATTTAAACCTCTTGAGGTTAAAGTAAAACATAAAATCCCTTATAACATAAATTTAACAATGTTACAGTTAAACCAAAACATATTATAAACTAATTTAAGCTCGCTTAACCATCACTAATAATACTGATATGTACGAATTCACTACTGCACAACACTTTCACTTGGCTTTAGATGTTGAAGGTTCCGGTTCTTGCTCCGGCACGTTCGGTTCCGAAGCACTTTCCTCGGCATGGCAGCTCTTGCGATGTTTGTGCACAAAATAATATGAAGGAAACTTGGAACCGCAAGTTTTACAAGGGTAGTAGTGTAGAGTAGTTCTGGTCTGGGATTTACGATGCCTGCAAGGCCAGTTGCGTTCCGGAGAATTTTCGCGCCAAGCAACGTTAAGAACCCGACTAAACCGCACAGGCCCGTCACAAGAGGCGATGTCAAAGACAGTGTTGGTTTCACGCTTTGGTGGTTCAGGAGCTTCTATACGTTCCACGTCAAGTTCACTAGAGGTCGTTGACGAAGGGGACGGTGGTGGTGGTGATACAGATGGTGATGGTGCTCGAGCTCGTCGCGGTACAGGTCTATGGGCTCCGGGCGGTGGAGCGGGCCTCGCAACGCACGGACTCGGCCCAAGCCATGCGCGGTACAGAGACAACATGTTCGCTCGCCGTCGTTATACGACTGCGAGCCGTCTCGCGCCAAACCGCTTTATATACCCCTACTAGGGTTGTAGATTCCGAATTTTTCGTAGTTTGATTTTCGAAGACGTTGGGGAAATTTTATTTTGTTAAGACACTATGAATAATAGTCAGTTTACTTACTTTTTAGACGTTTAGCAGTTATTTTCCTTTCAGTATTTGTTGACCAAGACCACGTTTTAACGTATTTTAATTTTGAAAGGTCTTAGTTGTACTATATATTTTATTTGTGATTATGTACCAGAATAGTGTTTTTTTAAAGATGAATTCTTGTAAGATGCGACTTTTCCCTTTAAAGTAGCTTCAGAACCTCAAAACCCTATCGCTTGGGATTAGTATTTACAGAGTGAAATATTTAGCTTCATTCCACGAGTTCTCCCTCGGTAATAGCGACTATTCAGACGCGTATCTGTGACTTTCCAAACAGTTAATACACTTACCGGTCCCCTGACACTGGCAGCATTGACTTTGTAAAACGTCATCTTTTCTTTACTGGTTGATATAAACATCTTTTTTAATTCTACGACAAATTATTACGACTAATTTACGAAAAATATTATTTTTTATAGATCACACTTTTCTTTTTCTGTTTAAATATGCCAAATTTGTTATTTAAAAGTTAACAAATTACGTTGCGTGTCAATTTTAATTTATAGTTTAGGGATGTTTTCGCTTGCGATCATGCCTGACTGTATTTTATTATTATATTACGACTATATTGGTAATAACATTATATTCCAGTTTTCAACAAATGTATTATATAAACTTAATTGAGATTAATATGATCGAAACGTGAGTTAATCCTAGCACGCATCACCAAGTGTATGACGATATAATCCCTTGCAGGGTTGACAGCATAAACCCTGTCACTGCACACACACAGAATTGTAAATCGCACATCGGGGACATGCGGTGAACTTGCCTCTTGTAACATTAACAGATTAAATGGTCTATACGAACAGTGCTTTGTCTTCACTAATCACTTGGCTAATCAAAAGAAAAAACATTGTTTGGTTGACAATTGCAGAAACGAATTATATTATTTTTGCATGCAAATGCTGATAATTTTGACTTAATCCTAATAAATTTACTATTAAGTTCGTTATCTGTAATGAGTTTAATGTTGAAAGAGGATGTAGTTTAAAATTGTAAATTTAAAAGGGTATGGTGAGGTGGTTTTGGCTTTTAGAAAGAATGAGTATATAAGGCAAACGTGGGAGACCGGTAGGTTTCGACTATACCCAACATACAACAACAAGTTTAATGACAGGAGACGAAGCTCGTGTTATTTCTTAGCAAGTGGTGGGCTGTAGCCTGTAATCTTTACCTACCTACACTATAAAACATGCGAATATATAATCGTTTCTTATTCTCATATGGCAAAGACAGAAAGTTAAATTTCAAACCTCACCTTAAAATAAACTTGCTGTTAATAAATGAACTTTCGGCTTAAAAAATAAATTACGTAAAGCAATTGTAGCAGCTTATTGGCAGTACACATATATATATTTAACATACATCATATAACCTGTAATTGACTTGATATTGTATATTAATTTGACCATCATAATTTTTGTAGCTGTTGGTTCTCCATAAAAAAAATACATAAAAAAGAATTTTATAAGTGGAGCCCAAGTAATAACAAATATAAATCAACACAGTTGTATGTTGCGTACACAGGCATTTAATCTACAAAATGTCTGTATATTTGCGCTGCAAATAAACACGGATAGCTGAGCTCGTTAAAGTCTCACGCTTCGAGGAATATCGCAACGCAAACAGAGGTGACATCCCGTTCCATGGATATGCCCACCCGTGCTAACTAAACTATAGGCTATTACGTATATTTCAGTAACTTCTAAAGTAATATTTTATTTTTTGACATACACACTTTCCAACATGGATGTTTTTGGAAACTATTGAACAGATTTTAATAATTCTTTTACCATTAGAATGGTGTTTTCTCAAGAATGAACATATTTTAATGTTTAAATAATTTGTGTATGTACCAGTTGTTAATTGTATAATTACATTCTAAGAGATCCACCTTCTTTCACATCAACAGATTTTAAGTGTACTGCTGGACATAAGCCTCTCCTTAGAAAGGAGGTTTTGGCCTACTATACCACGCTGACCAGACGGGTTGGTATAGGGTTTGCATCAAGTTTTCCTTCTCTCTGCAGTGCTGTTGTCCTGCGTATTTTTTCCGGTCGTCTCTTACGACACCGACGGGATAAATAGGGGTGGTGACACTCTGTATTCTTAATCCGTCGTCACACAGACCATCTTCTTTAAACACATTTAAACGTAATCATTTTAATGACGGGCCTGTTGGTCTAGTCGTTAGTGAACCTGACTGCTAAGGCGGAGGTCGCAGGTTCGATTCCCACCCAGGACAAATATTTGTGTGGAACACGATCATTAGTTCTGTGTCGGGGTGTAATTTATCTAAACCATGTATGTATTTAGAAATATTTAAGTAGGTACGTTTATCAGCGACTGACTATAACTATTTACCATAGCACAGGCTCTGCCTCGTTTGGAATCAAACAGCCTTGTGTGAGATGTGTGAGGTTTTCTTTTTTTTGTGTATCCCTTGATATGTTTTTAGAACCATATACACAATTACAGAAACAAAACTCAACAGTTACTAAAGTATAGTATTTCAGCTAAGAAAGTCACATAAATTACTACTTTTTTTAATAGAACTTTCTTAAAAAAGCTTTTGAGTTAGATTAAATATTTTAGGTTATAGAAATGGGTGGTGTCATTCCTGCGATCTAAGAATGTGTAAACTAATCTGTTCTAAACATCTTGAAGTCTTCGAGATTACCCGACAGTGCAGTGTCGGTTATTCTCGGTAATTACTGATATTTGCACAAGTGCTAATTGGATCGCGATTTACCGTTTTATTTAATTCAAACGTTTATTTAAGGTTTTGATGAAATGGCATTGGATAGATAGTTACAGACCAGTGCAATTGTTTACAAAAAGGAATACGTTTGCGATTGCACAAGTGTTTCCATTTATAGTTATGTAATTGAAGTAATAATGTAATTCTTGGCCTTTTAAAGCTTCATAACAGGCAAAGCTGAAAAATAAAGGAAAGTTTAAAAAAAAATACACTTCTTACTTTAACTAATGAAACCCAAATTGCCAGAACTGTATCTAAACACAAACAAATGTAAATTGCTATATAGTGAATAAAATAAGTGCAGATATATGCGATAGTTTCTATATTTATTGAAACTGTCACACGTTGGGTATGTACACACGTACACTGCAAACTCAACAAACCAAACAAAAAGGAAACCATTTATTTAAAGTATGGCTAACAAACTTTTTATTTTTTATTTCTTCTGTAAAATAAAGCAATAAATGATACACACGTTTTCAAATTTAAACAGGAAGAACTTTCATAAATTACCTGAACAGTTTTGCGAGATAATAACTTTGTGCACAAATCTCTGCCGCAAGCATATTAGTTAATAACTAATACGGATGCAGTTTAGCGCCCACCGCTTCGTACACGCTGGCGTGGCGAGAACTTGCCTTTCAGTCTGTGGATTATATTTTAAGGGTACTTATAGTTTAACACAAAATGGTCATATATTTCTAGGTTTTAAGTCGTGCAATGATCAGTTATTTCAAAATGTTTTCTCTTTCATACAATATCTAGAGTAATCTATAGCCGGGGAAATTTAATTATGTCAACTACAGGACTGTTTCGTACTTCTATATTTTGTAAGTGGTCATTTTTATTAGACTGTAATTTATGTTGCTGCTGATAAATTAAGTTAGGAAATTGATAAACAGAAAAGTTCTATGGTTGTGTCATGTTATGTTGCTAGTGTATGCTAGTGTTGTCTTTGTTTTTTAAATTATAGCTTTATTGTTATTATTGGTTCTTAATTTAACTTTGTAATAAAACAGAGGCTCCATATACAGTAAAAAACGTATTGATGTAAATGCTGTAGGACATTAATTAATTACTGAAATAAAATTCCTCAGAACATAAACAGAAAAGTTTAATTAACATTTACAACCATTCATAAAACAAACATTGGGTAAATTCTACGTAGTCTAATTCAATTTGTATAACAAACATCGAATAAATAATGAAACAAACATGGCATCGGTATCGGAACTAAATTTACTAATCAGCTTTGTGCTTCACATTGGCGCCCAAACGCGGGGCACTGAATATTCTAGTACTCGCCTAGCCCGCGTTGTGATTTACGGATTATCTAGCTGTTCTGAATAAACTGGTTAACATGCATGCCCCTGAATAATGTACGGTATTGAAATAAGATTTTTGTTGGATTATCGTTTTTGTGCATTGTTCTGAACGGCGCCGACGTAACAGTCCTTGAGGATTTTTATTGACTAGCGACGAATGTTTTTAAAGAAATACCTTTACATAATTTATTGTGATCTTTGATACATCTGAGAAATAACGTGTGTATGCATTTTCAAAGGGTACAACAAAGCTTGTGTTATGATAAACATGTTTAATGATTTACGTTCCTGACTTATCTGCAGTAAGCGGTAGTAGCATAGGGGTTAAGACATCGGATTACAAGGTCTAAAAAATCTTGGTAAAGATTGTTATAATTAATTCTGTATTTATAATTATAAATTACAAGTTAATCAACAATTGTAATGTACAAATTCTAAATCACTTTCATTTAATTTACAACTTTAAATTTAATTTGTCTAAAACACAGCTAGTACTCGTAAATGTGGTTCAGTATTACTTATAAGCCCTTTTATCTACAGCCGTAACAGAACGCATCGGAACACCATCCTTGAGTACAACGATCACTACGACCACGGTAACGGTAACTACATCGTCGAACTGTGCCGTCTGTAGCATAGCTGGCGCGACGAGAACTGTTTCGAGGTCAAGAGCTATTCATTACGGTCTCAAAGAAGACGCTGTAGGGGCAAGGGTATGTGAGCCGTGCCACTGTAGATGTGTGAGATCTCGGTACACCAGGTGTCCGGTCCCCACGTGTCCGGGGCCAAGGGTTCGAGCGAAACGGTTAAGACACTTACCGCCTAGATGGCATGACTTATCGCTGGAACTGAAGAGGCCTCTGATGGACGAGTTTGGTAAGATTTTTCACTGTATATGTTCCGCTTTAAGAATGGCTTTGAGATTAATCAAAGGGAAGCGATAGTGAAGTTTGGTTTCCTACTAGAGTTTCTGAATTATTTAAAGGTGCTTAAAACGCTTCCGTTTTAAGCCCCTTTTTATTTGATTAATGAATACTTTTTAATAACTACTGTATGAAGCACTACTGCACTACTACATTGTTTATTTTACTAAGTAGTTAAATGATAGGACTCATTCCAATTTATTACTGTTTTTTCAGAAATCCCTAGCGATCTAAGCAAGTGTTGTCTAGCTTGTTTTAAAAGAATAACACGGAGGTTAGAGACAGTGGTGGAAGGTGGCTCATCACCGGAACCTACGGAGGAGGAAGCCGCGAGGTTTAGGTCCTTGCTGAGAGATCACGGGACTGCGTGGGATAGAATTGCGACTGTTAGTGGGCGAACACCCGCTAGCTTGAAGGCGTTTTATTTCACCTACAGGTAAGTTTCGCGTTTAAAATAATCATGGAAACATCTAGAAACTATCATTTTAAGAGCGAATCAATAAGTGCAATTTACGAAATATTGCCAATAAATCTGTCATCTTTCAGAAAAAAGCTGCAACTAGATACTTTGGTTGGTGATCGGCCAGCGTCCGTTCCTCGACTAAGTTCTAGCGAAGATAGTGCGTTAAGTTCGGCTGACACTGACACGGCTAGTGGAGGCTCTCCGGCTACTCCCAATGCTGCCGCGACGGCTCCTGCACCTGCCCCTAGAACGGATGCTGTAGCACCTAGAAGACCTAGGAGAGAAGAGTATGACTCATCAGCCACAGAAACGGCCGATGAAGAGAATGATGCACCTAGCGCTAAGGTATCTGTTGTAGAACGTTTCGTTGAACATAGTAACGTTAAGAGAGTTATTACAGTTAAAAATAGCTGCCCTTAATAATAGCTGTTCCGGATCCCTCCTGTTGCGCAGTATAGCACACCATGTGGGTTTTTCTGACACACCGCTGATTTCTCTCTATGATAGTTGTACCCGAGAGCAATTTATTTCTCATTAATTAAATTTCAAGTGTATTTTTATAACGTTGTCTTAAATGAATGATATCTCTAGTTTTAGAGACGGAAACACCTTTCTCTTATCGTTATCGTTCTGTTCGTAGATCATACCTCCAACATCAGTGCCAACCATAGTGTGCAGTGGGTCGTCGTGCAGCCCCGTGGTGTGCGTGTCTGCGGTGGCGAGTGCTGTGGGAGCGGGCGGCGCGGGCAGTGCAGGCCCGCCGCCCAGCGCCACGCCGCCCAGCTCCCGCCCCGTCAACGCCCCACAGACAGTTCGAGATGTGGTGCTCAACCTCATCGAGATCAGTCTCACTAGGGACTCGCAGCCGCAGCATTCCAATATGAAGCCGCATCAATTAAAGGTTTGTGATGACATCAGAAATAGATTATTGTTAGATCTTGAGTCTTACCTACGTGAGTACGTAAGTGATTATGACACTTATGACAAGGACTCGCCGATACATTTTAAATAAAATAATTATGACTTTGACTTTGGCACGGTTATTATAGGCTTTTTGTAAATATCTCTTATTTAAAAAAACTAAAACGATTAAAAAATGTGTACCACGCTGAACGTTACATGTAACAGAAAAAGATGAGTTGACTCACTTAATTTGGACTATCAACAGTTGCCGTCGTCTTGCGCCAGCGGACGAGAGAGCCTAGCGACACTAAGCGTGGTGAACAGCTCGCACGTGGGCGGGCCGGCCGGCGCCGCCAGCCCGCAGCGCGCGGCCACCATCACGCCGCTGGCGCACGCCGCGCCCACGCCGCCCGCACAGAACTGCGACGGCAAGGACGTCATGGTGCTGCAGATAGAGCCCAGGCCCGACCGCCCGGAGAGAACCGACAGACCCGACACGAGACACGAGCCGCTCCTAGATCTTAGCGTGAAGAGGCCGCGGCACGATCAGCCGTTCCCGCATCCTAATAAATCGGTATGTTCATTACACGACACCCACTCGTTACACACTTAATTCGTTTTCTTTACTTACATTGTTTCTGATGTATATTTGTGTCTCGACAGGTGTACAGAAACTCGACCGACTATCAATCGTATCGACCGCAGCCCGAAAGGGAATCACCCAACCAGTATAATTCCAAACCCAAGCCTGTGACGCAACCGTCGCGTCCTCCCTTAAAACAGGCCCAAAATAAGGGTTCCATAACTTTAGGGACTCCAGTCGAAACGAGATTTGAAACCTTAAGAAATCCTCCCGAGCAGAAGACGGGATCGATAACGGCGGGCACCCCTGTGCACGGGACTCATCATCTTGCGGATAAGAGAGCGATGGATTTCTATAACAAGAGAAGAAGTCCTGGAGGAGCGTATTACTCGACCAACCAGCCTCGGCCGCAGTCGCCGTCTTTTTCACCTGTAAGTTTTAGGATTATAATGATTAAAACGGCTGATGATGTTAAACCGATGAATTTATAAATTATTATTACTTTTTATTTATAGTTATGTCAGAATTTTCTTTCGTTTGTTGAGTTTTTTTAAATAGATCGGAGTGTAACAATTTCTGACTGGTTTATAGACCTTAGTTTAGTTACAATTTAAAATCACTCTGTAACCGCTATTATTGTCAAGGATACTATTCCAATCCGACTCAAAGTATCGATTACTACGTACCAAATAAAAAGGTCTTTATAATGTAATTGACAAATGATTTTCAATAACTGTAAATAAGTTGAAGGTAATATTGTAAATGTGGTCCACAGACCGGGAGCTCAGGGTACACGCGCAACCCGTACGGCGGGTTGGAGCAGCGCCAAATCATCATGGCGGACTTCATCACGTCGCAACAGATGGGCCACGGCGGCGCGCGTCGCGAGCGCGAGCGCGCCGCCTCGCCGCAGTTCCGCCGCGACAACGTGTCCGTCATACAGCGCCACACGCCGCAGCTCTACCCGCACCCGCCTCCAGGTACACGAGCACTTATGTCTTATGCAACAATATAACTTCAACACTTTTGTGGGGCTCACTCGCTCTCTAGAAAATATTCAAAAGTCGTGAACGATAGAAGCGACCGATTTACTACACTCTGTACACTTTAACACATTTTATATTATAATTTCTATGTCTATAATTTAATCATCTTAGTTACTGCAGATAACATTAGAAAAAAATTCAATTTACCCTCGCCCCATAGAAATACATTAATAACTACCGTGAGTGAAATCGAAAAACAAAGGTATAAACAAATTAATTTATTTTATATTACCTAATGGTAGGTCATGAAGCCTTCACTTCATTAGTAGACGTGGCGTCGGCGGCGACCGCTCTCCCGGTGCCGAGGGGCTCCGCTCCCGACCAGAAGCCCGAGCCCAAGCCTCAGCAACAACAGCACCATGGGCAACCTCACGACATCAGGTATTTATTTTGTTTTCAATCTGTAATTTTCCTGGAGCCGTTATTAAGAACAACGGCTGTTCACTGTGGAACACCTTACAAATGTGTTAGGATAAACTCTTAGATAATATAATCTTTAAAATAAAATAAACTTATGTGTTAGCTGGCCTCACCCATACTCTGCAGTCAATACTCATACTCAGCTTTGATATACAATTTTTTTTTTCTACTCTCTTTTAGTATGTGTAATAAAAAAAATACAGGCGAAATTGTTAAGTTACCAGTTTCTACTAAAACGGTATTATAATTAAAATTACAGAATAGCGATGGCGCAAAAGCTGCCACAGTTCCAACAACTACAACAGTTTCCGGTGAGTAATACATATAGCAAATGTTATTAATTGTATTATTTAAAGTAAATGAAAAAGTCTGACACTTTTGTAACACAAGAAAGTGCACCATCTTACCTAATTTACAATTATAAAATAATATTTCAATTTGTGTTCTTGTCAGCAGATGATGGATAGAAGAGTACAATCTCAACAACAGTACATGGAGAGAGATAGACAAATACACATACAAAGGAGAGAATCGTAAGTTATAGCTTTGTTACGTAATGTATTGTTAACAATAATAAAAACTGGTATGGTACCACTTAAATAACTTGTAAATCAAAGATTTAACGTCCACCAAATTGCACTTGTTTAATCATTTAACTGTTAAATACTCGGCTTAGATCCATTAACGCTATCATTAAAAGATGATTGTGTAGTGTTAAAATTTTGCCGCACAAAAGGCATACTCTGGTATTACTTTACACCACAAAATAACTTGTAATGGCTGTTTGTTAAGTTGTAAAATAAACACCTTTTTCCTATTTACAGCGCTATACAAGCTATGCAGGACCGCCACGCCATGGAACAGCATCAGTCACAACAACCGCCGCAACACCAGCCCCCCATCATACATGACCGACATCATATGCACCCATGTGTAAGTTACTTTTTTATACCTTCATGCATGATCCGATCCTACCTAATTATAAATAAAGTAAGGACAATTTCATACTTTCTCTACTCAACCGGTCATCATGAAATTTTTCATTTTAGTTATAGTAGGTGTCTATAAATATGTATATAAAAGTTACTTATGTAAGATAATTATGTTTTGTTTACAGAGCGTATCGTCTCAGGATGGTGACCGACGCATGATGCAATCTGTTACTTACACAACGCCTACGAAGCCCCGGGCACAGACACCACACGCGAGGGATCAATACATAGATAAAACTAGGTATTTAATGTTTACTAACATTCGTTGTCATATGTTAAGACATATTTATTAGGTCTAGAAATCAATTAAATACATATAAATTTTATGAGGTGTTTATAGTCTTTCAATCTGAAGTCAATCTCTTTTAAAGTAGTTAGTGTTTTTATAATATTTTAGTCGTATATATAATTACTCAAGGGAGTGCTATTACCGTTGGGTTCAAGCGTGATTAGAACAAAATACGAATTATAAGTGTGATACGTATAGAATACCGGTGACAAACTGCGCATTAGATATTTACAAAAACAGAAATATCTATATACATATATAGCATAGAGGGCGGCTTTATTAGCACAAGCAACATCGTCAATTGTGGTTGAACTGGAGTCTAAAATTTGTGTAAACTGTAAACGGATTTATGGATTTTTATTACATTATAATCTTACATAAGGAACATATATTTTTAAGCATCGGTCTTTAATGTAAAAAGTAGTACGTTTATTATTGACGTCAGAGAGTAGTGTTTCTGTGCTCCCTGTGCTGAACGAAGACGTGTGTTGCAGTCGAGTGGTGGTGTCGTCGGTGCCGGTGACGGGCGCGGCGGCGGGCGCGGCGAGCGTGGCGGCGGCGGGCGCGGGCGCGGTCGCGGCGGCAGCGGGCGACGGCCGCGCGCGCCCTGCCGAAGGAACACTAACTGCAGCTTCTCTCATTGACGCTATCATCACACATCAGATCAGCCAAAGTTCCGATCAACGATACCCGGTAAGATACTTAGTTCTCTTCGATACAAATAACAATAAAATTATCCGGTTATGATTTTAATTATTAAAAATTTAATGAATTAAGTTCGAATTGTAAATAATACACTAAAGGGAACACCCTAGTGTATGTGACTCTCGAGTAGTTTGTACGGAGCCATCGAGTGACGTTAAGCTTGTTATAGGAGCGGGGCGAGCAGGCGGGTGCAGCGGGCGGCATGAGTGGCGCGGGTGGCATGAGCGGCGCGGGGGCGGTGGTGACGGCGGGGCGCGGGCCCACGCCTCAGGAGCGCGAGGACCACGCCGCACTCACCAGCATCAAATTGGGCGATCTCGCCTCCAACATCATCACCAGGGACTTCTGTAGTCCCACTACCTCCATGCTGCACCATAAGTGAGTATATTCAATTATATCCTTTTTAACGACTGAGGCTTTTAGCGTTGTGATTGTATTGTTGCAGTCCAAGTTCGACAAATGCCATTACGAACATTTAAACAAACTTTGGAAGGCGATTACTTGAGTTTTTGAAAACGTAATCTAAAGAGAAATGTAAAATTCGTTTGCCTTGTATCTAGTGTAGTAAAACTATAGTTAATGTGCAACGTACATTCTTGAAATGTGGTCACCGTTGTTTTTTTAGTTATTTTAAGCGGGTTATCGATACGAAACTCTAAAATGAAGCGATTTCATTCATCTAAAATGTATTTAATACTAATACCTATTTTCTTTTAGTAACAGGTTCACGGTACCGAGCTCGGAGGGTTACGCGAGCGGCAACAGCAGCACAACGAACGAGGAGTGGAAGAGACGAGACGCGCCCAAGCATGCGCCTTACCTTGAGCCCGTGTCGCCGCCCGACAACCACCCGGCCAACCGGTACGTTGCCGACCTGCCATTTATTTGTTACTTAAATGAATCTTTTGAATTTACATTACAAAATATCGGCATACATAGTTCAGAGTCACATTACTCTAATTAGGGCAATCAAATATAATTGACTAAGTTCACAAGTCCTGGTGAGAATCGAGTACGTGTAATTTTTCAACAGAAACGTTTATGACTTTTAGCTTAGTTTAACTAACCTTTAGAATAGTTCTTAGTTTAATAAAGTTTCTCATGTGTGACATCATAGACACACCTACAGACTCGTATTATTTTGCTGAAATGTGTACTTACTCTCATGTTGTATTATAAACAGAAACAATACCAACCGGCGTTATAGTTGCGTGGGCGGCGGTGGAGTTCCTTCGAGTACCGGCGGGGTCGTGGGCGGTGCGGGCGGCGGAGTGCTGACGGCCTTCGATTACGTCACCAACCGCATCGTGGAGGTCATGCGCAGTGACGCAGACGAGCGCACCAAGCCCATCGCCTTCCCCACCACGCAGTACGCTTACCCGTATTCCGCGCTCAACGTCGCCACCAACAGCACGGACGGTACGTACCGACTGCACCCTCTACTTTAATCACATTTATTCCAGTCCCCAGTCGTATCCAATCGCTCGGACAACGAGCTCGCTGACGTCTGTCGCGAGTAGTAAATTATTTATTGACCGCACAAATCTTATCACTTCAAAGTTCACGGAGGTCGATAAGTTCAGAGGGGTAATTTCTAAGCAAATTGAATTAGAATTAAAACATATTTGTATAGTTATATTTAGTTACATAGCCATTAATCCATCGATGTGTCCGTTGCGCAGGCGGCAGTACGGGGTCGCACGGGCCGGCCGGGCCCGCGCCGCCGCCGCCGCCCGAGCCGGCGCCGCTGATGTCGGCGCAGTACGAGCCGCTGTCGGACGAGGACTGACGCCCGCCGCCCCCGCACCAGCCGCCCCCGCCGCCCCCCGGCTAGCAGAGCGGACGGCACGCGACACCTTGTACATAATAAATATATCGACTTACTGTAGTTCCAACTGAATGTGCTTCTTTATCAACTAAATTGCTTTCAAAAAGCAAGAAGCGACCGATGTCTTATGTTCTAAGTTTAGGCGTTCTTTACCCTCGAACGCTCGTTACGTCGACGGCGTTACTGAATAGTACGCGAAAAACTGTAACACCTCCGTTAAGTTTATTTGGTTTCCTATGGTTTATACTGAATTTCATGGAGCCCCGTGTCGTTGTCGTCGTATCTGCTTGCCGTCGGTTTTGCCTATTATAATACCAATACCCTACCCAGTGCAAATTACAAAATTCGAGGGCTCGCAAGTGAATGGAGTGATTCCAGGGAAAGTGTATATAAAGAAACACCGCTTCGGTTAATTATTCAGAGGTACTAGATAATAACATTGTGATAGTGTGTAGTGTTAGTAAACATCGCCTCTGACGTCGTGTGGGTGTTGATCAGTGCTGAAACGGACGCAACGGCGTAGCAGAGACATTAATAAATTATAAAATAGTAACGAATTATCGAAGCGAGATGTGATTGAACGTGTTAGTGCATTTCGTGTGATCTCGGTTATGTTCGTACGTTCTGTATATTATAATTAATATATTTATAGGTTCACATGTTCAGCCGTGGGGAAGACTTGAATAAAGTGTGATGGGTTGGATCTGACGATGTTCGCACTCGTGCGTCGACTGGCGACGAGATATCCAAACGTGAGATGAACTGACTATGATGAACTGCGTGTAATTATTTCGAGTTTTACATTTATTTTCGTATATTTAAAACAACTATGTCATCGGTCGGCGTTTGTAACCGACGATACGTACGACGTAGCGCGCGATCAGAACTAAATTCAATGACACCCCTAAAACTACACTGCCGCTAAAATATTGCAGATTATAATAATTATTACCTCAGTACAATAATATTAAGTGGCAGAAACACCGCGGACCTTATCGGATATAATTGAAAGGATGTAACGAATAAATAATATTAGTATTTGAATCCAGTCTTCCATCGCCACTTGAGTACTCCCGACTCGCTCTAGCGTAGGATCCGCGCATCTTTCGTCCATAACTTAGCTACACTTAGTACTTGTATAATATTTGTATAGATCGGTAACAGTGTGAGTGCGCCTTGCCTGAGTGCGTGACTGTGTGTGCATTCGCTGACTCCTCGTTATATTAAGCTGTTGATAAGTGAAGTGGTGTTTGAGCTCGCGTCGCGTCACGCCTGTAACCTATTCGCGTCACACTTATGATACGTTTATTTTTATTAGAGCTTCGCTTCGGATTTCGCTGGCACATCCATTAGTTCCGCGTTAGTAGCGAGTAGTTGAATTATCATTTGTTCATTTCGTATTGTAAATATCATTAAGTAGTATCGTTAATGTAAAGTTTATATATAATGTCGGGTGTGTCGGGCGCAGCGAAGTCCGGAACGGTACCGACTACTTGAAAATTCAAAACTATTGACGACCGAAGGAACCATGTTTGTGACCTTCACTATAAATATAGGTAGCGTAACGTTAACAATATAGAATAAGTGATATAAATTATATACATATGTAAAAGTGTACCGTTATTATATATATTTACGCATTTGTAATTATACAGGTCAGCTAAGAGTTTAATTATTGGTTTGATTTCGTTTTTTAGTTAGGTGGTGTGAGTGGCCGTTATAAATATTGTGGCGTGGCAGTGGAGCGATAGTCGCGTGTCGTCGCCGCCGCACTACGCAGAGGTGCATTTTGCTTTTTGTAATGTGTTCCACTTTTGTAGTCGCGCGCCACCCCACTGTCCGCGCCCTAGCACGTGGGAGAGACCATCAAATGGTCTCATCACTCTTTCTAATGTTCAGTTGTTAAACACGGCTTGTTCTCACTTCGACAGTGAATTTGGGTGATATTGGTGTAGCGTGCGATGTTTTTTGTAAATGTTTTCGAGTTATGTGTAAAAAACGACTGATTAAATTTACTTTGAGCGAGTGTTCGGGTCGAGCGGCGGCGGCGATGCCCGTTGTATACACATTGTGATTTCTTTATAAAAGTTGTAATGTACTGTAAGTAGCCCAAGAAAAAATAATCCTTGTAAGTCCAACCATACCTGACAAGAGTTTTGAGAGGACAACAATCAATAAATAAGAGCAAAATCTATTTTAATGTGTTTTATTTTACACAGCTCTACAGCGACTATTATCGAGCGAAGTACTAAGACATGATCTATACTTTTTTCATGCCAGGCTTGGAAAAGTACATACATAATTATTTCAATACGCTTTTACTCTTTAAATATGTTTATTTGTTAATTACACCTATTACAAAAATGTTTTAGGAAGTAGAGCTATTACATTACAGTTGAGTATTACGGAGTTAGATAGAGATAAGGAGAATCGCTTCTATGTAGGTAAGTGTGCGTTGAAATGCTAGTTCTATTGGCGCTAAAGTAGCAGCAGAAGAAAACTCATAAATAAGTAATTCACAATAAATGTTTTGCTCACACCTGTTATTAGCAGAAATTAATAAAAAATATTATTTATTTAACTCAGCATACTCCATTTATTTATAGCAGCTAAGTGGACACTTAGGTTTGTCACCGATAGAAGATAGTACTCCTTACCTCTACACAACATATTAGGAAAGTATAGATTAGAGATGCCACGAATATTCGGCAACTATTCGGTATTTGACTATTCTGCCATTTTTTCCCACTATTCGGTATGCGGCCGAATATTCGGTCGAACACCTTTCAAAGATTTTTGTTTTACCAATAACTTATCATAATAATAGTTAAAACATTTTTTTCAGCATTTATTGGTAGGAAACGATCGTGCTTTCCCTCATAAATCATACCTACTTAAATCATATTTGTACATCACTCGAAGGTCGACTGGGAGAGAATGATGGCATAAGTCCGCCTTTGTACGTATACAACATGTGCATTAAATTTTAATAAATAAAGTAGCCGATCACTGTATGTACTGCTTCCGGGCAGCGGCGTGCACAGGATTATGACACTAGGTATGCGGAGTAGTCGGTCACAAAAACTTTTTCTTTTATAGATTTTTAGCATAGCCACAAAATGTAAACAATATGGCCGCGAAGCACACGAAACATATCTGCTATTTAAACGAACACTTCCGATTACTCCCGAACTAACTTCGGTAGCCTGCCGCTGGAGGCGGGGTAATAAAATAAATGGGTGTGTGCGTTTGCGAACTGTGCACGGATACCAAAATTACTACACACATGCGAACAAATGTAATGCGGGACGTGACGGCATGAGTTGCTTTGCGCTTGCTTTTCGGTAAACACCTGGCAAACATAATGTTTGTGTGGTCCTATTTTTAAATAGTAGGCGTTTTTAAGTTATTATATTTTGTTTTTTCATTTATTTACTATTAATTAAAGTCATCTAAAACGTACGAACGTTTTATTAAAATGTCTGTGAATAGCAAGTAAAGCACTGCATTTCTGCCTACAAGGAGCGCACACCCCTGCTTCCGGGCAACTAAATCTTATCAAGTTCTGTTACGTTAGGATTTGTTTTGCGTTTGCTGGCCATTTTACTGATTCGTGTATGTATTTGTTCGGCCAAGAGACTCCGAATATGCGTTATTCGGTATTCGGCCAAATCCGTATTCGTGGCATCTCTGGTATAGATACGTTCCCGATAGATACATTTTAATTACCACAAACTACACGCACCACAAAATAACTCTTAAGCTTTTATGAATATCAATAAAAAATAATATAATTTAACATTTCATCACGAATCATATTCTCAGAATCATTATGTGGTGCAATTACACAAATTCAATTAACATTAGTAATCCATCACAGATTTCTATGCGCCTATTTTAGTCATAATACAGTGTAGTAAGCTGTATTCTTCACCCTTAATTTCCAAATAATAATTATTTGACTCGGTTCAACATACACACACACAAATATAAAATAGATTTAAGATGGTGCTCTATTATGAAGTAGGTTAAAAAGGCGTATAATCAGTTATATTTAATGTGAAGTAAACAGGGGTGCAGTCCAAAGTAGAAACTTTAATGTAGGTGTTAAGTTTCTTCAAATTCACGAGATTATGCTGGTCCCGGCTATAGTAAAAGTATCTCGCTTTTATAGCCGGGACCGAGATGACGACGGTAGCGAGATGAATTTAAATTACTTTTAGGTGAAGCTGCACATTAGCCCCGAAAGTCATCTTTGACAATAGCTTAATAAAATTTCAACGATATTTCATAATTACCGGCTTCTTGGGTAGTCACCCAAGTTCTTTTTTTTTTTTTTGCAATATTAAAGGGTGGTAAGGCGTTTGGTGACGGATTAAGAATACGGAATGTCGCCACCCCAATTCATCCCGAGGGTGTCGTAGGAGCCGACTAAGGGAACACACTACGCGGGACAAAGCAAAGGGAAGGAAAATTTGACACAAACCCTATACCAACCCGTCTGCCAACGTGGTACAGTACGCCGAAACCTCCTTTATAAGGAGAGGTCTATGTCCAGCAGTGGATGTTATTAAAGGATGTTGATGTGATGATGATGATGAGGAAGGCACCATCTAATATTGCAAAAAAGGCGGACTTACTTGCCTATTCGTAACATTCTATGTATCGTATCTTGCGTTAGTCATCGCTAAATTATATAGTTATAAAGATAATAGGGCTTCGGGAGTGAATGTCAAAACAGTATTAACTATGAGTAATTAAATATTTATGTCTACATAGTAATATCAAAAACGTTAAAAACGGCGTCGCTTTTTGATATAATATCTTATATACTATATTATATTTTCATTAAGAATTTGATTGACAATAGGAAAGTTACAGTTACTAGGTAAAGTTTTTGATTTAATTAGTTAGAACCGGACACCTAGCCCTGAACCGAAAACTATTCACCAATAATGCGACGGTCAGTCCTCTTTGCAGAGGATGACTGAAAGCAGAAGAAACGGCCGCCTACGTAATCCTGGACTCACTCACTCAGTCACTCAACGGGAAAGTATCATACCTGATACAGAATCGCTCTTAGAAGCCTATGAACGCCCCAGAAGGCTTGCGTGCTTCTGGAAGGAGCTAGGTTGAATCACCTAGCCAACCTCTCCTCGACGCATAAAGGATTATTCTTGAGTCTAAATGCGGAAACTGGAGCCCACAACCAATACCAACTCTCTGGGCCCTGCCTGTCTGAAGCAAACCTACTATAACAACACAGTGTGCCACTCTGCGCCTGACATAGGAAGGATTTGGGAACAACCGTTATTTAAACCTCTGGACCACTAGCAGTACTTACTGCCTAATTTAGCGTATATAGTAAATAAATCCACGAATAGAGAGGGACAATTGAATGTTGTGTCACCAAATATTTCCTTTGGTCAATTTTAGCTCTATCTTCTTCCATTTTAGTAGTACATTAGTAGAACCCCAAAACTGTTGTATCTTCATAATAATATTCTCAAAACTAAATTTCGGTGTCGCATTTGAACCTACCTACTCCTTCATTTAATGTTCCAAATTTTTCGTCACTTAAAAAGGGGTTAAGTCAGGGTTGGCAGGTTGGGTAAGCGCCCCACCTTGCCCCACCTTGGGTACGCCCATGGTGTGACAAAAAGAAATGGCATCATAGTTGTTTGTTTAAGGGGACTTCATACAATGTGGGCGTCAATGGTACATTTCATCGATGACATGAGGGGACCCTTAATATCTTCGTCACTGCCCAAAATGTTAAGGTTTTCAGAAGAAGAATCCAATGAAGGTGAGGTGAACGAAAATTACACGAACCACGGGGTACATACACAAATTTTATTAAATAACTTTTTCAATTTAAATTAAAAGATATCAACTTTTATTATAATCAAATGTTTGGTATTTACACTCACAATATACAACGCAAATAAAAGTTGGTTAGTGTAAAAATTATAGGAAATACAATAAAACCGCTTACAATAAATGCTTCAGCCAGCATCGGAATCCTAGGCATCGACATATCGAGCGAAGTCCAGGTTCGGGGTCACTTAGACGGTAAGGTCAAATTGGCTTCGAAGAAGCTCGGTGTGCTGAACAGATCGAGGCAGTATTTCACTCCGGCCCACCGCCTTCAGCTCTATAACGCGCAAGTCCGGCCGCATGTAAAATACTGTTCACATTTTTATGCTATGGATTCTCATATCTCTAACATAAAAAAATAACGTCTCAAGTAGTTTTACATGTTGTACAAGATTTTACGTAACAACATCTATTGATTGAACAGTCAACTGCCTTGGGATCATTTTGGGCTAACACTACTAGGGGCCCTAAGTTGGAGTCACACTTAATTCCTTTTTTATGGAAGAGAGGGCAGCACACGGATCACCTGATGGATAGTTACTACCGCTGTCCACGAAAGTCTTACCTAAGATGACTTTGTCGATTTTCCTACCTTTGTACCCCAAAGTGGCTAACGTAATATTATAAATGTTTTTAAAATATTTACTCACTAATAATGGTCATTGACTTATATCCCCTTATATCTACGGGTCCCAAGACCGCAGCTCAAAAAGCTTATTTTCAAATCTACCAATAAGTCGATTTATCAACCCAGAAATTTCTAGCAGAATTATGTAAAGAAAGTACAAGAGTGCAATACTAAATACAATGAAAAAATTTAACAGAGTACAATAAGTGCAAACTAATAAATTACCAGTTTTTTAAAGAAAACAGAACAAATAAACATTTTATTCAAAATTAATTTACACCTATTACAACAGCTGCAGCAAGTCCTGTTGTTAAGCGCTATACATTTTAAATAAGTTTCGCGTGACGGAAATCTGCTGTAATTATATATTTTTAATTAGACCAGCAAGGGTTGGAAGATTATAGGAACACAAAACATTACATTGACAATATAATTACATAAACCTAGAAACAGGTTTATAAGGTGCAGCACACGTTTACGTTTTAAAAGTAACCTTAACATACCTAAAACGTCGACGACTTTGTATTTGATGTCCAGTGTAAACAATTAATACAAAATAAAGTAGCACTTGCCTACTTAGTAACGAAATACTTTTTTACGAAATAAACGGTGTAGTGAATAGTGAATTTAAGTTTATCTATACTAATTAAATAAAGCTTAAGATAATGTTTAATTTGGTATAGCATGCTAATTACTGACCTCTACCATCAACAGGACTTGTTTCTTTTGATCTTTGTGTTTGAGGAAGGTTATAGGCATATTTAGCTTTTAGAAGTCACTATCGAGAAGAACCAGAACTCTTCAACTTCAACTCATATACCTATCTTTAATATAACAGTGAAAGAAATTTCTAAATCGGATTTGTGATACGGAGATTACCCCGAAGATACAAACTTTAAGTCTTTACAATATAAGAATAGAAAAGTAATGAACAGTGAATACATTTTACACCTTACGCCCATAGGACAATAGAAGCAAAGGGTGTATTTTTTCACACTCTCCTATGTAATTAGCTTAATTAAACCACTTACTATACGACTACCCTAAGCGGTTTCGATATGCCAAAGACTATTAAAGTTTGCAAGTCAAAGCATAATGACGTCCATTTTGGGCAGATTTTTAAAAACAACGACATCTAGAAAAGATGAAGAAAGAGTACGTATCTCTTGGTCTGTTTTACCTTCATTAATTCAATAAAGTAAATTCACCCAATACTGAACACAGACGTATGTTTATTTACTGGCATTTGCCCGTGGCTTCGACCGTGTGTATGTCGGTTATCGCAGTAAAAAGTAGCCTATGTCCTTCCTAAAGCATAAAAGTATCTCCATGCCAAATTTCACTAAAATTTGTTAGGCGGTTATGCCGTGTAAGCGTAACAGACAGACAGACAGAGTTACTTTCGCATTTATAATATTATGAGGGACCGCTACTATATGCATGTAAAGTCACAGAAAGCTGAAATGCTTCAGAAAGAGACTGCTGAACGGATTGGGGAGAGTGCCGATTCCGAACGAAAAAGACGTGGTAAGAGCCACCGACGGGACCGTGGGCCGCCAGAGAGTGCCGCAGGGGTCCTCTGGTGGCAAATTGATTACTGCGGTAAGGAACATGTTGGCGGCCTGATTACATCAAAATACGATCGAGCCCCAAGATTTAGTGAAAGGCGGGTGGAAGCCTCTGGCTTTCCTAGGGATAGGGCCTAGTTAGACCTGAAATGACATGGTCCGGGTCCTTCCCAGAATAAGGCCACCACCTTAGACCGGCCATCGAGGTGGTTTTTAGTCAAAACACCTGTCTCCTGCGTCCCCTAGGAGCCGGAGATCCGATGGGAAGGGATTTTTCACCTAGTCACCAAAAAAAGATGTTAAGTGACATAAAGACGAATGAAGCTGTATATTTACATTTAAATAAGGAAATTTCTCATAACATTTTTTTTTTTTTTTTAGTTTACTCTCTCATTAGTCTAAATCTTGCATTGCTTAACGGTCCAACCAACTGTTCTACCTGTTAAACGTCGAATTCGATTATAGTTAAATAATATTTCTCCACCTAATAATCTACTTACCGGTACCCATAAAGACCACATATCGTCATGATCATGTCTTCAATCCATATAGTGAGTCGTGATCTTACTGCTCTAAAAACAATTACCTAAAGTAAGTTTATCAGCTACGAGTATGTAATACCTTTGCACTCGCGATCCTGAAATCTGTGGAAGCCCTTTCGTGGAAGGAGACAAGTAACAGGTAATTTATTAATGGCTGCAGATGGTCATTAGATAGTAGATGAAATGTTACAGGCAGATGTAACACAACATTTGCAACTACTGTAAAGTTCTCTACTTGTTTGCCTGCCTTTGTGTCCTGTGTGTGTATTTGTACCACTAAGATATTGCAGCTCGTGTCGTTGGGGTTGATAAGATTTAAATTTGCCTCTCACCAGGTATATACAAAGGAAGATTTCGACGAAATGTTTGTTATTCCGAAGAGAGTGTTGAGTTTAGTCGGCATTCGCATGACGCACAACATTTCGGACCTTCAAGAGTAAGTGGCCATGTAATAATTCTTTCTGGCGAAACATGTTTTACGCTACTCTTGTGATAAACTAAATGGTTTGTCTACAGTAAATGTTGGAGTCTCTTGTATTGGTTGGAGATGACGAACATCCTAGTGTTTTTACCCACGGAGTTTCTGAGCATGGTGGTGACGGCCATAAATGCTACTAGCTTCCGAGAGGGAGCCAAAATGTTCAGGATGATACCGTGCTTTGGAACCGTTGTACTGTGTACGTTTTAAAACAATACATTATTCATGCATTATTATTAAACTAGATATTAAATATAAAACAAATTATATTTACAACTGCTTCAAACGCTGACAGGTACATAAAATAAAAACTCCTATTTCACAATAGATTAATAAAAAGAGAGATAAATTTTAATAATTAAAATCTTTCCTTTTGACTAGCTGTTTTCAAATCGATGAAAATTAAAACCAACCGCACCACCTTCGAGAACATACATCATGAGCTCCGTGAGATGTGGAAGACTGGAAGGGTCACCGAGGAGGAGCATCGCATTATTAGTCCAGTATCAAAGCAATTGAATTATATTATCAAAGGTAAATTGACTAAATTTTCACGCGTTTACTGCTAATACCGATAATCATGAATTTTACACAGCGGTTCAGAAAAAGGGTTAGGGTATGTATAAGGGAGCCCTTCATACGTGAACATAGTGATTGCCATTGAAGCACTTTATAAGTATTTATTATGTACCTAATATATTTTATTTCTTTCTTCTTTATAATTCGATTTAATGATTTATTTGTCGCTTTTAGTTGTTGTTGCCTTTGTAAATGCCTTCCTGTATACCTTTCCGATAGTGTTTTTTTCTAGTGTAGTAGGCAAACGAGTGGACTGGTCACCTGATGGTAACTGACTATCCCCACCCCTGGACATATGCAACTTAAGAGATAAGGCGGTAAGAGAAAATCATGATGAAATTTATAAATATGTAACTCTGTTTCATGCAGGATATTACTGGTGCAACAATTTTTTACTGACGATCTTCCTCAGTCCGTCTTTCTACTTCTGTCTCAGACGGTACTTTGGATACGACGCGCCGATGGTTCTTCCCTTCGATTATTTGCTACCATTCAATGCTTTCCAGCCAATTGTCTTGGAGATCATTTTGTTATTACAAGTTGTCGGAGGTTAGAAAACGAACTTATTAAATTTTATTAATACCCTCTGATTTATTTACTCGTTTATCTTATGCATAACTGTAATGGTAAGTAGTATTAATTTAGCGAATGAAATGTGGAAAATCAATTATCATCAACAGCCTATAATAGTCCACTCCTCGACATAAGCATCTCCTTAAGAAGGACTACTAAACCACGTTGGCTAGCCCGGTTGGTATAGAGTTTGTTTCAAGTTTTTCTTTTTTTAAGGAATAGGGGGCAAACGAGCAGACGGGTCACCTGATGAAAAGCGACTAGTCACAAGCGCGTTGCCAGTTTTGAGGTAGGAGTACGCTCTTTTCTTGAAGGTCGTATCGGTGCGGAAATACCGCAGCCGAAAACTTGTTCCACAAATTGGTAGTGCGAAGCGAAAAGTGTCTTGAAAAGCGCACAGTGGTGGAGAGCGAATTATCCAAGTGGTAGAGTTGAAAATTTTGCCGTGTGGAACGATAGCGGAAGGTCGCGGCCGGTAGTCCGAACAATTCCACGGAGCACTCTCCATGATATATACAATAGAGAATGCAGAGTGAAGCCACATCTCTACGTAACGCCAAGGGATCGAGTCGCTCGGAGCTGTTTGGGCTATCAACGATTCGAGTCGGTCTTCGTTGGATGCGGTCCAGAGGGAGAAGCTGGTACTAAGGTGCATCTGCATAGAGATGAGAATAGTATTCCAGAGGCCCATAGGAAGGGAGGAACCCACACCCAATCGAAGGCCTTTGCTATGTCCAAGCCATGTTGGCATTTACGACACCCATGGGGTAAATAGGGACCGTAAAACTCCGTATTCTTAATCCACTCAACAGAATGTGGAAATTAAATAATGACAAGTTGAAAGACTTAACTGCTAACTAAGTCATATTCAGATGATGGTCGTAGAATGGGTGTGAGAATATTACATGTCGTAGGAACGTAAAGACACTACACATAGTCTCACATCCTAGAGAGAGTGAACCCTTCAGGCATCTCACACGTATTTGTATAGAAATAAAGGGATTCTAGGCCCCTTTTACTTCTACAAAACTGCTGTTACTGCTTTTGCTGTAAAGAGTACATCACAATTAGTCTTCGACTAGTCGATATATTTAGCAACATTTTAGTTAGTGTGTTAAAACCAAAGAATTTATCTTTGTATCTAGGGGTGATGGTCATCTGGTCTAACATAGCCTGGGACATGTTGTTCTGTGTGTATATAGCACATGTCACGATACAGTTCAAATTACTCTCGGAGCGCGTGCGAGGACTGATATATGTGCGTGTTGATCAGCAGCTTGTCGCCTCGTATCCTTTAGGTAAGTCAAAAAACCCATTTGATATAATATATTGTAAAAAATAGATCGAAATATAAACTTGTGAAATGTCCTTTTTGTTTTAATCAGAATATTATGGTGCCGCTTCTCTTAGTATCGTAGTTGCTCCAACGGACATTGTCCTAATAAAATTTATTTCATAATTATCATCATCAACAGCCTTTAATAGTCCACTACTGGACATAGGCCTCTCGCCGATAGTACGCCTATGCTTATTAATTTATTATGTAAAGGAATTTAAAGCGAATTTTGACAATAGCGAATATCTATCAACATTATACAAATTAATAATAAGGATTCTTCTCTAATTAAATACTATTAAAATAAATAAGTAGGTACTAGTAGTTTTATACCCTTTCTAATCTCTAATATGGTTTCTATTAGCCAAAGTCAGGCAAGAAACAACTGAAGATGATAATGATGTACCAAATGGCACGCTCCAAAACGAGTGGGAGATGGCACAACAGAGGGAACTTGTAAATATTGTGAAGACGCATCATAAATTGATAAGGTATGGACTTGAATACAATCCTGTGTGTATCTTTCTCTTATCAAACTACTAAAAGTATTTTTGTAAAATCTTCCCAAGTTTTTTAGAATTTTAAGACCTCGACAAAGAGCGGTACCTTCCTTATGCCTTTAAACAGCTGGCTCTCAGAAGTCAGAAATAAATCACCTTCTTGTCTGCAGTACTTTTGTGGTATAAGTTGTTATATATGATGTTATATATGGTGTCAAGAGATATGGTGTTACATTTTTGAAAAGCATTCGTTCCATATAATTCTAAGCTTTGTAACGTTCTATAATGTTATAATGGAATTACACACGTATTATATTTATTTTAGGTTGACAGCTGACATGGAAGCTATGTTCAGTTTAGTGCTGCTGGTGAACTTCATAAACAGCACTACTATTATTTGCTTTTGTGGATTCTGTTGCGTTGTAAGCATCCAAACGATATAGTTTTGCTATTACTTCACAGTCTTAGTTATAAGATTCACATTGATTATACTATGAATAAATCAAGTTATTACAAAGGTATTTGTGTCAAGTTCTAAATGCCGTTGACCGTAACAAGTCTCATTTGACTTTATGCTACGTTTCTTATTAAATAAGGAATGAAACTGCACCTTAATACAAGATTTTTCTCTGTTCGAACGAAAACTTTGTACACTTCAGCTTAAATATGAACAATAAGCGGCCGTTAAATATAGTTTATGGAACTGAAAATTTTATATTGTCCAATATTTTTTTAATAAACATTAGAAATGTAAACCAAACCTAACAACACCCAACACCAAACAAACAACAAACCAAGTATCTAACTCTCTCTCTCTCTCTCACACACACACACACACACACACACACACACACACACACACACACACACACACACACACACACACACACACACACACACACACACACACACACACACACCACACACACACAAACACACACTCACACACACCTAAATTAAGAAAGACACATTGAAAGCTGAAAGACAAAACGTGGAAACGTTTGACGTGTACGGAATGATCTATAAAAATAATGGCAGTTCAAGTTCTTCAAGTCAGGGCGTAAAACCTTTAAAGACTATTCAATGTCATCTAAACCTAAACCCTTACAGCATTGGTAATGTTTATAAACTTGTTATCCCAGTTACTTGAAAAATGGAACGAGATTGCTTACAAATCTTTCTTCGTGACAGCACTCTCACAGACCTGGTTTTTATGCTGGTTCGGACAGAAACTAATCGATTCTGTAAGTTTAAAATTAGTTTTTGTTTATCTTTGTAACTATTTCACTCACTTACAAGAGGAGAGATGAAATAATTGTGCCTTTTTAGTCTTCCAGGGTAGGTAAAAAAAATGTATAAAAGCCGACCTGCATATAGATGCTTTTATACATTTTTTTTTAAAGTATACGTAAAATGTATATGGATGTCGAGTGATAGAGTACAATGGGAAAAGAAAATTCAAAACACATAGATCCCAAATAAATTTTGTAAAAGCGTAAGAAGATGATGATGACGATGTAAATGAAGCTCAATATTAATATAGCTTCATAGTTCTCTTCTCCAGTAGACCAGCTCCACTCGAAGTAGTCTTTTATGTCCTTCTTTTTCCTTGTAATCGTTTTAATGATGTTACATATTACACTCACGCCTATATCCCCAAATGGGTAGGCTAACAGAGGCGTAATCTGGGAAGGAATTTGAAGGGGATATTGCCAATCCATTCGAATCACCAATTATTGGATTGGGAAGTGAGTCAGAGCAGGTCAGAGTAGCAAACACGTAACTTGAACCGAACTCTAACCTAATTTTAATGAAAGAACAACATTGTTTTAATATTGTAACTTTTCAGAGTCTCGGCTTGTCTCAAGCTTTATACGAATGCGGCTGGTACAGCGGTTGTAAAAAAACCAAGAACTCAATATTAATAATGCTTGTAAGGTAAAGTACCAACACTATAGTTAAAATATATTTCTTTATTGTCAGTCTTCATGTTATGCAAAAAAAAAAAAACAAGTTATTCAGAAATAATATATTTGATGTTCTTAGAAATGATTTCTTTATTAATAAATTGGGATAGGCATTTTTCTCGGACGAAGGCACATGTTTTTAATTTAGGAAAGTAGTTTTTAGACTGAATTAAATCTGTTTATCAAATATGGATTCATCGATAATTACTTTTTTTCTTTTTTTTATTTATTTGAATAGCTGATACAAATACAAATCATGTAGAGATGCAACATAAACTCCTTCGAGTTTTACCGTACATCAATTTCGTCATATGTTACTTACATTGTCACAAAATATCACAAAATGCAAATACACTTGGAATAAAAGCACCAATACAAAAAGCATCACAATAATAAAGTGAGGGTAGTATACAAAAATGTGTACGCAGTGCGCAATAGTCACATCGACCGCGCATCAGTGATGAATTCAACAACATTATATCGTGGATACATTTATAATATTTTACTACACTATACAGGTTGTTCCAGGGTATGACAAATGGTCGATTTAATTTTGTAAAAAGTGTTGTTTCAATTTTATTTGTATGTTTACTTTTGTTAATGAAGTCTTTACTGATTTCGGAAGCTCATTTACTAAGAGTGGTACCATGCATTTTAGAGTTCTTTTCCCGTACAGATTTGTAAATCGTGGTAGTAATAATTTTGCATTATTGACGCTACGGGTCTTCATACCATGTGTATCACGGGCTTTGTATTTTTGAAGATCTAAGTTAAAGTACTCCTCGGTTAGTAACGTTAGTTTTACTTTCTGATGTATAGGAATAATTTTGCAGAAATCAAATAGTTGTTCGTAATCGTGCTTAAATTTATTTTTTATGTTTTGTGGTACAATCTCTTTTAAAATTTTAAGTTGAAGTACATATATTTGGTCAAGGTGGCTCTTGTAAGTCCTGCCGTAGCTCGAAAGGCCATACGAGATTATTGAGTCTGCCAAAGATTTATAAAGTAGGAGGAGTGTTTTGTATGGTATGTTATGCTTGATTAATGAGAATTTGGCGAGAATAGTTCTTAGTGTATTGCAGACTTGATTTATGTGTTGTTTCCAATTTAGGCGGTTGTCGATAATTAGTCCGAGATAGGTTTGTTTCTCAACGTTTTCTATGGTGTCACAATTACAAGGAATAGTCAAATTAACGTAATTAGTCTTATGTAGACAATCATGACAGTGTGCTATAAGTTTAGGTGCCCAAATACTTCTGTTTTGGCTGGAACTAATATACATCACTTTGGTCTTTTTAATATTGAATACAAGTCCAGCATCATGCGACCATTTTAAAAGGAGGTTGAAGTCGCTTTGTAGCCAATTTTGAGCTTCGATGATATTAGTTCCCGCGGAGATTAGGTAAGTGTCGTCTGCAAACTGGTACATTTCGCAGTTTTTTTCCGGCTTTCCAGATTATTTACGTAGGTGAGGTAATGTGAGGGTCCAAGAACAGAGCCTTGAACTGTACCTTTCATTTAATTTTTTTTCATTAAGCGCGTCACCAACTTTGACCATAAGCTTCCTATCACAAAAGTAGTCCCTACACCACTCTAGCAGGTTGCCTCTAATACCACTCTCAGAGAGACATTCTATTAACCTGTCATGCTTGAGCGTGTCAAATGCTTTGCTGTAGTCTATAAATACGACCAATACGTGATGTTTTTGTCTAGGTGGTTGTATATACTATCTGTGAAAGCTGACAGTAGTTGTGCTGTATTTTTATGGCTGAAAGCCATATTGAATTGATGACAGTATATTATTCATTTCATAGAAGTCATAGACTTGTTTGCAAATGTATTTTTCAACTATTTTATCTATGCTTGGTAGTATAGTTATTGGTTTGTAATTATCATAGTCAGTTTGACTGCCTTTTTTATGTATGGGCCTTATAATGCCCGTTTTCAACGTGGAAGGATATTTACTAGTTTCTATAGACAGGTTTATTAAGTTACACAATACCGAAATTATGCTCTTGGATATTTTTTTAATGTCAATAGTCCTGATACCATCTACTCCCGGTGCTTTATTGTTATTTAGAGACATTATTATTTTTTTAATTGAATGAGACTTAGCTGGTTTAAAGCGCATTGTTACATTAGCGGTACTACTGTAGAGTGACTTGTTTAGCAGAGGTAACGAGCAATTTGGAATTACGTCTTTAACGTTGTTGGCGAACGTTCGCGCAAAATTATTAGCAATATGCTTACAGGTGTTACGAACGTTTTTGAAAGCATTGATAACAACACCATCGATAGATTGTTTGATTCGTCCTGTCAATCGGTTCAGTATTTTCCAGAGGTATTTTGTGTTGTTCTTGTTGTTAATAATGTCAGATTTGATTTTGTTGTTTTTGGCCTTTCGCATTAAATAATTTGCATAATTTCTTGCTTTATTATAGTTTAGTTTAAGGTTCATATCATTAGGTTGTTTAATCCATGATTTATATAATTTATCTCTGTATTCGCAAGCCTTTATTATTCGTTTATTAATCCAGTCATGATTACAGCGAGAAGGTGATTTTTTTAATGGGATTTTATAATTTGACTGTTCGTAGCACTCAGTGAATCGCGTGTTTATATAATCGTTTATATAATCGTACAATAAATTAGGACAGTTTATATTATGTGCGTCATCCCAAGATACTTCTTCCAATAAGTCAAATAACTTTTTATTATTTATGCAAGTTTTATATTTTGGGGCATCCTGTATCTGTGAGCCAGCGCAGGCAAGAACAACGGCACGATGATCAGCCAGTGTCGTCCCAAGCGCTGCGGTATACAGGTCTTGTTCGCGGGATCTAGCAAAAATGTGGTCAATACATAATTTACTTAGTAATCCGTTACTTATTTCGATTCTAGTGTATTCAGTGATCGGCACAGAAGCCCGACGCCACTTAACATGTTTTTGTATTTATGTATTACAGGATTATGCGATTTTATGTCTATGTTAGTGTCTCCTATCACATACAAGTCGCTCAACCTAGGAAAGTGATTAAGTGTAGTGTGTAGTTCATTGATGAAGAGGTTTTTGCTAGTTCTCGGGGGACGGTATATTGCACACAAACCCGCGGAATAGTTGGAGTGGGTGGTAATAATACATAATAAACTTTCGAAGTTAATAGTTTTTATACTTTTGATGCTACACTTATGTTTGTTATTTATATATAAGATAATACCACCACCCCGACGTTCGTTTCGTAGGGCCGCGTACATACGGTAGCCCACGATTTGAAAAAGACTGCTAATGCTTTCAGATACATTAGCTTCAGTTATAATTATGACATCAATGAGTATCTTGGACTCCTGTATACATTGTTCGAGAGCTGAGAAGTTTTTAATTAGGGATCGAATGTTAATATGAATGCATAATAGCTTGATACTGTTAGTGTTATTAGGTAAATAGTTAAGAAAGTCGTTTACATTCACACAATCTGTGATCTCAGTAATCTCATTAAAGCATTTGTCCATAAGAAATGAAAGTGTATTGTGTAACAATTGCAAACAATTCAATGAAAACTTACAGGTTTGACGATAGGGAGCGTAATTGTTCTAACGACTTTACAATAATAGGTTTATCACTATCTTCCTTTCGGGCCCTAACGACTCCTCTTTTGAACCATACATATTTGAAGCTCTGGTTGATTTTAGGCTTATGTTTTGCATTCCAGAATAGTTGTTTGTTGAATTTAGTCATGGCTTCTCTAATATATACTGTATTTTTATTATTATTTTCTGTAGGATGGATGTCACCTACAGTCATTTTAAACGATTTGGAAGCAGCGATCCAGGTTTTTTGCACCTGTTCATTCTCTAGTTCCACCAGTATATTAACGGGTTGATCCTTTTTTGTATACCCTCGGCTTGTACTTTTGGTTGGTTCAATTTTCGAGCGATATTTTCCACAACGGCTTGAATCTCTTCATTGCTTTGGTTAGGAACATTTGCAATTTCTACATATTTTGAGAGTTTTTCTTGCTCTAAGTCTTGTAGACGCTGTTCCAAGGCACCGACTCGAATTTCTAAGTGGTTGTTCTTATTGGTCAGTTCTATGTCTTACGTTCAAGGGCTTTGACTGTTTTCTTAAAAGCATCTATACACTCCATTACTTCATCGAGCTTGGCACTGTGAAATTGCAATGAGTCATTCAACTGGACCATTTCTCTCTTGATTGCCCTTTCCACTTCTTTGGTTATATTGCTAAGCAACTTTTTAGCATTGATTTGGACGGCTTCGTCTTCCTCCTCCTCTTCTGGAACTATTATTGAGGACGTCGGCCGGGGTGTTTCTTGTTGGCAGTCGGGGCATGTCCACTCCAAACTTGTTGCAGCTTTAAGGGCTGCTAGCTGTTTGTTATTTAAGCCCGTACATTTTGTGCTCAGGTGTAAAATTTTTTCACACTTACTGCACTCTAGGCCTGGTGTAGTTTTAGAAATATTTTTGTTGCAATTATCGCACTATTTATTTGGGGGTATTTGGGACAACCTGCACTAAAGACGGACAAATGACGAATCTATATATATTTATAGCACCTTTCATTCTATTTGCATTCTATGCAAAAGATTCCATTGCCAGATTTAAAATTTAAATATAGGTATATGTATTAAATGCATCCGGCAGTTCATTCCAGATCTTGGCGTCTCGAGCCAAAAAAGAGCTGAATCTTTACGTTTACTACCTTTTTTTTTGCTTGAATGGAGAAATGAATTTTCTAAGTATAAAGTTATTCTATTAATAAAAAAATGCATCAATGTCATCAATAGTTTATCGAAAATTAGGATCGTCAGTGACAATTTCCTAATATAAAAGACACCTTATAAACATTACACATTTGCGTTAAGTATAGAAGGTGTAGTACGAGTATAATCTAAAAATAAACTGGGTCGACAAGAAAACTCAACCCAAAAGACGCCTTTTATTTTGTACTCTACAACTACTTAATATTTTTTCCAGATCCCAAAATTGTGCTCGAGTAACAACACACGGATTCTCCACTGTTTCTTTAGCTAGCTACACTACGGTAATTTCAAAATATAACCTTTTATATCAGCATTTGAAAACTCATCAAACATACATGAGTAATATTTTTAAAATTAATGTCATTTGCAGATTATTAAAACATCGTGGTCCTACTTCACTTTGCTTTACAACTTCTACACAAAATAGATCACTGAAGACACAGTTTTGGACAAAAGGAACATTTTCTAAACACAGAATTACTAATACAAACACTTTTATCTTAGTTTTGTACACCGTATCACAGAATTCTTGGAACTCTTAAATCGTGACCAAAATGAAATGTTTGTTTGGTACCTACAAAAAAGACGTTTCATTTTTGTTTTTAATTTAGGAAAGTAGTTTTTAGACTGAATTAAATCTGTTTATCAAATATGGGTTTATCGATAATTACTATTTATAGCACCTTTCATTAAAGTTGAGTTGAAATAATTATCATAATATGTACATACCAAAACCTTCTTTCTCAGGAGAGGTTTATGTCCAGCAATGGACAAATAAAGGCTGTTGATGATAATATAATATAGTTGTAGATGTACATGTAGTTTTTAATTTATATTTTCTACTCCATATAAAGTTTCTAAACTACTCTGAACATTTTTTGTAAAGTATATTTATGTTTACGCAGCATGTGACTACAGCCAGTGCAACCTAAAGGTCGTAGCTGACTTAAACGACTGTGCTCCCACCCAACCAAAGTATGAGCATTTAAATATGGACTTAACATCGTGCTCTGTAGACGCACTTTACAGTAGTAGCGAGCTTACGAAGCGAGCTTAAGCGCGTTGTCTGCTTTTTATGTTGTTACTGTAAAGTGACGCACGATGTTAAGTACGACCTAGTTTTAGCAAGTCCGGTCGCATATGGAATACTGTTGCAGGGGCACCTCAGTCCAGGGAGCAGAGGGAACATGGGGTTCCCACACGGGGGGGGGGGGGGGGGGGGTCGTCTACCCGTTTTTTTTTTTTTTTTTTTTTTAATTAAAACTGTCAACCTCTTGCATAACAAGAGTCTTTTGTATGCTAGATTTCGTTTTTGTTCTTTTTATTTTCTTGTTAACTTTTTATTTGTTCCTATTTATCACTTTTTCGCATATTTGGATTGCGAACTTCAGAAAGTGCGGCCTTGTTGCTGTATTTGCTAAAACTAGGTGTGCCGTTTTTCTCTGTATACTTTCACCAAGGCGTTGCTCAGCTTCGTATCGTTTAGCCCCGAATACGGGGCAGTCAAAGATGATGTGTAGGACGTCTTCGTCCTTAGCTGGGTCGCAGATACATGACGGGCTCTCCCGACACCTGAAGCGATGTAAGTATTGGGAGAACCCCCCATGTCCCGTTAGTATCTGCGTAGCAACGCCTTGGGGCCGGATCTTCCGCACCAGGCAGTACGCATCCTTCGCGTCTGGGAAGAACACTCTCGTGACGGAGGCCGTGTGGCCCGACTGGTATCTCCGGTTCCATTCGTCGAGCGAATCGCTGCGTATCTGTCGCTTGACGAATGAAACCGGGCACAGGTCGTAGTCGGGCTTCCTCCGACTCGAGAGTGCCGCCTCCTTAACCAAGTGGTCGGCGCGCTCGTTACCGTCGATGCCGGCGTGGGCCTTGATCCAGAACAAAGTTACATCTTTGCCCTGAGTCAAGGCCTCGCTGAGGTTTGCGAGAGGATGCAGGGCTCCGGGGTTCGTCACCGTCTCCAGCGCCGCCCTCGAGTCGCTGTAGATGCCGCAGCTCCCCGCACTGCAACTGAGGATCTCGCTCGAAGCTCTGTGTATGGCCAAGAGCTCAGCCTGGTAGACAGTGCAGTACGCTGGCAAGCCCAGTTTTCGGCTCCGCACTTCGGCCCGGCTGTCCCATATGGACAGCGCGGCGCCGACCTTGCCCTGGAGCTTGCTACCATCTGTGAAGATAAGTAGCGACTGCACGTTGTGTTGGTCTACCAGGCTTTGGTCCTCCAGACTCTGGAACCTCAAGTCCATACGCAGAGCCGGATGTGGTAGTTCCGCAAATCGCACCACACGTTCTACCTCCCGGTCCCCCAGCACTAGCCGAGTCGACCCTTTGCGCGCTTCGTAAAGAGCGGCTGCTTCTTTTATACGAAGGTCCAGAGGTAGTAACCCGGCCAGTAGTAGGGCCGAGTTTAGGGAGACAGTGCGGTACGACTTGCAGATCTTCTGAGCGAATCCTCTTTGCACAGTGTCGAGGAGCTTGCGGACACCCAGCTTCTCAACGGCGGGAGCATATGCGGCTGCCGCATACGTGATGACCGGTTCTACTGCTGCGGTGTATATAATGCGTACGACCGTCGTCTACCTGTTGTAGATGGCCCGAGGTATGTCGGGGCACCAGGGGCTTCCTTTCTAGGGTATACCTGGTCCCGGCTTTAGTACCCGAGACGGCGTGCGGTTTTAGTCGGTTCGAGTCCGACATGCCACCGATAGGTGGTATCCGAGGGGATCTCCGCACGGAAAAAAAAAAAAAAAAAAAAAAAAAGGGGCACCTCAGTACCAGCTTCTCCTTCTGGACTGCATCCAACGAAGAGCGACTCGAATCGTCGATAGCCAAAAGATTTGCGACCGGCTCGATTCGTTGGCGTTACGTAGAGATGTAGCTTCACTCTGCATTCTCTATCGCATATATAATGGAGAGTGCTCCGAGGAATTGTTCGGACTAATACTAGCCGCAAATTTCCGCCATCGTTCCATACGGCAAAATTTTCATCCTTATTACCTGGATAGTTGGCGCTCCACTACTGGGCGCTTTTCGAGACACTTTTGCGCCGCACAACCAATCTGTGGAACAGGTTATCGTCTGCGGTATTTCCGAACCGATACGACCTTCAAACCTTCAAGAAAAGAGCGTACTCCTTCCTAAAAGGAGTATATAGTATGGAACGCAATAGTTTTAAAGATAGTAATTGTCTTAAAGAATTGTAAATAAGTAAGAAATATGAAGTGAGCCAAAGTTATGAGTGCTTGTGCTCAAAATTAATATAAAACACATAACTGTTTTACTTATTGGAAACGTAGCTGCGCGTTACTGTGTTTATGTACGAATTCACAAAAAAAATAAAGTATTCAATCAATCAATCTTTTTTTCATAGTACAAACTCTGTTAGTTTGAAACTATATGGATTTGTGTGTTAGATGTCCAAAATATTTATTTATGAGCTGCATTAAAAATTTGCCGATTCGAGCGATATTTACGTTTTAAAAAGAAGTCGGACGCACTGCAGTCCAAATCTTTTTTCTACAAGTAAGTAAGAACATAATTTCAGCGGTTATTAAAAAAAAGTTTAAAGTATTATTGACGAATATTCACATCTCATAAATTAGTAATACATCGCATTTCAAGTTTGAGTGCCAACTATGTTAGAAATACGTGAGCACGCAATTCATCTATAGCCTTTAGTAGATTACTGCTGGCCATAGGCCTCTCTTTAGAAAGAAGGTTTTGGTCACCTATACCACGCTGGTTAGACGGGTTGGTATAGCATTTGTTTCAAAATTTTCTTCTCTTTGCAGTACTGTTAGTACTGCGGAGTTTGCTCCCTTAGTTGGCTCTTATAACACCCACGAGATGAATTGCCGGATCATTTAATTTGAATATTTTTGCGACGCCACTCTTTTTAAAACAACCCAGACACCGTTGGTTCGTCATGCATATTTTGCGCGGTAATATTTAATAATAACAGCTTGGGTTGTAAATATGAAACATAATCAACAGCCTTTACTAGTCCACTGCTGGACATAGGCCTCTCATCAGAAAGGAGGTTTTGGCCTACTTTACCACGCTGGTCAGAGGGGTTGGTATATAGGGTTTGTGTCAAGTTCGCCTTCTCTCTGCAGTGTTGTTCTGCGTAGTTTTTCCCCTTAGTCGGCTCTTACGACACCCACGGGATGAATAGGGGTGGTGACACTGTATTCTTAATCCGTCACCACACGGACTGTGTAAATATGAATATGTACGCTATTTTATAATGTAAAATGTATTTAGTCAATTTTAAACAGCATTTAGGTTTCAAATCTACTAAATACTATCACGAAACTAATCCCTCAAAAACGTCCACCACTCTAACTCCTGTACACCAGGATCAACTGCAGTGACCCACGAACACACCGAGTTATTACACTCGGGGAAGTCCCAGGAAAAAATTATCTGTCTTGGAACCCGCAACGAAAATAATCAGAAGATTGGGGGAGTTGGAAATCTAATAAATACTTTGTAAAGTTTTGTACGTGTGTGATTTTTTTGTGGTATTAGGTTTGAGTTCCCCATCCTGTATGGGAGGTACTCAAAAAATATGATATCATTTATGCGTGCGCAACAGGTGATACACGATTTCGAACAGAATACATTTGATGTCGTTTTCAACAGAAATTATCAGTTGTAAAATAATTTTATTTAAAAATGAAGTTAATTACCTAAACTTCACCTTTTAAGATAAGAGGTCAGATTACAGAATACTTATGTAGTACTGTGTAGTACAACACCAAAGAGTATACAAACACTATAAAGAAGAGATAGGAATCGCCCAAAAATCAAGAAAAAATCTTGTGCAAGTCAAACAAAATATGTCAAAACCTTAATTCGTTATAAAAAATACATAAAATTAAAATAAGTAAAATCATGGGTGAAATCTGATCATGAAATTTATGTTTTACTTGATGCGGAATATAATATATTCCGCATCACACCCCAGTTTCTAAAATTGCAAACTATGAAATGTGAGCTCTGGCTAGCTTTCTCTGTATAGAGAATTTCTCTTTATACTGTTTGAAGCAAGTCCATAACAATAAACTAGAATGTTCGCTAGCATTAAGTTACTAACTTCAGGCAATGTCTTCATTGGAGCCAAGATCTTCTCTGTTACCTCTCAGGTAAGAGACTAATATCATTGACATACTGAAACTTACTGGTACTGCTGCAAATGAACGATTATAACAACATTGTTACAGAGAAACTACAAAGTGGCGGTAGTGGGTGCCTCCGGCGGTATCGGCCAGCCCCTCAGTTTACTACTGAAGTTAAACAGCCTCGTCTCTCACTTGGCTCTCCATGACATCGCACCCATTACCCCTGGTGTAGCCGTTGACTTGTCTCACATTAACACACCATGCAGAGTCACATCGCACAAGGGTCCAGAACAACTTGCTGAGGCGATTAGATGTAAGAGTATTATTATAACCCTCCGCAAGAGTAAATTTAGATGACGTTTAACCATAATTTAAGATCCACCGCTTCTGTACATTATACAGTATCCCTTTACAGCTATATTTTTCAGTTTGTATACCATAGGCTTCAAAATTCTGTCTAATTTGGTGATCACGTCACGTATTCTTGTTATTCAAATAACAATTTGAAGTAGATATAAAAAACCAAACATTTTTGTTATAATGAAAACATTCGTAAGAGTTTTCGTAAATCCACCATATTAATGAATTAACTCCACAGGTGCCAGCGTAGTAGTGATTCCGGCCGGAATACCTCGGAAGCCGGGTATGTCGCGAGACGATCTCTTTAAAACAAATGCGGGTTTGATACGGGATATAGCAAAAGCGGTCGCACGGAACTGTCCTCAAGCTATCCTAGCTATCGTTACAAATCCTGTTAACTCAACAGTGCCGGTCGCTGCAGAAATTTTAAGAATAGTAAGTATAGGAGTTTACGTGAAGTTGTACAGCGACATATGGAATAAATAAAAAGTAGGATTAGGTTAAATATTATCTGATACCTACTATATCAGTTACCAAACAATAATAATAAATAATAATAATACTTGTCAGTCTAATATCATATTACTCGGTAGTCGGCATCCCATAGGCGCAGAAGGTTAAATTTAATTAAGGCTATATTTTGTAGCAAATATCATAAAACTGAAGATATTTGGAACAACAATCAAAATCGGTCCATCCGTTTAGATAATTACAAATATACATACGCTTAATTTATAACACCACATTAAAAGCAAAAAGAGGGTGTTTGTTTCAGGGCTAAAGGTACATGGCACCTTGTCCAGCCCATGCTACTGCACACACTCTTCAATATTTTTATTTATATATTCATACAACACTTCAAAGATGATAACTTTCAACTTCTTTTTACAGAGATATATTATTGTTTATCATCAGACCTCTGAACTTTTCATGAAGGTACCTGAAAAACATGCACCTCCGTAAAAGGAGAACTTCTCGTGTTTTATAATCCTAATTTAAAAGCAACCGCAAGCTTGTTCCTTTTCATCTTTTTCAAAACAGTTAAACACTTCATGGGTCACGTATAATTGTCTTCTGTTCTCAGGAAGGTGCATATGACGGAAGGCGGGTGATGGGTGTGACCACATTGGACGTCGTCCGATCCTGTACATTCATTGGCGAACTGAATGGGGTAGACCCTACACTCGTGTCCGTACCAGTGATCGGTGGCCATTCTGGGAGTACCATTATTCCCTTGTTCAGTCAATCCTCTCCCATACCTAACGTATGCAGCCTGGCAGATATAAGAGCACTGACTACAAGGGTTCAGGAAGCGGGCAGCGAGGTAAATCGTAAGCCGTTACCGGTTCTAGCAACCATAACACAAACGTTTCGTTCACCCGAATACTTCCAACACCATGTCAGATTTGATTCACTTTGCATCGTTGAATGGCAATCTTTCTTTAACAGTAATGTGGTGAAAATGGTTTAAAACTCAAGCTGTATGAGTATATAAAAGCACTGGCTATTTTCCGCAGCTTGCTCGCGTGATTATTTCCTATTTCGTGTTTCTAACTTTAAAAATGACGAACTTGCATACAACCTTTCATCCGAAAACCTGTTTTAAGAGGTGCTTCAAATATAAAAACCATCATCTGCCAAAATTTCAATCCTGTAGCGGTTTAGGCTCTGCATTTATGAAACATTCAGTCAGGGAAAGTAACTTTTTCGTATAGATAAATTTACGAGATAATACACATAAATATAAAAGAAATTTAACTATCATCATCGTATAATTTGTTAACATAATGTTTGTGCGCAGGTTGTGCAGGCGAAAGCTGGCGGCGGTTCAGCTACTCTGTCTATGGCGTTTGCAGCGGCGAAGTTCACTTCATCAGTACTCAGGGCTCTATCTGTAAGGGTTTTACTTGGTACTAGTAGCACTTTATAGTGTCTCAGAAAACTGTTGTCAAATATAAGGAGCGTCCCATATTGCCGACAAATCATTTATTTAGCTAGGATTCTGTACCTCAAAAGATAAAAAAGGAACCCTTATAAGATCACTTTCTTTTCCGTCTGTCCGAGTGTCATCACCGATTTTCTCAGGAACGGGTAGACCTAGCAAGTTGAAATTTATACCAAATACTGAGGTTTATGGTCCCTATTGGTTGTATAAAAATCAAGGTCCTGAGTCAACACGATAAAAAGATATGGGCAAATTTAGATTTTCGCGAAAACTTGTAAGTACCATAATTTACCTTAACTTTCAACTTTTTTTATTTTTCTGAATTTTATCTTTATTTGTGCTGTAAGACCTTACTTTTAACCAAAATTGACAATTCTAGGTCAACCGGAAGTACACTAATTCCAAAAAATTAAAAAAGTTGAAAATTAATATAAATAATGGTACTTACAAACTTTCGCGTAAATATACGTAAAATCTGGGTAGGTACATACCCCCACGAGTTCGACTCGTACCTCGTTCTGCGCTCGTGACATTTTTCTGACTTGGCTGGCAAATCTTAAGTGTGATTGTGACTCTTCGTTATTTGCAGGGTGAAAAGAATATCGTGGAATGCGCATATGTGGCGTCCGGTTTGTGCGCACCAGCATTCTTCGCTAACCCTGTGCTACTTGGCCAGTATGGTGTGGAAAGAAATCTAGGATTTAACTGTATTAGCCCCTTCGAAACGGAAATATTAAGAAATGCAATGCCAGAGCTCCTAAAGAATATACAAACCGGTTATGAATTTGTATATCGTAGAAATAGGTAACTAAAGTAACATTGTGAAGCGTAATGTAGATACTGACTTATACTATGTACGTTTTAAGTTCGTCTGTCTTAAAATTCTATGCATCTTATACAATTTTAATTTTTTTATTTTCAACTATTAAGTCTTTGGATGCAACGTACCAGATAAAATAAAAGGTTTATGCTCGCGGTAGCAACGTTTATTAGTCCGATAACTAGAGATATGTAGTAGGACCACATATCTTTGTCTTATTTATACACTTGCTTCAAACTCATTAAAATTAGTAGATGCGTATGTCTATTTAGCCTACGTAGTATGGAATCAGTGCACAATTAAAAATATGATAAAATATCACACAAAACAGATAGAAGATTTAGACTATATGAATAAATTTAAAAAAATAAATAAATTGTTTTATTTTTAAAAGCACACAAGTTTGGTGAGATTGCAAATTCCTATTTAATCCTTTTATAAATGTTAAATTTAATTAAAATTTGTAAAATGTTATTTCAAGAATTTTGTAACTTTGTTGTGAGGCGTTAAATATGCATCATACATTAAGGGCCGAATCACAACTACTACTCGTACATAATGAAATCGGCGGCGTCGCCCGGGCAACACGGTTTAAGGTGTACGTTGCGCCGCACATTCAAGGGTTTTGACGTCACATTGGTCGAGAGACGCCCCGCGGTATATGATTCTAGTGAAAACTCCATCAGGATTCATAATCTTATTGGAGTGGATGTATCCAGTATCTTCTTTGTCGTCTCTTTACTTTGGTGTAATATCTACTTGTGACAAAAGTGCAATACTCTTATAACGATGCATGGCCGATTCACGTCTATCTTACTAATCATATAAAAATGATCAGTTTACAGGAACGCTTTATTTCGCGGTAACACATCGCACTAGGCATATGACAAAATCACAGTGAACTGTGAAAGACCGGTGATTTATCATTCAATTTTTTCGTACGTAGGCTAGGGTTACTACATTCTCACGCGTTATTGTCGATAAGCTGTTTTCAGACGATGCATAAAGACCCTATTTCTCCTATTTAACAGTAAATCTGGTTTTATTATATATAGCTACGATTCCTTACCTAATAATGAAAAACAAAAGGATGTTAGTTTTCGATAAAATAATACAATATATCATGTTTTGATCCATAATGGTGTCTCTGACCTTCATCTGTAACTGTGCGTGTTGGACTCACTAAGTACGTGTTTGACCACGGAGCAAATACAAAGAGGAGAAATACATAGCAACTGTGCAGTGCTATTCGAACTAGGTCCTGACGTCACCACAGTGGGCGTGACTTAAAATTAGTACACACAGCGTCCGTACTGTGCGCTTGTATTGAAATATCGCAAAATCGGTATATTTTCTTTGTAAGTAATTTTAAACTTAATTTATTAAAACAGTTCTAGAAAATTCCATAAATGTTTTTTGAAATATAGTTACATCTAATCGACAATAGATGACAAAACTTTGTGTAATGGAAACTAAAAATACAAAGGTACGTACTTAGAGCTTAGCTTTAGTAAAATAATACTGAAATTTGTTCTGCATTCAGTCCTAAACATTTTTTAATTCCCATAATATATTTAATTTTTTTGTAATCATTTCTTAAAAGTCAACCCAAGAAATGGTAATTTATAAGTTATCCATACTAATTCATACTAATATTATAAATGCGAAAGTGTGTCTGTCTATATCCATCTGTCTGTCTGTTACATCTTTACGCTTAAACCGCTGCACCGATTTAGTTGAAATTTATTATGGAGATAGTTTGACCGAAAGGGCATAGGATATCCTCTAAATCATCCGTGAAAAGGGGTGTGGTAATTTGTATGGGGAATCAATAAGCGCTGAACTGATTCAGATGAAATTTGGTATTGAGGTAGTTTGATTCTTGATAAACGGCATAGGGTTTTTACAGCGATAACCGACATACACACGGGTAGAGCAAAAGCTAATACCTCATAAAAAAAGTCTCCTTGAAAGTAAATACTCTATGTTCAATATTCAAAGTAGTTTCCTATCGCAAGACATCTATTATAAGAGTTGTGGCTTAGTTATGTGAGAGTTAATTTAACCTTTGGTAATTTTATCGTTTTTAGGGTTCCGTACCTCAAAAGGTAAAAAAAGAACCCTTTTAAGATCACTTTCTTGTCCGTCTGTCCGTGTGTCACCACCGTTTTCTCAGGAACGGGTAGACCTATCAAGTTGAAATTTATACCAGACACTGAGGCCTATGGTCCCTATTAGGTGTATAGAAATCAAGGTCCTGAGTCAACACGATAAAAAGATGTGGGCAAATTTCGATTCTCGCGAAAACTTGTAAGTACCAAAACGTACCTTAATTTTCAACTTTTTTATTTTTCAGAATTTTCTCTTTATTTGTGCTGTAAGACATTGCTTTTAACCAAAATTGGCAATTCTAGGTCAACGGGAACTACCATATAGGTTTTCGACCTAATACCTATAGAGTACTCCCGGTTGACCTAGAATTGCCAATTTTGTTTTGTAAAAAATTGTAAATTTTGGTACTTACAAATTTTCGCGAAAATCTACGTAAAATCTGGGTAGGTACGGAACCCTCAGCGCACGAGTTCGACTCCTACTTGACCGGTTTTTTTCATTAATTGTTTTTTCTCTGATTGACATTCAAAAGTGCATTCAGATGCCTAAATTGAAATAAAATATTTTATTTGATTTGGAAATAAAATTACATTCATTAATAATTTGTTTATTATTTGCAAAAATATTAAGTATACTTAAAAATTATAACACTCTTTTTGTCCGTAGTGGAGTGACAATAAAACAAAAAGACAATTCAGAAACACTAATTCAGATAAAATAAGAATAAATGAGAGAACAAATTTTAATCGTCATTAGAAATGTACCACACACGTTTTATTTTCACACTAGCAATACCCAGCGCCTATGAGTCATAATCTAATTGGTAAAAATGCCGTACAAAAATATATGACCAAAATGTACTCACTCTACCTGCACTTTTGAATTGTCACCAGCACTCAGTTGGACACCAGCAAGTGACGGCATAGTGCTGAATCTTATTATTTTATGCTCTTATATCGTCCTATATACATACGTCACCTGGTGGTTCATATGACCCATCCATTTTTTGGACATGGGCCTGTAGTCTACTAGGGATTTCGATAAAATTTAAATGGGACCTGGGGAATACCTGGGAGTTACACATTTTGAAACAAAAAAAAAAGAATTTTACAAATCGGTTCAGGCGTCTACGAGTAATCCATAAAAAAAAGATTCCGACGAATTAAGAACTTCCTTTTTTTCACCCTATCTTTGTCTATTTTTAAATCAATTTCTGGTAACTTCAAAACGAATTAAATAGATCTTAGAAATAATTGAAAAATAATTGATATCGATAAATGCAGGTTTTGTGTTAGAACTTCATTATCATATCACGATGGCGTCGTTAAATACCAAAAAAATAATTGTAAGCAGTGTTGTCGTGTACAATATACGGGATATTTCAATAATAAACAGCTTTATATTAGGACACATTTAATCATAATCAACATTAAAATATATCTAGACCATATTTACCTTACATAAATACATACAATAAATAATTAACTAATATTGTACTCTCAAGTCCCATTAAAAATATTTCGGGTAGAGGTAAAACTGACAAGAGGGACTGAAGAGGTGCCCTCATTTTATCGATTCATGGAATTGTCAATTTGTAGTAGCAATTAATTTAAATTAAATATTCCTTCTGCAAGATACAATATTCAACAGGTGACTAACATTCATTAGCCCGTACGGGACCTTGGATGAATAAAGAGCTAGGACAGCTTCTTGTCTTATTATATACTAGAAATGCGCGCTCGTTTCTCTATTGCGCTTTGCGAGGAAGAGCAGAAATTTCAAAAGGAGAACGTCCTATATGAAAATATGATCATAAAAATGTATTCAGACTAAAATCACATTATATGTCCTGTATAACATCAAGTTTAAGGTTCTAGCGACATACTTGCATAACGCCCTTAAATACCACATCTAGACCTTTCTTTAACAACCTCTTCGTTGAGTCCCCTACGGACTTGTTATCATAGTAGGCTTAGGAAATCAAATATTCACAATTTCTATTCTAACTTAGTAACATAACTATTTTTTCAACTCATTTTGAATAATATCTTAGTTAATAACTTAAATAACATAATCAATATCTTCAGCTTCATGCGATACCTCAACAGCAGTTGCGATGTCCTCAAAGCAGATGTAACTAACTTTTACAAGGATCAGGTGGACAAACAGTTTGCGGTCTGGAAAGTAATGAACATTTTATTTCTATAAGCGTGACGGAGGACCGAGGTCTTGGTTGGTTTCCAAAAGAGTGTACCAACAGCTATACAGAGGATCGTACTATCCAACAGTAGTAAAAAGGAACAATACTAATAAAATAATAATATTAAAGTTGAATGATTTAAAAATTTATGCAAGACATCTCGTAAATATAAATAAAAAAATTATACATATTTTAGCAACTAATTTAAAGGGAGAGGGACTCGTGGGTAAGCGGCAAGAGACGCCAGGTCATTGTATGGATGGGTGACCATTTTTATCACATTGAGACCCTTCCGTGCCTCGGAGAAACCGTTAAGATGTCGGTTCCGGTTGCCACACGAACATCTGTGGCAATCGTTACGGGTAGTTGGAGCCCTAAAGTCAGTCTTCAGTCTTTCTACAGAGCTTCGACAGCGCCTAGTACTTGGGCTCTGCAGGTCTGAGGGCAATCTTGCCGCGTAAAAAATTAAAGTTCAGTCGTATCGCAGTCGACGACGAAAGCCGACCCCAACCTTGTTTGGGAAAAAGGCTAGGCGGAATAGCAAGCTATTTAAAACAAACTTACTTCATAACGAAATCCTCGCCGGTTTTGATATTCTTGAGCAACTCCGGGATTGCTTTTTTGAGAAGAGACGACTCGAGCTCATTAAGGTTGCCAGTGCCGAGATTCTTTTCCAAACCATTCCTTCCAAGGAGTATGGGGCACGCGAAGTATGGTGTGTCGCAGCGATTAGCCTTCACGAACGCGCATTCAACTATATTGGCTTCACCCTGTGTATTAAATAATGCGTAATACTTTATTTGCGGAATATAGGTTAGTTACAGATCTTAAATGTTTTATTAAAGTTCCATTACATCCTACCACAATACTTGGTGTACAAATAATAAATCGAGATAATAACAATTAGAATTTAAATACATCACAAAAGAAAGAAGAAGAGACAATTTATGCGTGTACAAATATTGAGTCAAGTAATTATATAATAATTTTTCTGTATGTCAATTTTTATATCATTATTAGCATGCCAATATTAAAATAATTCTACATAATAATACTCGTATATATTACATTATTTTGTCATGGAAATATTCGTCAACAGAATAATAGGCTTTATTTAATTCTTTCGGTTTATTAATGACTGTATATTTTTTGAATTTAGTATACATTTGGGCAGCTTGTTATAGATTTTAGGTGCCATGACAAATATGCTTTTGTGATATAGGGCGGTTTGTAGCTTACCAGCTCTGCGGTTACTTCACACCTTTAAAAATTTTAACCAGTTTCGTCTAACAAATAGCGCGCTTTCAAAAATATAAATATAAATGGATGGCATCCCATAAATATATTATAAATGCTCTACTGCTATTACGCCTGTGAAAAATTTATAATACAGCAGTAAGATAGGCTTTGCTTTATGGGTGTGAAGTCTCGCCGACGCGACAACTAGAATTCACGAGCAGAAACTATACATAACACACACAACGAAGATGCGTATTTTGTGTTAGTCGGGCGGGTTTACCTTTAGGACAAATTGAGCAATCACCATATGAGGGGGAGTTTCAAAGTGACTCCCATAATCCAATACCATTGTTGCTTTGTCGTTAGCGTTAGGTAGAGGAATACTCACCGCCAAAGCCCTGAGAATAGAGCATGTGAAGCGTGCCGCGGCGTACGCCATAGAGAGAGTAGCGGTACCACCGCCGGCCTTGGCGTTTAACACCTAGTAAAAAATTTTTATTTAATTTTGCGATCGAACGGCATTGCTCTCATTCATGAACCTGTTCTTCATCTGTTAATATTTTTTTTAGAAAACACTAAATAAGGGAACTGCTTCTCAAGTAAAAGACCTCCTCTGGAACGCTCTACCTCTCGAAATCAGTATAGCACCCCAGCCACCTCTCATTAAAAACAAAAGTCCGAGCAGGTACAACACAACCGTAAAGTTTTATATATTTATATGTGTATACTATGTGTATGTATGTAACTCACCAAGTATATATGCCTGTGTATTTTAGTATGTATGTATGTATATCTGACAAACTGTTTCTGTCCATCTTCTCAATTATGATTATCTTTTTAAAACAAAAAAACAAAACTAAATTTCTTGTGCACCTATTCAGACATTTCCCAACCACTAAAAGGTCGACTGGAAGAAAATGCTTGTGGCATTAAGTGGTGGACTTATTTTACAATATTGTACAATATAGACCGCACGGATGACGTAGTGGCTTAAGCGGTCAAGCGGTGTTGTTCTAAGTCTGGGTGTTTTTTGTGTCTGTTTCATGTGTTTGTAAAGTCCTCCGTGACGCAGGATATATTCTTAATGCGGGACTTGTATTTAAAAAATAATTGAGTTGTAATTTGTGCATAAAGAATTAAAATAAATAAAAATACATAAAAAAAAGTTAGTATCAGAAAACCGGTGTCAAGCAATTCTTTCAGTGTCGTCACTGGTGCTCAAACGCCCCTTCTTTTTAGTAGAGGAGGGAGGCTCAAAACGCGACAACGCACTTAGGACTCTTGGTAAAGTCCAGCATCAGTAGTCATTTACCATCAAATAATCCGTACGCTTAGTTAACATATTTTGCTCTCTCTCTCTATCTCTATAATAAATTGTAAAATCACGACTTAGCCTATTCTTATATTATCTTGTATTATATATTATTATATTATAAATTATTTTATATAATTTGGCCCTTATCGTTTAAGAAATATTAAATGCAATACAACGCTATATACAATACAACAGTACAATACAACAATAGTACGCTTATAGTACAATACAACGCTTGGTACGTCTCTCACCGCTGTGCCCGCTTCCTGAATTTTTTTAATTAGTCTTTTAATGTCTTCTTCATTACACAATTTGACGGGTGGTTGGCACTGGCTTAGCGCTGGGACAATTGTCACTCCAGAGTGCCCTCCGAGAACCGGTACGGTTACCTCGGCTGGATCTATGCAGTTGATTTGGCCGACGAAAGTCGCTGCACGAACAATATCCAATGTGGTCACACCGAGCACGCGTCGGGGATCGTACTTACCCGCCTACAAGAAGATAAAAATATTTTATACATATTTACAAACAACTAAAAGTAAAAACAAGTTCCTGTCCGTATAACTGACTACATTTTTTTTGTGGCATGTCCGACACGAACAGACTAAAAACCGCACACCGTCTCGGGTACCAGTAGACGGGGAACCAGGCGTACCCTAGAAAGGAAATCCCTGGTACCTACCCCGACGTACCTCGGACCATCTACGGCGGGTAGATGAACCCCTCCTATGTGGGAACCACCCTCATGTTCCCTTGTTGCTCCCAAAAGAGCACGCTCGCTTCACAGCGCGTCTCGCCGCCACCCCGGTATGCGTCTGAGAGGGTGACAGATAGCCTCACCTGTCACCAGGCCTGCGTTTATGGAGGACGGAGGTCGTTCTGCGACGTACGGCGCCTGAGCCGCCTAAGGTACCTGGCCCGTGCTCGGGCCTTACGGGCCGGAAGAGTTCTAAACCTCTCTCGGACCCGCTCCGCCATCTCCTTCGCAAGCATAACTTGCTCTCAGAAGGAGACTGCGGAGTTCCACGCACTCTCGCTCCGCACAATGGCCGCAATCATGTTGAAACTAAATTCTACCAAAATGCGCCGATTTCCCGTTTTCTCTGTATCACCATTTGAAGGTAGACTGGTAGAGTATGCTTTAGACATTAAGTCTGCCAATGCACCAAAAGTGCATAACGTGTAAAAAAAATTGCACACCTAATTACTTAACATTGCACATTAAACCCGATGATTTGTTACACTGGCGTACAAATGAGGGTCTGGGTTTCTTTTGACCTGACATTCTCCTAATTTTACTACTTTGTATATAGTTACATTGACCGATAGAAAAATATTTTTACATGTATTTCAGCTTCAGTGATACGTCTCGTACTTATGCATTTTATGAAGATACAACTTTTTCAACTTTCAGAATCGTTATATCTCAGAAACGGTGGCTCTTAACATTTTTAATAATTGTATGATCTACAGTTTTTCTGACCTTATTTTGACGAACACCACTTACAGATTTCTGTAATGGTGTGAATTTTCACACCATTCGTGATTTAGTTGTGCGGAGCGTCGTATGTGAATTTATATTGTTAAAATTATGAACTGCAGCAAAATGGGTTGTGAAAACGCATCAGGGACGTAAAGAACAATGGCAGAAACATATTTACCTAAAACTGAAGCGTTTAAAAAATTGACTAATAGCAAACTTACTAAATATTTTTTCTATGATTTATCATTATACCGCCATGTGTTGTATAAGTCTAATAAGAGATTGGATATTTTTAAAGATTTTATTTGACCTAAGTACGTAATGTCAGAATCGCCGTTACGAACTGACTAGGGATGCGTGATGACATTATTATTTTATGGAACGTTTTATCGATAATCGATTGTTATAACTTTGGCTTGAAATATCTATCGAAGGTTTACCTATTATGATTATGAATTTGCTTCTGCCCACGGGTTTACTCATACGCTACCGTAACTAGTACTGTAGTGACTAAATCAACCTAATTAGAAATAATTTAGAATATTTTTGACTCTTTTTAAAAGATTTTTGCTACACCAAAATAAATAGAATATAGTTACGTTATTTTCCTACAGAAAAATACTAAAACAATATACTGGTTAGTGTGATGAGAAAAAGACATTGTAGGTTGATAACGGCACATAAATAGACATACATCGATATTTTTAAAATGTCGATACGTCGTCGTCGCACTTACTAGTCTTGTCGTTTGACACTTACACGCATGACTTACATTCCATTTCTCACAAGACAATTGTAGTTTGTTTGGTTGTTTCACTTTTGTTTAGTATTAAACTCTCATATATGTTTATTTTAATTTTAATTTCATATAGTGTTACTCCAATATGCATGAAATGTTGTGCATTAATCTCAATAAAATGGATGCATGCTTTTAGTAAATAATGTCACAACTACTGACTGTTGAATAACTAAATAAATAAATAAATGCTCCCGCCTTGTTTAAATGTGTATTGAAGAACATTTTTTCAAATTATTATTATTAATTTATTTATTTATAGCTAGTATTACACCTGCTATGTAAGCGAAGATTTTTTCAATTTTTTAGATGCCAGGCAAATACCCTTCTTTCCTACACCCATTTAGAGAGTCGGCTAACACTTTTTACAGCAAAATAGGGTTGCTTATAAGTAATAATAATGATGAATAATATTTACGAATATATGACACACAACGCCATCTAGTTTCAAACAAAACATTGACAATATTTTAGTACTTAACCTCGAAACATTCAAAAGCCAATATCTTTTTTCCTAGACTTCTTTCGCTAGTAATTTTTTTATGAGAATGTTCAAGAATAAATTCTCAAGGGTTTTAGGCATTTTTGATATTTAAACGCTGTCATTTCACTTCAAATAAAATTATGTATGGGGACCTGCCATTGTTCTTTTTAACTAATAAAGTCATAACATTTCACCGGTTTAGTTAATTTTTTACTAATAAATCATTGTTTTTACTAATTTACATCTGGATGAATAAGATATCTGCCTTTGTAAACATTAATTTATTACTTTCCGTTTTCTACGATTACCATTGCTGCTTTGGTGCTTACTGAACGCGATGTTGACAAACTAGCCAAGCAATGTAATGTGAAGATTAGATATCGTTATATATAATATAATACGGCTGCAGGCATCGCTCACAAGTTAGTTTTGAACCGTTCCATCCAGTTGAAGTTGAGTTTTTAACTCTATGCGAATTATTGTACCTTTGGATGTCTAAATTGACCGGACTATTAGTGACAGTTACGTAAGGTGGTGTCAGCCGATTGATACTATGTGGAATATATATTAAACAGCCAACACATTATTTTAGCTTGTGTAGTTAAAAGATCAGCCTTTTATAATAATATTAAATTTTTGCTTAAAGTAGCACAGTAAGCTTCAAATCGAAGTATACGTAAACAGTTTGACTGCATGGATGGCGTAGTGGTTCAAGCGGTCGCCACGCGGCCTACTAGTGCTTTGGTTCCGATCCCCACATGGGACGACACTTTGTGTGATTCACAAATTGTTGTTCTGAGTCTGGGTGTTCTTTGTGTCCGTTTCATGTATGTTTGTTAAGTTCCCCGCAACACAGAATATATTCCTAATGCGGTAAGTTATCTTTAAAAAAAAAGAGTCACTTTTATGTAAACTTTAATTTTGCAGAAGGTAATGTATTCATTTACATAGGGACAAAATACAGTATCCTCAGTAATTTGCCGATTCCACCTAAGTTTCTAAGCTCATCTTTATAATCCAATGACAAATAAATTAAGCATAATACAAACACACAAGTAATTTTCAATATTTTTTTAAATTTAATAATAGCCGTATACGTCATTTTGGTAGACTATGTACTAGTTACTTGTTGGATTACAAAGGTGTATGATAAGGAGGAGGGGGCAGGGAAAAGAGTTTGCTGGACGTTTTAATAGGCTCTAATTGGCTCAATAAAGATTTATAAGCAAGGGTCTTGTCGGCAACCTCTTAGGAGAATTTGGAGATTTTGTTTATGCAATTCCAGGTGAAGTTGTTATGATGAAATTATTGACGTTGGAGGTATATCCTGCAGGACGGTACAATTAAAATTCGTCAGGTATGTCATTGTCCCGGAGATACCTTCAGGTACATAACTTTCAAAACTTGAAACAAACCAACCCGTCTGGTCAGCGTGGTATAGTAGGCCAAACCCTCCTTTCTAAGGAGAGTCCACTGCTATGTCTAGCAGTGGACTGTTATAGGCTGTTGATGATGACATAATTTCCGATTAACCTCGTCTTGCCAACGGCCATTATAGGTTGACAGATAGTATAGATTGACTTGAACCAAGTGGCCAGGATTGGGAATAGAAACCGCGTCATCCTGTTCCGACTTCCTAGAACCAGAGGCAGTTACTATTGTGGAGGAACTGGTGCTATGTCCCTCCAACACAAAGGGCACTCCGATCAGGCAAGGTGATCATGCCTGGCGAGCTGCAGCAAAACGGTTGATGTTGGGAAGTTGCAACTTCACAACATCAACCGCTGTAGCATGTTTCTTTGTTTTACTGTATGTGGCAGTCGCCACACTATTATTAGATTCAGGTGACTTTAAAGAGAGACTGTTGCTAGAAAGACCTGCACTCATCTGACAGACAAAACATAATATATTTTGCATACCTTTTTGAGAACTTCAGAGGCGATGGGCACCATGGAATTTACGGGGTTTGTGATAATAGCCATGATGGATTTTTCAGGTGCATATTTAGCAAAATCAGCTGTGATATCTCGTAGGATAGAGGCGTTTGATGAAAACAGATCATCACGCGTCATGCCTGGTTTGCGAGGCATGCCAGCGGGAATCAAGACAACGTCTGCATCTATTAAACAATTCGTTTTAGTGTGTACAATATTGGCTACCTTTTCACTTATAGGAAAATGAGCATAAAATGTGAGCAACTGTATTAAAACTCACCTTTCATTGCTTCACATGCTTGGTCTACACCTTTATGTCCCGTGACCCTAGTGGCAGTGTCGATATGCGAAAGATCAACAGCTACACCTGGAGTTATCTTTGAAATATCGTACACAGCTAGGTGACTGACTAAGCTGTTCTGCTTCAGAAGCAGACAGAGAGGCTGACCTATGCCGCCAGATCCACCAGCAACCGTAACTTTAAAATGGTTCTAAAGGATAAATAGCGTAAGGTTTAGCTTTCAGAAGTTATTTAGTCTTTAAATTACATTTAAATAGAAGTAATTAGGTCTTACATGCGAAGTTGTTGAAAATGTCTTGGAACCATACTGTAAAGTTACTGCGGCACCTGATTTTACCCTTCGAGACAACATATTTATAAATTTGCAAGAAAAAAAGAATGCACCACCCAAGTCAGCTAAATTAGTAGCTATTACTTCAGTAAATGATTTTTAATATGCTTCTCCGATCTGTCTGTCAATTAAAAATAAGAAAATTACTACCATAGAGTATTTTTAAACATTACCATTGAAGGTTGCCTTGTTAAGAAACCTTTGAGATACTTTTTCTTTCGTGCCTGTTCCATTGTTCCAACAACAGCTACAGTATAGCTATACCTGTGTTTTTTCTACTGTATATTATCGCTGTTCTATTCTTTATTTATTTTGAATATGAATTATATAATTTAATTTTCTAACGTTAGCGATCCTGACTGCTAACTCAAGGGCTGAGGTTTCGATTCCCACCCCACCCACTACAAATACTGTGTGATGAGCACACGAGTTCAGAAAGAGATGAGTTCAGAAAACAATTATAGATAACCTTTTTGACTTTTTATTAGTTGATCCATGGATAAACGTGTATTTCCGTGGTACAAACAGTATGACTATGAGTAAACATATTTTCTAGTGTTGCTCTACTGATAAATTCACTTACCCGTAGTCCAACCGATTGGACCACGGGTAAACTTGCTTCCTGTATTACAACCGGTTGGACCATGGATAGCTTTACTTACCTGCTGTGGTACAACCAGTTGGACATAGCTGTTGGAACACGGGTCGGGAGTGGTTTTGGTCAAGGCCATCTTAGGCCATGCCGGGCCCACCCCCGCACACAACCATTTAGAGCTCTGCAGTAAAATGAAATGAATAGACAGATACAAATACACTCATCAAAAAAGTCTAACCAACATGTACGGTTTTTAACTTTTAAGCGATTTTTACTATTGTAATATTTGCTTTTATAGATAATAATCAAGCATTCATTGATGCATTAGTGACTAAAGAAACAAATCCTTCATTCAATTGTTCATTTAATCATAATAACTAACAATATGTGTACCGTAACATACGTAGTATAAAGTTAAAACGAAATTCAACTTTTCATGTTTTACAAAATGAAATAACGACATGTTCTTGAATTATTTGGTTAATCAATACAAAATGTGACCGCCACTGTTGTTTAAAAATTGTTTTATTATATTATTTTTTATTGAAATTATAAGATTTTCATCTAATCTTGCGGCAATCGCTATTAATGGAATTTTAACAAGTTTTGCAGTTGTTGGGTTGTCGATACTTCGTCCAGGCTCTCTAGAACACGTCTCTAATAGCCCAGTCATATTAGGTAAAAAAAGGGGTCAACCTCGGAATGAAAGATAATAAGCTGCAAATTGGTATGAACCTTTGTTTTGTCATTCTAAATGTTGTCTCAAAAGTCACAATCGTTATCGTGTCCGCGTCTCAAGATATTCAAGGTCAAAGGTCACAAAAATCGGTTTTTCGCGAATATCTGGCTTCCTATCGGTTAAATGAGATTTGCATTTATTATAAAAGTTGTAGGCTATAAAATTCCCTACAACTTTTGTTTAAACTTTTTTTTCATACGACCAACCGTTTTGAAGGTAGAGCGCGAAGAGTGCACATCGTACAGTCATATACGGCCTAATGCAAGGTCAAGCGTGAGTTATGGTTATCAGTACGTTATAAAGTCAATTATTTACTTGGAAATTATAATTATTAAACAATGCCTATTATTTATGTACTAACTATTAATTATTTATATTTAATTAAAGTAAGTAACTTGATTATTTATATATAATTATTCATATTTAACTATTTAAGTATAAAATATTATTAATTCTGGATTATATATTTTAGTTTTATTTTAAGTTAAAATGATAGTAAGAGTATATATTTTACACATATTTTTATTTATTATTAAATAAGGCATAATATACATTTATCAAAATGTGAGTTCAAATATCAAAAGTATCTTTGTTGATTTTAATTGTAATGAAATTGGAAATGGAAGCTAATTATCTTCTTCTTGTTCGTCGTCTTCTTCTTCTTGTCGCTCAAAAATGTTCGATTCATTGTCATCATCCTCATTATCTGTCATGTTCATCTCCAAACCTTCCAGAATATCGGGATCATATGTATTTTCTTCATCGGGATTACTTGGATACAGTGAAGCGTTGAGGCAAGCTTGTCCGTTGCACTGGCCGCAAGCTAAAGAACATTGTAGCCCTGATTTTCTGCATCCACAGCGGGAACCACAACCATTTTTGCAATTGCAAAATATTACGTTTAGTAGTTCGGCTGGTGCTGGAGGTAATAACGTTCGTATGGGCTCCAGGATTTCATTTTCAAGCATCCAGCCCCATTCTTGAGGTTCTAAGTCCTTCCCTAACCACGTTTGAATCTGGTAGTAGACACGTTTTATGTGTTGATGAGCTGCTACACTTGTTGGTGGAAGTGTTGACAGTTGTACAGGTTTATTTAGTTTTGTAAATTTGATGAATTGCGTGTAGCGGAAATGATCAATGTTGTCCTCAGATTTTGGAGCATTATATAATGCCAACAAGATGCGCACTCCATTTTCTAATAATGTTTGTTTTGGGCAGTTTTCTTGTTGAAATACTTCCACCAGTTTATCTAAATCAGGAATTTTTTCCAATGCTCTAGTAACAGTTTTTTTTCCTTTTTTAAATAGCGCAGAAGTCGTGTCACAGCCACTGAATGCGTGTAAAAATAAAATTTACGCGTTTTAAAGAAAAGATATATAATGTCGTGTTAACTTAAAATAAAACTAAAATATATAATCCAGAATTAATAATATTTTATACTTAAATAGTTAAATATGAATAATTATATATAAATAATCAAGTTACTTACTTTAATTAAATATAAATAATTAATAGTTAGTACATAAATAATAGGCATTGTTTAATAATTATAATTTCCAAGTAAATAATTGACTTTATAACGTACTGATAACCATAACTCACGCTTGACCTTGCATTAGGCCGTATATGACTGTACGATGTGCACTCTTCGCGCTCTACCTTCAAAACGGTTGGTCGTATGAAAAAAAAGTTTTAACAAAAGTTGTAGGGAATTTTATAGCCTACAACTTTTATAATAAATGCAAATCTCATTTAACCGATAGGAAGCCAGATATTCGCGAAAAACCGATTTTTGTGACCTTTGACCTTGAATATCTTGAGACGCGGACACGATAACGATTGTGACTTTTGAGACAACATTTAGAATGACAAAACAAAGGTTCATACCAATTTGCAGCTTATTATCTTTCATTCCGAGGTGAAAGCCCTAATATGACTGGGCTATAAAGCATGTCCTATGCATGCTCGATGGGATTAAGGTCTGGCGATTGTGCAGGCTACGGCAATACCCAGATGTTTTCCGTTGCCAAGTACTCTATGGTCTTCTGACTCCTCCGAGCTGTGTGTGAACGCGCATTGTCATGCATCAACGTGAAATCTGAGCCAAGACTCTTCATCGTAAAGAACAATGGCAGAAACATATTTACCTAAAACTGAAGAGTTTAAAAAATTGTCTAAAAAAAATATTGAATATTTTTTCTATGAGTTATCATTATACCGTCATGTGTTGTATAAGTCTATAAGAGATAGGACATTTTTAAAGATTTTATTTGACCTAAGTACGTAATGTCAGAATCGCCATCACGTATAACTGAATAGGGATGCTGGCATTATTATACTATGGAAAGTTATATCGAAAATCGATTGTTATAACTTTGGCTTAAATTTCTATCGAAGGTTCACCTACTATGATTATGAATTTGTTTCTGCCCACCGGTTCACTCGTACGCTACCGTAACTAGTACCGTAGTGACTAAATCAACCTAATTAGAAATAATTTAGATTTTTTTGACTCTTTTTAAAAGATTTTTGCTACACCAAATAAAAATAGAATATAGTTACGTTATTTTCCTACGGCAAAATACTAAAACAATATACTGCTCAGTGTGATGAGAAAAAGACATGGTAAGTTGATAACGGCACATAAATGGACATACATCGATATTTGCAAAATTTCGAAACGTCTTCGTTTTGAATCCTGTCGAGTTCCGCACTCACTAGTCTTGTCGTTTGACACTTACACGCATGACTTACCTACATACCATTTCTCACACGGCAATTGTAGTTTGTTTGGTTGTTTTATTTTTGTTTAGTATTAAACTCTTATAGATGTTTTTCTATTTTTAATTTCACATAGTGTTACTCCATTATGCATGATGTGACGCCTTAAAATGTTGTGCATTAATCTCAATATAATGAATGCATGCTTTAGATTTTAGTAAATAATGTCACGGGTTGGATTTTAAAACGAGTCGCCTGAATTTGAGGGTATTGGTGGTGTAGGGGGCTTAAGGGAGTTAGTCTTAATCCCCCCACAGTAATTTTGGCTGCCGGAGTTGCGTCTAAATATTTTTAAACAATTTTCGAAAATTCTTAAATACTCTTGCAATTATGCAAAACGGAACGTAATTTTTTTGCTTTAGTATAGTTTTTCAAATGTAATTTTTAGGTTTTATGTGAAAAACGTGAAACGAAACGCATCTTGGATGGATGATATTGACAGCTAATGTCAAATTTGTGCGTCATTCCTTTGCTTTCGAGTATTATTATACTCGAATAGTGAATGTGTTCTTCCGTATCGATTTGTGTTTTTTCTACGACTTGGCTAAAATTTTGAAAGTGCCTGGGCCGGGTCACCATAATTATACCAGTCACATATTATGTGACTGGTATAATTATTGCCGAGAAACCATTGTGGCATACCAAATTGACAAAAAAGAAGTAGTTGGAAAGATTGGTGGCCCCGGAAAAATAGTCCAGATCGATAAATCTATATTCGGTAAAAGAAAATACAATCGAGGTAATTATATTTTATATATTATTTCTTATAGGAAATGTATAAGAACAGGACATAATTCTTAGGTAATTAATAGCAATCTATTACTCCGAGTTGGCACAATCAGACTTCATTGGGTTAGGTTCGATGGCTAAGGCGGGAGCGCAGCGCAGCGAAGCTCCCGCCTTAGCCATCGTGGTTATTTTTTTTTAAACCACCCAGAAATAGGAGCCCCGCGTAGCGGGGCTCCGTCGACTCATAATTCAAGCCAGTTTTTATATATATATTTCTTTTTGTTATAGGTCGCCATATTGATGGCCTTTCGGTTCTCGGTATTGAGGATGTTATTTTTGAATATTTGTGGCGCGAAATAACGTAAAATACAGGAAAGATCCATTCATGGAATAATTAAAAGCGATAAAACATGTTTATAAAGTGGAATAAATTTTTTTGTACAAATTTCTGTTTTTATTTTTTCTAAGGGAACCAAGTATTTCCGGCGGGTGAAAATGGTGAGGGGGGGATCCGGCCCCTTTCCCCCCCCTCCCCCAACCACTCACAACCCCTTATAATGGCGACGTATTTCGAAATTTTTACCAATGTCACAGCTACTGGCTGTCAAATAACTAAATAAATGCTTCCACACATCACATCACATCAACAGCCTATAATAGTCCACTGCTGGACATAGGCCTCTCCTTAGAAAGGAGGTTTTGGCCTACTATACCACGCTGGCCAGACGGCTTGGTATAGGGTTTGTTTCAAGTTTTCCTTCTCTTTGCAGTGCTGTTGTCCTGCGTAGTTTGCTCCCTTAGTCGGCTCTTACGACACCCACGGGATGAATAGGGGTGGTAACATTCCAGTAAGGTAAGTGTTTACTTTCATAAGTGTATAACTTTTGTGCAAAAATATAAATGTTGTTATTCTTTAGATTTTTTTCTATGCATCTAAGTTAGGAGACTAATTTACGTTATCTTAATGTTGTTTAACTTCATAATGTATTTTTAATTCCATATGTTTATAATATATAATACTGATACACACTCCAATCTTTAATAAAATAATAGTTAGAAATATAAATCTAAGATATAATTTGGAAACACCCTCTTCTAAAATGGTGTCTCACGTACCACCACGTCAGTAAAATTGTGAAAAACAGGACGCGTCAGTCGCAGAGGGCTAAAATAAAATGGATTATAAGTAGCAATGAAAACCATGGATATATTCTTTTTTTTTTATATTTTCACAGTAATGAATGATACTTATAAATGAATATTACCTATTATAATAATAATAATATTTGTTTCGGAGTTTGGGTGTTTTCTGTATATAACGTTTGTATATACGAGACTTTACAAAAACAAAGACTAGTTCTTAACTGATTTCTGAAGGGAGTGGCGCCATATGCTGAAACATTGGTCTTACCTAGTTTGGCGGTGGATGCTGTTTATAGTTCTTTTGTCCTACAATTGCCTAGTCCGTGCATGTGAACAACAATCTTGTCAACATTTTTCGGCGATAAAGTTATTACTATTATTATTAAAAAAGTTATGCAAATATCTCATTTAAACGCTTGTAACAGGCTCAAAATTACATATTTTTATATAATCAATACTCTAGTAACAACATTCATATAATTTAAGTTTATAGGCTTAATTAAGTCACAGTTTTAAAATGACCAAAAACTAAGGTTGTTATTAGTTAAAGATTACATATAATACTTTTTTAGTTATTTTAAATTTATGAACCAAAGAATAATAGCTTGCTTTTATTTATCACCTTCTTCAAATATTTATCAAGATGAATAAGATAGGCCTTATTTGTATCACTTACGTTATTGTACATTCAGCAACTGGTTACAACAGAATTGGTTCTGAAATTTTGTACCAGAGCTCCCGACGCGAATACAATAGTACACACAATCCTATACCGACACTACGAATGGTAATTCGTAGCAAATATCACTCCACTTCTGATGTTGGAGAGCAGTTCAGGCATCGCTTTTCTTAGAAGCTGTGCCTCGAACATGTTAAGGGGGCCGGCTCCGATGACTCGCTCAACACCGCATTCGCCAAGCAGTACAGGGTAAGCAAAATATGAAGGTTTATCTAAGCCAGTCTGTACATATGCACATTCCACGATGTTTTCTTCACCCTGTAATTAAGTTGAATGTTAAAATAATATTGATATGGGCCAGATCTAGTATTTGTAGTAATTTCAAAAAAAAAATACAATATTTAGGCTACAAAAAGACTTTCAACTAGGATCTTGAATTTTTTTGGTCACATAGCAGATAGATAGATAGATTATCACATAAATAGAGATTTTCATAATCCCGAATGATTCAAAATTCCTAATATAACAACTCGTCATTCATCCTATTTTTATAGTTTAAAAATTTCAATATTCCCAACGTTTATAATTAAATAAAATAAAAAAAAGCCTTTTTATTTCCTGCTTACATTTTACAGACCTTATTTGATCTCAAGTGTTTATATACGGTTTTTTTAAATGTAAAAGAAAATATCATAATACTGAAATATACAACTTAATATTAGATAACAATCAGCGTAGTCACATTTATTTTTCATTGAAATATAATTAAAATACGATTCATGAATTAGATTTACAAAATACAAGAATAAAAAATTGAAAGACGTTTAAAACATAGTTTAAATAATTATCATGCAAGAACCCCTCTTATGCGGAGGTGAAGGCCTCATCCAGACTTTCCCACTTGTTCCTATCTTTCGCTTTTGCTTTTCAGTTCTTGCCTGCGAGTTACTGGTCTCCCTCTCTTTCTAACACCCGAAGGGCCCTGCCATATCGTCAGTCTAGAAGTCCAACGGTCCAACGTCATTCATCTTCATTAGCTACATTGCCTGCCCAGCGCCATTTCAAATTCTTTGAGAATTTAAGTGCATCTATAACTTTAGTCTTTGCCCGTATAGTATCTTGTTGAACTTTTTGTATTTTTCTCACATTTGTGACCCTTCTCTGCAGACTTCGTTGGTAGGATCTAATTTTGTTTTTCACTCGGAGTGTGTATTTCCATGTCTGACATCCGTAGGTGATAGATGGGAGCAAGCATGTGTCCATAATTTTTTCTTTAAATTTATAGGCATAGTACACTTTAGCATTTCTCTCAAACTCCAGTTTTTTTTCCATGCGCCTGAAATTCTTCCCTCCACTTCTAGTTCATTACTTTGCTTACCGAAGGCAATTTGTTTTCCTAGGTATACTCGTATGTAACCATCCACATATTCCAATGGTATTTAATCGAAATATAAGGGGTATTTTATGCTGTTAGTCATAACTTTGGTTTTCTTTAAATTTATTTCCAAGCCCACTTCATAGCTTTCAGTGAGCGAATCATTGATTCTATCACACTAGCAGTTTCGGATAGTAGAATAATATTGTCCGCGAATCCCATTATTGTTTAGCCCTGTTCTGTCCCAATCGAGTTTACTGATGACTAGAGACCGGATTATATGCATCTGCATATTTGCATATGCTTTTGCTTATTTATGCCATTCTCAACGGTAATAGCATATTTTACCTAAGATCTAGTTATGATGCATATTATCGGATCATTTACTATATTTTTCCGAGTGCAGTGCATTCACACTGTGTTCCGAAATGCGATAATATCGCGAATTCGACCTGACGCAGAGTCAGTAGCCGCGCGGGTCTTTTTTAAATAATTTTAATGTCATGTATGTTACTGTAATTATTATCGCCAATCAAAAAATAATTTACTCATTGTATGCTGATTTTGAAATAAAAACTTACTTTTTTCTTTTTTGGGATTCCTAAAATTCATCATTTAATTTCGCATATTCTGCCAATTTTCATGCATATTTCAAGCATTTTTCATGCATATAACAAGCTTTTTATGATGCATATAATCCGGTCTCTCCTGATGACCATCTCTTGTACCGCTATAAACATTCTCGGTGACAGTGGGTCGCCTTGCCTTACCCCTCTCTTATTGGGTATCAGCGGTCCCGTAGTCTCAAGTTTCACTTTACTACTGCAGTTGTTGTACAGATACTTTATAACTTTTATATACTTTCCTTCAACTTGTTGTGAGCTTAACGCTGTCCATATAGAAGAATGCAGGATTGTGTCGAAGGCTTTCTGGTCATCGATAAACGCAACATACAGTGTGTTCACTGTATTTTTCGATTATTTGTTCGATCGCGTGGATATGATCTATCGTAGAATATCCACGTCTAAAACCAGCTTGCTCTATCGGTTGGTGTTCTTCTATACTCCTACTCAGCCTTTTTTCGATTATTAATGAAAAAAGTTTGTAGAGTGTGGATAGCGAACTGATACGTCGATAGTTGCCTATATCTGTTGGATCTCCTTTTTTGTAGAGCAGGATCATGTTCAACTCTGACCACTGAAGGGATACCTGAATCTTCAACTCTGACCACTGAAGGGATACCTGAATCTAATATAGAGTTAAAGAGACGTGATAAAGGGCGTGCAAGATAGTTACAACCTTCTTTTATTGCCTCGTTAGTACTTCCGTCAGGGCCTGGTCATTTTTCTACTTTCAATATTTTTATTCCTTTTATAACTTCGAGCTCGTCTATAATTTCCACCTCTGGGAAATCTTCTTCGGGTTGTTGGATGCTGGTGCTATCAATTTTATTCGTACTATGTTGAGCTTGACAATCATACAGTTTTTGTAGAAATTTGTAGCGGTTTTGATAATATCGGCCGTGTTATGCGATAGTTTATCTGTCTCTTTTAGTTCCTTTAATACGTGAAATAAATTAATTAGTATGTTTGTCGCTGGCAAGGTTGTTTGGAGGGTTTTGGTCTGGCTCCCCTGCGGTGACGAGCCGTAGTGGGAGATGTAGTCAGAGGGGGCGTTTGTAATTGTCATTCTACGCTATTTTGTATGTTATTTATAGGCTGATTTTAAGAGTTGACGACGGGATTATATTTGAACTTTCATATTTGATCATTTGTTCTTTTTACTTGATTATTTTTGTCTTGATTTCCTAATTTGTCTTGAGCATTTATTATCTCTGGTGATTCAGACAAGTTCCTCTGACTAGAATGACTACGAAGAGCTTTTTGTTCTTTATTCTATTTAACGTTTATAATTACTATGCTCAAAATACCGAGTTTCAATAGATCGAATAACAAAAAGTCCGACTTAATGATAATTCGAAACATCAATACTTCGAATTTCTTTCTTCTTTTTATTTTCATTCAAATAAAAATATTTTCTTTCGCTGGTCACAGTTCTAACCAAACCTAACCCAAATGATTCACCAACAACAGAGGGGATCTGCTGTTAATCGCCACTGTGAAAACACAAAAAATATCTTAATACACAAATATTAATAACAAAGTGAAACTCTTTAAATTACATTATACTTCACTTATAGGTTTTGAATAAAGATGCGTAACTGAATATTATAGTAACTGTATCAGAATCCTAATTTTAACAGTTTATTTGAAGTATTGAAACTCGGAATTTCGTTTATCGAACCGAGAACCCATCGAGAATTTGAATCTCCAAACGTATACAAATCGGCAAACAAATCGCATTTAAGACTCAGTCAAATATGACAAATATGAAATTCGGACTTTTGAAAATCAGAACATCGAAATTCGGAATAAAATATTTCAGAGTTTTTGGGTGTTCCCAGCAAGTTGGCCAAAAAGAAGAATTCCTATTTGTTGGACAAATCAGATCTGCGTATCGGCTGTACCGGGATCCCTCCTATTTACAGCGCAAAGTGCACGCCATGTGGCTTTAGTTGGTTCGATTTCGACACACCCGTAAAAACACACACACGTAAAAAAAAATAGTTTGTTTGGCATCCTATGTTCTAAGTCGGCCCTAGTTTTAGTTTATGTTATTAATGCAATTCACGTATACAATTTGGCTTTACAAGTTGTAGTGTTAAATGCGATCTCCTTTAGATAGGCCGGTAGTCTATTAAATAATTCCACTGACTGATACCTTGCACAATGCTTCGCTATATTTAATTTAGGCGCCATTTTATTTTTTAGTTTTTCTCTAACTTCCTTTTCTCTTTTTGTTTCGTAGTCATGTGTATACTTAGTGAATTTGCTTAAAATAGTTAACGCGTATAGACTTCGGACCGTTAGGATTTCTAGATTCTTGAAGTGTTTATTCACAAGAATCGTGTTGTGATATTCAGACAATAATTCTAATGGCACGTTTTTGTAAGACAAAGGCTCTTTGCGTGTTCTACTCATAACTGTTACCCCAACACATTATGGTGTACCTTAACCTGGATTCCACCAATTGTTTCAATTATATTACATATTTCTGAAAAAAAAATCTTCTTGTATAAATTTTGTAATCATTTGATATGTTCCATAAAATAAAAGGTTATTGTATTCGATTCGACACATGCGCAATGGATTTAAAGCGTCGTACCTACAGCTGGCAATCGCTATCCACGTCTGACTAGTGATGTTACACGCTAACTCTCTTTCACTAATTTGATATATATAAAATATAAAAAAGTACCATACCTGTTTACTTGTTGTTACCTGTACCTGTTTGTTTGTTTTAATAATAATTTAATAAAAAAAACTAGCGGCCATATTTTAGTAGGCAACCTAGTAGATATATGTTCTCCTAATCATGAATATGCGTAAAAATTTGTTTTTTAGCAAACACTCGATTAGTACACTAATTCTGCAGCCGGTTCTTAGACTACAAGGGATATTAATTAACTTTAATACTAATTTTATATAACTCTAAATAGTTATTTAGCTGAAAACTAATATCTACGAGGGCGGGTCAATAAGTCCGTGACTTTTTGAATTTCTGACCTCTTTACTGAAAAAGCAACACTACTCCTGTCAACAGGCATCTGTCAGTTGACTCCTGTCAAAATTTGAACTTGCTGCGTCAGTTAGTTTGTATTTGACAGCTATCTTTATCAGACTACCCAGTAATTTGAGGAAAAAATAGAAAAAAGTGAATTTCGTGTGCTTATTAAGCATTATTTTTTGCGAAAAAAAACCATTACCGAGACCAAGGCTAAGCTTGATAAATACTATGGGGACTCTGCACCATCGATTTCAATGGTAAAAAAGTGGTTAACTGAATTTCGTTGTGGCCGTACAAGCACTGAAGATGCCGAAAGTCTTGGACGCCCAGTTGAGGTCTCTTCACCCGAAACAATCGAAAAAATTCACGATATGGTGTTGGCCGACCGAAGATTGAAAGTGCAAGAGATGGTGGAAGCCGTAGGGATCTCGCATGGCTCAGTGGTTCCAATTTTGAATGATCACTTGGGCATGAGAAAGCTTTCCGCAAGATGGGTGCCGCGATTGCTCACAGTCGATCACAAACACAATCGTGTAACAACTTCACAGGAAGGTTTGGTGTTGTTTAATCGCAATATGGAGGAGTTTTTGCGCCGTTTTGTAACCGTGGACGAAACATGGATCCATCACAACACACCAGAGACCAAACAACAGTCAAAACAGTGGGTTTCTAAGGGTGAATCGGCGCCAAAGAAGGCCAAGGTGGGTTTGTCAGCCAATAAAGTTATGGCGACTGTCTTTTGGGATGCACGCGGGATAATCCACATTGACTACCTTCAAAAGGGAAGAACAATCAATGGGGAATATTATGCCAAGTTATTGGACCGATTCAATGACGATTTGAAAAAAAACCGACCTCATTTGGCCAAGAAAAAAGTTCTTTTCCACCAAGACAATGCAAGGGTGCACACATGTACAGTTGCCATGGCAAAAATCCATGAATTGGGCTATGAATTGCTCCCTCATCCGCCCTATTCTCCAGATTTGGCTCCGAGTGACTACTTCTTGTTCCCAAACCTGAAGAAATGGCTTGGTGGAATAAGATTTGACTTGACAATGATGAAGTCATCTCGCAAACAAAGGCCTATTTTGAGGACCTCGACAAATCATATTTTTTGGAAGGGATAAAAAAATTGGAGAAGCGTTGGACAAAGTGTATAGAGCTCAAGGGAGACTACGTTGAAAAATAAAATGATTTATTTATCAAAAAATCTGTGTTTTATTCCAAAAGTCACGGACTTATTGACCCGCCCTCGTAAATCAATTCACGAAAATTTAAAAATGAGTTTTACCTTAAGTACCTACTATGATAAATACTTTCTTATTGACTGTACAAATACTTACGTCCAGAGCTCTGAGTACGGATGTGGTGAACTTCGACGCTGCGAAGGCCATTGATAGTGTAGGTTTGCCGCCGCCTTTAGCCTTCACTACCTACGGATGTGCATTTTCGTAAATATTGACTTTTATAAAAATCTATACATATAAAATTACTTGTCCTGACCGTGTCTTGTCAACGACACCCACCACTAGGTGTCGTTTACTATTTTTATTGTCAAGCACTGTGATGTATAACGTCAAATAACACTTATTTACGTTTTAATTTTTAATGTTAATATTGAAATTGTAACATAACATAACAATATATTGTGCGAGGGCGAAAATTTTGTCTAATTGCTTACCTCATTATCGCCTTCTTGTATCCTAAAAGTGAGATTTTGGATGTCAGGCATAGAACACCAGTCTAGAGGAGGATTACTTTGACTTAACACGGGAACAACTGACAACCCAGAATTGCCACCGATGACCGGGACGGACACCATCGAAGGATCTATGCAGTTCATTTCGCCGATAAATGTACAAGCCCGGACAACGTCTAGCGTGGTCACACCCATTACTCGTCTCGGATCGTATACTCCTTCCTGCCAATACAAGATAATTAAAATGTGTTAGTTAAACAAAATATTTTAAATGTGTGCAATAATATACACAATAGCAGATAAGGTGAAAACCAGTTTAACTATACAGACAGAACTGTATTAAAAGATGACGTATTGCCACTTTGGTTTTGTCTGATATGATGTCATAGAAAATGAAACGTGGCGTCGGAAAAATATTTGAACTAATATAACGGTTTTGTATGGAAAATGAAAAAGAATGAAAAAAGAATAACCATTTCTACTTTAGTATTTTATACATGATATATAATTAGTCACATTTCTACCACCTAAAGCCAATCAACATTTACAAAGCAATTTGAACAAAAAATATTCGTCATTAAGACTTCTTTTGCAAACTAAAAATATTTATTCACCTTCTTTAAAACCTCAGATGTAATAGGTACCAGGGAGTTTAAAGGACCAGTCAGGATAGCTATAATAGCATCAGGACAATGCCTTGCGATCGATTTCGTTAAGTCACGTATTAAGTTGGCGTTTTCCCTGAACAGTTCGTATTGAGTCATGCCGGGCTTGCGGGGTATACTTGCTGGGATCACGACTACGCTGGCACCTGTTACAGAAACTCATTAATATATTTATTAATAATAAACTACAGCTAAGCTTAATCCTAGTCGGGAGCCAAGGCTCTTATCACACTTTCCTATGCTGTCTATGCTCTTCTGCCACTTCAACGTACTGCAGCCAATCAGTCCAGCATCTACGTCTTACTTTTCGAGTTCGTTTCTTTTTAGGTAGTCCTGTTATTATTGTGATACTATTTATTCTTTCTTAAAAAATGCTATCTATCCATTTCGAACTTCGACTAAACTGTTAGCAAAACAAATGTCTTAGGATTGTGGTCGATTTCATTTGATGTTCGCCTCAGCATACTGCAGCACGCATTCCGCATCATACCAATGCCGTCTCGGGCTGCATCATGCTGCACGCTGTGACACAGACAACAAGTGCAATTCCATGCACTCAGATGTGGTTCAACCCTAATCATTGATTCTAATAAAATGTGACCATCTCTCTCTCACATTAGCAGTTTACTCTGTCCTCAAAAACCGACCATAGTTTAACTGGCACTATTAACAATAAACACGTAATCTCCGGTTCATAAAATACGATGCATTGTGCGTACCCCTGTCAAAAAGATCTGTCATTGTTGTAAAAGAAATAAAACCGGGTAAATATGAGTTTAATTCCCGCACCGTGGGTTCCGTAAAAACATTTAGATACTTCGTACATCTTCAAAATCGATATTATATAGATGATCTAATTTATTTACGTATAAACTAGAACCATCATTTGAACAAAAAAAATCATTTCTAAAAAAAAGTGTGTGTGTGTGCAATAGTGAAACTAAAAAATATTTTCTCTACAAATAAATAAAAATTGAAGTGTCTGTTTGTAATGTCAAAATAATAGGTTCTTTTCATGCTCACATGGTTATTTGCACCAGATACCTACGCCTAAAAACCAGTTTAAAAATATATTCGATTCTAAAAAAGGTTCACTTAAAAAAAGTTGAATCGACTTCAAACAATAGGTACTAACAAAGAGCACTAAAAACCTAAAAGGAATAGCGGTTGATTTGCTGTAATTTTTTGAAGAGTTCCGTTGTCTGTCATCAGATCTATTTGAAATTTAAATGAGACCCTTTCGAAATAAACCCTTGTCGAACAAAAAACTAATTCTGAAAATCCGTCAATATATGACAGAGCTATGCCCGAACATACATTAAAAAAAATAGACATCCAAATTGGTAACCTCTACCTTTTTGAAGTAGTTTAAGAATAACAACGCAAAACAGCAGCTAGGCTTACGATCAAGAGCATCAGGAAGTTGTTCCCGCCCTTTGTAACCGTTGACCGTGGCTGAAGTGTTAATATGAGAAATATCAAGGGCGACATCGTGTGCCTTGTGTTTGACGTCATAGAGAGCCAAGTGGGAGACAAGTTTATTCATCTTCAGCAGCATACTTAGATTCTGGCCGACACTGCCGGACGCGCCTACCACCGTGACTTTGTAGTTTCTCTGAAAACAATATACGTTACTGAGTGTGTGTCACTGACCCAGGCATGACCACCATCATGAATTTTAATTTTGATAATTTGTCGAAATTTGTCGCAAAATATCAGAATACTAACTGCCCGGCCCGGCTTCGCACGGTTAGTAGTAGTTGACATCCCGACAGCAGCGCCACCTACCCGGTCCAATTGTATTTTAAATCATCCAGGAAACCATTGGAATACCCATATAAAATTTCAACCCAATCGGTTTAGCCGTTCAGAAGTTATGTGAAAAAGATAAGTACGAAAGGATAATTCTTACTACCCGTTGTCCTATTACCCATTTTCTCGTAGGAATAACGCTGTCTGTCTGTTGCCTCATCACGCCTAAACCACTGGACTGATTGAAATGAAATTAGGTATAGAGATAGTTTGAGTACCGGGAAAGGATATAGGATAGTTTTTATTCCAGAAATTGAGGATTTCTTTTATTATTATTCCTATATGATTTTTTTTATCAAAACTTTCAATAAAACCAAATTATCTTATCATAGAATCAATAAGAAGATACGTAGAACTAAATTACACAACCTACTTTTTTTAATGGGACTAAACCCTCCCACACGCCCACCACTGTAACTCCTGTACACCAGGAAAAAACAGCAGTGACCCACGAACACACCGGGTGAGACATTCCCAAAAAAAAAATTAAACGGTCATGGAACCCGCAACGAAATTAATCCAAAGAAAGTTGGAGAAGTTGTAAATACAGTAAAACCACTTCCCTCCTTAGCAAAGAGGGAGAAAAAATTAATATGCATACAGGCCACAAAATATTATATGTCCTAAGTGAGCTATATTTGATTTCTATTACATGTATGGCCGAATCGCCTAAACGCACGGAAATTCACCCTAGTTGACACAATATCCCCATAGTATACCGCCCCAGATGTCAACTGCAAGCTATTCAGCATTTTATTACGTTCATTATATCAAAGACTACATACAGATGATATGATGAGCAGATTTTACACAGCAAGAGTTAGGTGTTGAACATTGACACAATGGTAACTAGACTAATTTAAAGGAATATAGTTTGCTCTTAACGTTACTATGACCCGTAAGACATTGACATTGAGCGACACAGTGATCCATCTCAAGTCATATCCGCGATAACCGTTCGCAAACAGATTGAAAGAACTGGTAAAAGTAGCGCCCCTTAGATGATTCGTCCCAGCGTTGTTGCCATTCGCCTATGAGGTCATTATAGACATCGGACTGTTGTTGAAGCAATCTTGTAATTTTATCGCGATCTCGTGCGCCCAAAAAATTGCATTCCATGTTTTGTTGTCTTGAATAGTACATGGCTGCACGTCTCTGCACCTCGAGATCGACCGGAAGCACACCCGCCAATACACTTCCGCATTTGTAATATTAGTATGGATGGTGACTAGAATAGGACTACGGCAGACCAACACATTACTTACTCACACAATTTAAATATAAGTAAGTCTTTGTTTATGTGAAAAAAAAAATGATTCCGGCACATTATTATCCAACAACACCGATCCCTTCTACCCACTTACTCATCCACAGTCACAATATACTGGAATACCGTGAACGAGCCATCAGCGGAACACTGTCTTCCAAGTTACAGGATATAATATGACTGAAACTAGCAGAATATTTAAATCTAGATTAAAGCACTGTCAGAACAATGAAACTAGAATTAAGATGGACATTGTATTAATTCGAATAAAACGTTGTTAATTTTTGAAAAAAGTTTTTCATGCAATAGTGGCCATGCTGGGGAGACTAACCCCAGCAGGGCCCCCCATAAACGCTTATACCTTTTGAACCAGTGACCGACAATAATATTTGGCGACAAATTAGCAATTGTTTGTGTTATCAAAATTTAAATCCATGATGGTGGCCATACCAGGGTCAGTGACACCAATATACGCACTGTTCTATGTTTTTTATGAATGAATTAGAGGATAAAATAAAGTAATATTAGAGAATCCCTCACCTGCGGCACAACGGTACTGCCGTTAAAGACACACATATTAGTAGTTAATAGGTTCAACCGGGAGATCATTTTGTAGTTGAAGATAGTGGAAGGCGAAGCTAAGCTAATTCCTAAAAATTGTACACATTAAAAGAAAGGAATGGAATATTACAAAAATTTATGTTTGTACATAACTGATTTGTTTTATATTAATTTATTATCATGATAATCTTAACCCTTGACCCATGTTACGCGTAACTATTAAACGGTTTGACAGATCAAAGACATTTTGACAGATTACAGACGTTATAGCTGTAAATATTCTTTATTTCTTACGTTTTCTTAACACCTACTCTTATGGGCAGCACACACGCTACGAGTATTGTTACCGCTTAGACTGTACCGATAATCTAAAAGTGTGTATAATGTAAAACTGTACAGTCGAAAGGAATCGGTTGAACTGTGTCGATAAATCGTAACTCGTATCCGATTCCGTTTTATCTAATCGAATTTTCATTTTGCTCTGTTCGATTGTTCAGTTTTTATCATACACACGTTTCGGTACTGTCTAAGCGGTAGAAGCAAGCGGTAGAAGCAGTAACGGTACTCGTAGCGTGTGTGACACCTGACTGTAACTTTAACACATGTATTGAATATAATAAAAACTAAATAAATAAAAATTACATCGTTTTATTAGACATACGAATTTAATTTCAATATTTTTAAGTTAATTATTGCCAACGGCGGAATCAGGAAGTAGGTAATGAATTACGCAATTAAGTAAGGTGAGCTGTTGAACACAAAAAATAAACGTAATTTTGTTAAGCACTAATGATAATTACACGATACGAGATCCAAACCTTTAAGAATAGATCGTACTCGGCAAAGGCCGCCAACTTGATGGTGACGGTTACCCCTCTACTCGTTAGCCCACTCTATCAGTGAAAAACAAACAAAATACCTAGTACATTAACACTATGGCAATGTCTTCGAAAGGTAAATGTTAAGGGAGGGACGTCTGCGAGCGCCTGGTGTCCGTAGCGTAGAGATTTACCCGAAGGTGGTTTTGCGGGTAGACGTTAGGGTGGGTCAGGAATAAAATCTGCTCGAGGCGTCATCCTATTTCAGGCTCAGTATGGCACACTGAGTTGTTTTAGTCAGTTTGATTCAACACTCCGCCCCTCCATTGTGGTGTGTACTCTATAATAGGGTACACACCACACCATAACCTCATCACGCACAACACAAAAAGGCACAACTCCCTAAGCTTTTACCAATTATAGCCCTTAGCCGTTAACAATGCCGATATTTGTGGTCTCACTAATTGATTATATTATTAATCGAGTAAATAAAGAACTCATTTGAAATAAAACTCATCATAAATATGTAGTAATTTAATTAACAAATCTGCATCGTTTTCAACATAATATATTATATTATACCGAAACAATGGATCTCTGAACTACCTAGTAGTACAGTATATAACAACAAAATAAATAGTTTATGTAGTTTAGTAATTAAACTTGATTAATCATTGGCGACGACTGTACAACTGCTACTATGAAATAAATTAATTAAAAACAAAATCCGTCCAAAAATAATAATTCTAATAAACAACAATACAACACAAGCTGAAAAGAAAAAGTATACAAAAGAAATAAAGTAATAAAAATACAATAGTCGGGCCAGACTACAAAAAAAAATTCAAAACTTTGTATGCTACCTGCAAGTCTGAGATATTAAAAGTATTCGGCTGAAGTTGAAAATCGACTTTGAGCGAATATTTAAAATATCTGACTAGAAATATGTGTATATAGCACATTTTCACAATTAGCTATTTTTTTCTTACTATAACTATTTACATGAGATATTACTGTTACTAAAAGGTAGTGTACAGAATATCGTACTATTTAATACCAATATAAGTTGACCTCATCTAAGTACTTCATTTTATTATTGCCTCATTGACTTTATGCATCTCAATATAACAAACACTATGTAAGATTACACGCTATATACATTCTTAAGTATACAATCAAACACTTCGTGGCTACATTTGCTAACATATTTATAGGTTTTACTTCTGGTAGGGTTGATTTGTCATTAGTAAATAAAGTCATTCAGATAATATAACTGTTTTCAGAACGATTTAAAAAGATTACTTGGTAGTACTTAGTATTATCAAGTACTTTTAATGACTCGCAAGTCACGCCACGTCAAGCATGGTAATAGAAACTTAACTTTGATAGTACGACTACGAAAAATCTAAAAAACTTTATTCAAAAATAATATAGTAAGCTTATAAGGTCTCTTTCTCTAGACACGATACTCTCATTACACTAGACCAGCTAATTTCGCATTTACTTCTTCACAAATTTTACACCAGTCTCGATATTCTTCAGGAGTTCAGGAATGGCAGCCTTGAGGAGCTCCTGTTCGAACTTGTTGAGTTCGCCATAGCCGAGGTTCTTGGCCACACCGTTCTTGCCGAAGAGAACAGGGTTGGCAAAATAGCCCGCTTCTGTCAGGTCAGACTTGATATACGCGCATTCTACTACATTAGCTTCTCCCTGGAATTGGAAAGATGGCGAACGATATAGTATTTTATGGATATAAAGAACATGTAATGACAGTAATTGAGAGAGGAACATTGCAATAGTTTAAGTATATTAAAAGAATGAGTAAAGAGCGAATGTGTAAAGGAATTCGGCAATGTGCTTTGATGGTCACATTAGATTTATCACAAAAGAGTGCAGGGCACTCACTAAGTTATCTTTCTTTTGAACACTTTCCTCAATATTCTTATTACGCTTTGCTGTCCTTGTGAACTAAACTACCAAAATATATAACAATAGAGGAGTTGCCTACATAAAAATCAAGTATTTTAAGTCTTCTGGAAACCAGTTTTTAAAAAATTTATTCATTACTTCAATTTTCTATTAGAAGTTTTTTTTCAATCGTTGAACGCCTCTTCCATAAATAACCTGACGACAGCAAACAACGATACATCATGAACTGTTAAATTATTCAAATATAAACGCGTACTTACAGCCAGACCTCTGAGTACGGAACCAGCAAGACGCGCACCAGCATACGCCATGGAAAGGGTAGCGGAACCGCCACCGGCCTTGGCCTTTACGACCTATAACAATAAATTAAATACCCATATACAATAACTTTCTCATAAATAGTAATTATCTGCAAGCTGTGCACTAGGCTTTGTAAAACAGACCAACAGACACACTTAGCATAATAGTCAGAAGCAAACAGTAAAGTTTGTCAGAAGTTAGCTAGAAATATCAGTAATATACGTTAAAGAATACCTTATAATATTTAGTGAGTACGAGAGTTAAATTAAGACGATACAAACTTGAATCCAATCGGCTATCTTTCATTGTCTTAACTCGAAGTGAAAACGAACTGAACGGCATTAAGGATGTACAATACGTTGATTTTGAAAATCTACCAAAATTTTAGTTCTTTTAAATATCGACGCTATCAATTATAATTATCATGTAACTTACAAAATGGCTGTATACCCTATCTGCACCAAATACTGAAATATTTCCAAAATTATTCGCAACATATTTTTTTAAAATGTTTATTTAGCTTAGAACATAAATATAGAAATAAAAAATTACTTACTTCAGTACCAGCTTCCTGGATCCTTTCGGTAAGCTTCTTAATATCTGCCTGGTTGGTTAACTTGACAGCGGGCTTCGCCTGGCTGAGCAAGGGAATGATGGTCACACCGGAGTGGCCTCCGATGACAGGTATGGACACGGTACGGGGGTCCACGCCATTAATCTCTCCAATAAATGAGCAGGCACGAACCACATCCAGGGTGGTCACACCGAGAACGCGGTTTGGATCGTAGACTCCAGCCTGAGAATAAAAATGTAAATAATGTAGTACATTATATGATCAATTTTTACTGTAGCTATTTAATTGTAGCTAACATTTATGGAGTGTAGATGCAAGGAGAAAAACTACGATATGAACATCGCTGCGGTAGACGGAGTGAAGTGTGCTGAGTTAAAATATTATAATACTGTATTGTCTGAATCTTATTTATTTTCTAACTTATTGACTATTTTCGTAGTCTAGGACACTGTTTAGTTTTTATTTCAGCCAAATTTATCCTAGGCTACCGCAGCGCCACCCATATTGGACGCGTTCTCTTTACCTCTTCACTCCATACTAACATTAAATAAGAGTATCGTAACAGACGATTCTAATATATTACATTGAAATAATATTTGGTTCAAAAATCAGAATACAGTAAAAACAGTGCATTTTTCGCATCAGTGTAATTGCAAGCTTTCCTGTGACGTTTAATAGTAAAGAGACAGAAAAATAATAATAAAGAGAAGCTGATTTGATTTGACAGTAATCTACAATACCGCAATACGCCGTGAACATTTGCTGGTTTTAAGACAATAAACTATAATTTCTTCAAAAATGGTTCAAACCAATTATTTTAAGCGGCATTATAAATTTATTATACATGATAATCGAAAACTAATTCCCTGCAGATTGTGTCAAAAGATATTGCTTATATTAAAGGCAAACAATTTACTGACACTACACTGACTGTTAACTACACTAGAATTCATCAGTTTTTAGTGAACTTAGAGCTTTCAAACACAGATAACGTGCGACTCGTTGGTAACGCTCAATAGGTATCAATAATTATATAAATTCAAAGAACATGGCATGGTTTTCCTTCTTTTTGACCGTACGTTAAATGTATACAGTTACTTTTCCGCCGTACACTAAATACCGAAAACATATTAAGTAATAAAATACGGGGCAATATATGAACGATCAAATTAATACATGAAGCGATAAGTACTCAAGGTCGGATATTATTTATGGCGCATGTTCGTCAATGACATGAGAGAAACTATCAACAACAACAGCGTGTTACAGATTACTTAATAGTCACTGATCATCATCAGTTTTTCACAGAAAATTCTACATCTTACAATATTTAGTAAGTTAAGGTTATGAAGAATACTCAGAATTATTTTAAAAAATAAAGAGTTATTAAACTCTTTATTTTTTAATATAATTCTGAGTGTCTGAATGTATCTGTCACGTCTCTGTTTGAGGCGTTGTAGCTTATTCGTCTTACTGTTAGCACATGTATAACGCGTCTATAATTTTATCAGTAATTTACGTAGTATATGTTACATAATTAAGCTTGAATATGAAACCATGTACATAGTTATTTGGATGAAATTTACGAAGGTCTTTATTCTACTAATAACTGATTATTGTGACTTAAGTATATTAGTTATACATGCTTCGCGGACTTACTATATATTTTATATTTTATTGCACATTATTTTTATAAGCAAACTTTTATTTTGGCCTTTATTATTACGATTTTTTTTTATTATTTAAGACAGTTTGAAGGTCTTATAACCACATTTTAGTTTTATATTAAATCAATTTTAGATTAGCCATTATGTTGATTTGACTTTGACTAGTCCACTTTTACAATCCGAGGGGTGAAATAAAAGAAAATACTAGACTGTCCAAAAAAAACATCGCCCTAACTAGACAATAAAGGAATAACTCTATAAAATAATAATAAAGATTTATGGAACGCATTCTACAAAGATGTCAAGGATCGGTGCTACGTTTTTCCATTTTCATTGAGTTCGTTATTTTTCAATTTGAATTTAGACAATCATAGTTTAGTAGAAAATTTGAGTATATGTTAATTCTGTTTAAATAGTCTTGGCAGAATATTATTATTTGAGAGGCCTATGCCCAGCAGTCGACTACGATAGGCTGATGATGAATTTTATATTGAGTTATCATGTGGCAAATACATGACAACATGACTGTAATCAATTATCGATGGTATAACGTACTATATAGATATTAAATAACAGTAACAATAACTTAATAATATTATTTTGGACATCTGACACACAACGCCGTCTGGTTTCAAACTAAGCAGAGCTTGTACTATGAAAGCTAGATTGACTGAAAGAATACTTAAATACTTTCATTTTTGTAGTAAGATACATATTATACATAAAAAAAACACCAAAACTCCAAAAAACTAAAACTAGTACAAACGAATAATATAAAGAATAATAATAGTAATTAACACTTAATCAGTATTACATACCCTTTTAAATACAGGCGGACTCATAAGTCTTCGTATTTTATACCTATATACGTAATTATTATATACCTAATCTTTTACTTAGTCTACGTATTTTGTCTACGTTCTTTTAATTAAAGGATAATTGTAACCTCTGAAGCAGACGTGGTAACGCATTTATAACTATTCAAACCTATGAAATTTAAAGTTTTAAGAAAAGTGGCTTTGAATCGTTGTCATATGAGGATACAAATATGTACTACATCAGTGACGTAATCCACGATAAGAGGAATATCTGAATTACTTCTTATCAACGACTACATGAAAGTGTACTTTACTTACGGGATAATATATTGCAATGTAAAAAGAACAATACATCATATAATCTTTACCATTTTTCGAAGAACTTTAACCTAAGCAAGTTATTCATCATGTAGGTTTAAGATAATTTTTTTAATACTTTGTAGGATCTATATTGTAATATTTTCGACATTTTCTTTCATATTATACATTATTTATATATATATCTAGCCGACTCGCGTAACTTGGTTTGTGACTCTTAAAAATAATAAATTTACCGTTTTTGCAACATTTTTTATTGATGCTAGGCTCCTAACGGTCGTGCCGTGATGTTATATAGCCTATAGCCTTCCTCAATAAATGGTCTCTCCAAGGCAAAAATTTTTTTCAGTTCCAATCAGTAGTTCCTAAGATTAGCGTGTTCAACCAAACAAACAAACTCTTCAACTTAAACATTAGTATAGTTTCCAACTTATTGAGACTAACTTTTTATTTGTGGACTAATTATAATGAGTTCTCAGTTTCAAGGTCTAAATAAAATTTTAGATAAAATACACTTACGTTCTTCAAGACCTCAGATGCAATAGGCACCATGGAGTTGACGGGGTTGGTGATGATAGCCATGATGGCTTTAGGCGCTTCCTTAGCGACAACGGATGCGAGATCACGTACGATGGATGCGTTCGTATTGAACAGGTCATCACGAGTCATACCAGGCTTACGGGGCACACCAGCAGGGATCACAACGAGGTCAGCACCTGATGAGAAATTACCAAATGGTGGATAGAAGCTCTGCTATATAATATTACATAATAATATAATATTATATAATATAATATTACCCATAAAAGTTATGTGTAGGTCAGTCAATGAATTTATAGATTCACACTAGTAATATATATCAACTAAACTTTCCAGGTGGTAGGTTACAAGAATTTAAGAAAAAGGAAGAATCTATCTATTATCAATTTACATAAAATAATAAGTTATGAAATCATTCCTAGTTATTGTCTAATCATTTAGTTTTAACAATTAGTTTAAGAATTGAACAAAAATGGTGCTAATTCAGTTGTTGACACAACTAAACTTAAATTTCTTTAAAATTCTCTTATTTTAGTGAGGCAATTTCCAAAATGCTATTCTGTTTTCAAGTCAAACTAAATTTGGTATTCTTAATGAATACCAAATTTAGTTTGACTAAATAGCATTAAATTTTAATCTGACGTCACTAAAAGTTAAAAGGAAAGTGTTACCATTAAAATAAACTTTTGAAATGGTTTAATAAGATTTTAAAATTCCTATAAATGATTAAGCATATAATAAATTAAATAGTAAACAAAATCTCGTATTTCTCAGTTATAGTTCACTTACCTGACAAGCCGCACCTTACCTTTTTCTTTATCTATGTAATTAAACTGAATATCTCTGAATCTATGCAAGTAAATTTGGCATGATTGACCATGATTGTCATAAAATACCTATTTTAGGTATTTTATGACAAAATAATTGACAAACAATAACATCAATACATTTGAAAATAAATACATAAGCTAGAGCATAAATTAATAATCAAATTAACTAGCAAAAGCTTTAGGATTTTGCAGTTTTCTACCTAGTATTAATTTTTTAAAACCGTTTGTGAAAGCCAATTATATGTGATCTTTTAATATGTTAATTATTAATATGGGCTTCATTAATTACTAACTTTTAACTGACCACTGTTTACATTGATAATAATTCTTTAGTTTTCTAACAGATGGCGTAAGAAGTAATAGTCCAGTTTTATAATTTTCAAAAGACATACACATAACAAACAACCTACAATAAAAATTCTAATTAATTAAAATTATTTAATACCTACAATAATATTCTAATCAATTTATTCTCATCAATTAAAATTATTACATCTTCTATTTTTATAAAATTTAATATAATAGTTTTATGATAGATCTAGACATGAATTGAAATTAATCTATGAAAAATATGGTATCCATTCAATCCCCTAAACAGGCCAAAACATAATATGTTTAATTATTAAATAGCGATTTATATTATAATTGCTATTTATCATAAACAAATCCCCAAAATACAAAGAATAAGCTCGTATATATAAACAGTATAACCAACAAATTAGTCAGCATGAATTGAGATAATGTGAAATTTTAGTCTGACAATTCTAATTATAGACAATCTTTGAAGATTACAACGCACAACAGAATCACAAATAAATATTGGACTAAATTAAGTAACTTACCTAATTTTGGTTGTGTCAAACTAGATATAGTTAAGTCTTGTTTTCCAAATATGAAATGGTATTTGACGGGACTATACTAACTTTTGTGATTTTTAGTTTAGTTTAGAGAGTTTTCGAACAACATAATTAGCACTAAAGAAATGGTATTTGACAGGACTAAACTAATTTTATGTGATTTTTAGTTTAGTTTAGAGAGTTTTCTAACAACAAAATTAGCACCAAAAACAAACTCCTAAACACCCAACAATTGCTTTTTACAGTCCTTTGTCAATAATGTCATAAACCATTTATTTAAACTAAAAGAAACATGTGGATTAAATTGTGTGTTCTGGTGTTTAATCAACAACACACCAAGAATGAGAATTTTTTATATTGCTTCTTTAATTGTGTATTTACAGGCTGACAAGGCAACACACAGACATAATTTATATAAAATATTGGAAATTATTTATAATTTCAAGCAATAAAAAAAAACATATAGTGGAAATAAATGAGAATGATTTTAAACGATCACCTATTACCAAAATACTTTTTACATTAGTTTTGTCAGAATGTTTATTACCTAGAAGAAGTAAGCTTAAAAATAACTGCTAGTAAACAAGTTTACTATAACAGTCAAGTTTCTAAAAGGAACAAGTTTATGTATTATTTAATAATAACATCATGAAAAGCAGGTCTCAATGTCTAGGTCAGACTAACAAGAAGGTTAAAAACAGGTCATTATACTATTTATTGATGACCTCACATAAATAATCAGTTATCTAAAATTGGCACAAACATAACTGTACTTAAAAATGTTAAGGTTATGTTATGTAATAGGAAGATACATTTGTTATATATATTAATTTTATGTAAAACTTACCTTTAATCGCATCAGCGAGTTGCTCAGGGCCCTTGTGTCCTGTGACCTTGGCAGGTGTGTCCATGTGCGATAGGTCGACCGCGACACCAGGGGTGACTGGTGCAAGATCGTACAGGGCCAGGTGAGTAACCAGAGCATTCTGCTTCAAGAGAAGAGACAAGGGCTGACCGATACCACCAGAGGCACCAGCAACTACAACTTTGAAGTTTTTCTGAAAAGAAGCTTCGTATAAAATAACAATTTATGAGCATCGCTATTAATCGGTCGTACAAATAAATATATACTTAAAATTACCTGTGAGGTAGTGGAGAAGTTCTTAGCGCCATTCTGGACCGCTACAGCAGCGATGGGTTTCAAAGCACGAGAAAACATTTCTCTATTTTTAAGTAAATGAAACTAATTTATGAAGATTATTCGCGTAATTCCACCTGACCTGGCCGACCTCTACTAGATAACAAGTGATGTAACAAGAACAAGAACGATCTGTGCTGTCAGTTTTATCATCACAGGCTGTGTCTACCTACAACTAAGTAACTAGTGGTGTTGTAGTGACTATGTACAATCGGAGTACGTACGAAATGAGTAAATACGCGTTTGTACTTGATATATTTTTTAACTGATATATTTTCCAAGTCGTTTTTTAATGGTCATGGACCATTCTAATGTTATTTGACAAATGGTGGCAATTAAAATTCAAATAGTAATTAATTCTTAATTTTACATTTATCAACACTGCGGCGTTGTTTTTGAAAAATATCTTAAAAGAAATAAATTGAACTCCCATCTAGATTTAGATAATATCTAAGACATGAGTTTCGTCTCACAATATTCAATTGTCAAATAGGATTAGGTACGATGGAATCAAATACGTAAATCGAAATAATAGATGACTTGCAAAATATTTTAGGATTTATCAGTAACATTAAAATCCTAAGTTTTGCTTTTAACATAAAAAAATAGCTTACTATATAAAGATACATATAATTTTTTTGTAAATTTCGGTTTTTAAGGTAGAGAAATTTAACGTGGCAGATCTCTTTTTGAGTTCAAAAGAACTCAAAAAGAGATTTGCCACGTTAAATTTACAAATGATGGCGTGACCATTCATTTGTAAGTAATTTTGAATCAACTTATTACTATTTAGTCATTTTTAAACTTACAATTTAAGAAAATAACAGTTTGATTGTTTTAGTAATAAATAAAGAGTATCTATATTAATTTTTAAACCTTGTATCACTTTTTAAACCCTGATTTCCCTAACCGACTTCTCGAATGTTTCGATAGTTGTTGCAGCCACGGTTGTTTGCCTCATTACACTATTATTACACAGAATACTTATATGTGTGTGTGTGTGTGACACCCGATTTTTTTTAATGGGTGTCCGAGAATGTGTGCGTGCCGAAGATACCAAACGACACAAGATTCTGTGTTGCACTTTGATAATAATATATTAATTACTCTAATACTCCAACTGACACCTCATCAGTAGTGTTAGTAGTATCTACATTGCACTCGTGCTAAGCCAGGCGGATTGCTGGTTAATTATATAATCCACATTAATATCACGGATAATACGATGGGTATCATAAGGTGTTTCTAGTAGTTAATCACAATTGCTCTAGTCGTTGGAATGGAAGTGCTTGGAAGAGGAGAAGGCACTCTTCCGATGATTTACTATGATAATAACCAACGTACCGGCCTTCAAGAATATAGGGAGGATGCGACGGCGACAAGACTTTTGCTGCTGTTTTACGCTATTGCTGTCTGACTTTGAAAGACTCGACTAACCCGTTTTTCTATTAATTGTGATTTAGTCGGAGATTGAATATGCACCAGAGTAACAAACCAAACGAACAAGACCAACCAAGATTGATTTCAGGGCTGGGTGAAACTAATGAAAGTAAGTAATGTTTCATATTATTGTGATGTTAAAAAAGTATTCATTTTAGCAAACGACTGTAAGGACTGATCTTTAATTGACTTTAAAACTAATTGACAGCAAAAAAATGCAGCGAGACGAAGCTTAATTAGTAAAGAGACGGGACCAGGAATATTAGTGTATGATTCTCGCATGCTCCACGCTGCGATACGCAAGCGGATTCTTACTTCGTGCCTTTCCACTAGGCACGGTAATTTTGAAGAATTTACAATAATCGACTGCATGGATGGCATAGTGGTTTAAGCAGTGGCCACGCCTGCTTGTGGTGCGGTGCTTTTATAAAATGAACTTAAAATTGATGAATTGATTTCTCATACTTATGCTAATCTCAAAAGGCGTATTACAACTTATTTTATTTTATTCCAAAGTTTATTGGAAAGAACGGCTTGGGCAACGGAGTACAGTACACGCGACAATTATAATGAATCATCAAGTAGAATGCACCAGAAAGAGAGTATTATTTAATGGCTATTCCGGATGCCATTACATAACACACTACTCATAACAGTTTCGTTATATCGCTTCGATGAAAAATACGAAAATCATATTCTACGAACAATATGATAATTTTCGTATTATGTATATGCTTTTCCTCTTCATGAGGATGGCGAGTGCTACACACGTGATGCTAGTACCGAAGACAATAATTGACAAACGTTAACAATCATGTATGAATCCGTGATAATATCCTAAGATGAATGAAAATACAAGTATTTAATAACTTACCGACTTATCTTAACGTGTCCGTGGTGTTTCTTTCATATTACGAAAAAGACACTGTGTAGCGAAGTATTATAAAATGTTGGTTCTATATGTATTCTGGCGAATATACAAATCTTTATTCCATCAATTTATAAGTAGTAATAACCACAAATTAGTCACTTTAACACGATTTTACATGTATGTATGTAACGGAATCTTTGAATTTGTTATTCACCCATTTCGACCCTTGAATTAAATTGATACTCTGCACACTTATCAAGGTTCAATGACATTACAATAATTTAATAAGGTTGTCCGATTATCCTGATCAGGATCTTCAGGATTAACGATTTTTCCATATCTGAAAACAGGGTAGTCTGCAACTTAATTACTTGTTACTTGATGGTGTTTGATGAAATAATCATCATTAAAGAGATCATTAGGAAAATAATATTGTACCGTAAAAATGCGTGGGCCACTTTTTAAGACATTTTATAATATAATGATCAAAATTCGATGGTCAACTTCAACTTTTGGTTAATGGCTTTGTGGAAAATTCGATGGTAAAAATATTTACTTCAATTGACATTATTACTGTACCCCGTGATTGACATCTAGCATCTAATTTTTCTTTAACTTTATGGCCGCTCATTATTAGTACCGTGAATTCATGGCAAACCTGCCGCGAATGAAGGACCTAGTGTGAGTTTATTTCACATGAACGCGATCGTCACGGTGACAGCGTTCGACGTTGTGATTAGTAAAAAGTTCAGTGCGAGCAGAGCTGTTGTCGACAGGATCGACATAGGAATTTAATTTAATTTAGTAGTGAGTTTAATTTAGGTCACAGCACTGTTATGTTTCATTACGAGCTCATGATCATATAATTATATCATAGAGTCATAAGTTCTACTTAGAGACTAGTGTTTAATTAGCTTTAAGCTTGTCTTAGAGATCGGTAGACTTTACAAATATTTTTACACGGTCTGATAACGGCAAATAAAAAATAACCTGGCTCAGGTGTGCCCAATTGCTTTTTATTGCAAACCTAAGCATAGTCATATTCGTGTAAGTTGCCAAACGGTGCTATTTTGTTACAGGAATATACAATTACCCGTTATTATAATATTACAATATATTTAGTAAATACCAACCCGTTTGGCCCGCGTAGGCCAAAACCTCCTTTCCAAGGAGAGGCCTATGTTTAGCAGTGGACTGTTGTAGACTGTTGATGATTATTGATATAATAAATTGTCTATGTCCAGCAGTGGACTATTAAAGGTTGTTGATGGTGATGAATATATTGTAACATCTATTCTTGCGTCAGGGGTTAAAGAAGGTGGACTCTCTACTCGGGGGTTGTGCAATCCATGTCCCTTTATGGGGCCCTGGTATGGGTGGAGGCCCTGAAGGCCAGCAACGTTGCTTTACTGCGGCGACCGCAGCGAGTGCTGGTTATCAGGGTCATAAGGGTCCACTCCACCATGGGACCTGGAAGCGAGAGCCCCTGCGGCTCTGTATTAGTGGCGCAATTAGGCTCGGGAGAAATCGGGGATCAGAAATCCTTCACAATAAATTATTAGTTTTAAATCAAATTGGAGCTTGTTGTAAATCCTGACTAGACGAAAAGACCCCATCCTTAGTCAAAAGTTAGTGCCGCTCATATATGTTAGTCATGATCCAAAGCAATAATATCAAGAATAACATTTTTGGTTGCAGACACGAAAAGATTCAAAAAAACTTTTCATTTGAATTATTAATTTCAACTACTGTCGAATGTTTTGTCGACTCTCTATCGGCTTTTCCACTAATATTTGCGTCTTTTTATTCGAACAAACTCGTGCTTTGTTTTCTATAAACCTAAACTACCTCCGTATTCCTTTTTCCTTATTCACCTAGTTCCTTTATTGTGCCACACGAATATCTATTTTTTCTACTAATATTTTTGCAAATAATCCAACTTTGTAAAATTTCATTTCATAATAATTTACTCTACTTTTATACTTTATCTGCCATATCTCAGACATGCGACTCATGCATTACAGTGCTCATTGTGCAGCGGCTAATGAGTAAAACGTTAGAAAGATCCAACGTAATTTAAAGTAGTTCTCTTATTTGTATTGTTTTTTATTATTATTATATTATTTATCTATGGTAGTAGTTTACCTACTCTTTGGTACAGTGTTTATTTTCTGGGTTGGCAATTGGCAATACACATTGACAATTGACATTACTTGACATTGACAGTTTATGGTAGCCGAAAACAATTTGTGTTAAAAGTTGCAAATAAATAATAAATAATCTCGAAAAAGTTAACCAAAATGAACGTAATTCAGGCTGTTAAGTTATATATAACTAAGATGACAGAGGAGAGCGGGCCAGGAATGAAAGTTATTCTAATGGATAAAGACACTGTATGTTTTATACCCATTGCTAAAATTTCTTTTATTTGCTCAATTGTAGTCGTTTTTTTTAGTAATGTATATTTTGGAAACGTTAAACTAGCTAATAATATGTATAGGTTTACTTTTTAGCAGTGTTTTTTTTTCGGAAATAAGTTTATTGCTCATGTCAAATATAAAATAAAAATAATCACTTCACAATTCTCACCCATGGCCACCTGATCCCAAACTAGGCAGAGCTTTATACTATCTCAATCAGACTGCTGATAAACATACTTATATTTAAATTCCACTTAGACAGAAGAAATGATTGTGCTTATCACACAACCATTGGTAAATTATTAATCATTTACCAGACATTGACTTTTAAATAAATTTTCTAGCTACTAGTGAATGTAAATATATTCGATTTCTTTTTCCAGACAAGTATAGTAAGCATGGTGTTCAGCCAATCAGAAATATTACAAAAAGAGGTGTACTTATTTGAAAGAATAGACAGTCACTCCAAATGGGATAATATGAAACACATGAAATGCATTGTTTTTCTGAGGCCAACTTCCGAGAACATCTCCCTATTGTGTAGAGAACTGAGGTACCCTAAGTACGGAGTGTATTTTATATGTAAGTATACTTATTTCATTACTAGTATACCTCAATTAGGCAGATGCAGGGTAGAAGAGGTTGCATTTATTAAATTTAATTATTAAGACTTTGTTCAATTTTATTAAAATTGATGTACCAATGTGGTACGGCCAGGCATAGTGGATGTAAGTAGTTATTATTTTTTATTTAAAAGACAATTCCCGCATTAGGAATATATCCTGTGTCGCGGGGGACTTTACAAACATACATGAAACGGACACAAAGAACACCCAGACTCAGAACAACAATTTGTGGATCGCACAAAGTGTAGTCCCATGTGGGGGTTGAACCCACAACACTCGGTGTAGTAGGAAGCGGTGTGGCGACCGGTTAAACCACTATGCCATCCATGCAGTCAAATAACTATTATTAACTATTAATAACTAGCTTTTGCTTGCTGCTCTGCCTGCGTGTATGTCGGTTATCACAGTACAAAAGTAGCCTATGTCCTGACTCAAGAATCAAACTGTCTCCATACAAAATTAAATCTGAATGGGTTCAACGGTTATTAATTGAACATACAAACTTCCACCCCTTAAACAACAATTTCTGGGATAGAAAATATGCCCTTGCCCGGGTCTCAAACTATCTTTATATGAAATTTCATCTTAATTGTTTTGGCTGTTCACAACATTTTCTGCTCAATTCAGTTCCAAAAGAAAGGATTGTTATGTTTGTCAGTGCAGTCAAACTTATATTTATAGTTGTTCAGCATGTATGTTGTAAAGTCAATGCAGTTGGTTTTAGTTCACTAAACAATTGTCAGATAAAATGTTAAAATAGACTACAATTTAAAAAAAGCTTTCATTCTTTTTTATTTTATTAAATTAACAACAATACAAACTTTATCCAAAACTACAGTAAGCTATTAGCATGGTCCCTTTATTTTAACCATAGTATTGATAAGCAAATGATAGTTATATGGATAGTATTATTATTACTTATGGAAAGATATGTAACTGAACAAAGGTCCCTAACTGCATAATCAAGTTATAATGGCAGTAGGGTGGGCACATAGCAGAAGGAACAAATAGACATGATCTAAATGGTCTCAAATTGAGATCACAGAGCGAAAATAAAGAGCAGCATAGGACATCTATCAACAGAGTGAACAGATGACCATGTAAAGTTGTAGGTCTTCAGTAGTGTGTGTGTGCAGGATGTTTCCAAACAGTTTTCATAGAATTCATTAAGGGTGGCCTATGTCTAACAGTGGGTGTTTTATTGAAATTTTGATAATAATGATTTACTTTGCAGCTGTTTTTGAGGTATGGGCAAACGAGCAGACGGGTCACCTGATGATAAGTGACTACCGCCGCTCATGGACACTCCTCGTATTGAAGGGAGGGTTTCGTACTATGGAACCTCACTCACTAGATTAATAGCAACGAAACGAATTGCATAGCAGCAGCTTAGTGTTGTTGAGTTATTTGAAATTTCTTTTTCTAGACTTCAGCAATGTGATATCAAAGGCTGACATAAAGACCCTAGCAGAATGTGATGAGCAGGAGACAGTGAGAGAAGTGCAAGAGGTGTTTGCTGATTACTTAGCTGTGGACAGGCATTTGTTCTCATTCAATATTGCGGGCTGTTTGCATGGTAGTTAACTATTTTCTTATTCTTTATTACTAACTATGAAACCCTTAGCAGTCTTCTCTGTTCAGACCACATCCTTTTTCTTATTACTGGTATGCTGCTATCATATTTTGGTGACATATTGAGAATAATTGTTGATCTTGATATGAATCTTGTCAGGTCGTTCATGGAATCAACATCACCTCCAACGCTGTGCCCAAGGTATCTTGGCCCTACTCCTGTCAGTGAAGCGCCGAGCTGTGGTCCGGTATGAGGCTGCATCAGAACCTTGCGCTCGCCTCGCTGAACGTGTGCGAGACCTTCTGCGTCGAGAAGCAGTACTTATTGATAACAACATACCATTTAATGGAGAAATACCGACACCACAGTTGCTGATTATAGATAGGAGAGATGACCCAGTAACACCTTTATTAAGTCAGGTTAGTTTTTTTTTTTTATTGAGGTTAAAAAATTCTTCTCAAAAAGACGAATTCTAACGGGCAACGAAACAGTGTTAGGTATTTATCGCTAAAAATTTATGTTAGGTTACACGTTCAGCGATTTCACATCCAGCCAATATTATAAAAGGTAAAACTAATTATTGAGAGCTCTATAACTCGAACCTCGTTAAGTCAAAATCCTCAGTAAGTCGAAAAAAAAATGCCAATCCCTTCCGCTGAACCCTCGACCTACGCGGTATCTCGAATTATTTACATACCTTTTATGTAAGTCGAACAGAATGTTTATAATAACAAATACATATTTATACTCTATAACTCGAATTTCAAAAAGGCATTTAATACCCCGGCAGTAGTAGTTACTAAAATACAATGACGTCTTACTTAGAATATAACGAAATATATTGTCCCGTACCTGAATAGAATTCAAAATGAATGTTCGGGTTCAAGGCTTCTGATCTCTTTTTGTCTTGTACACATGCAATTAATGAATACATTCATTAAACTTTCTAAGTAACACAGCTGTGAGCGTTATGTTTGTTCCTTGTCGACACAGGATGAAGAAGATAACGGATTTTTAGTGTACAGTTTACTTCACTAATGTGTAATTTGTTTTAATATGTAAAAAATATATAGGTATGTACCATAAAACTTAAGTTTAATTGTTATTCAAATTTGACTCTACAAATCGAAAAATATACCTAGGTATCATATCATATATAGGTACCTCCAGGTAATGGTTTTCTTTGCGTGCTTTGTACGTGCTTTTGGTAATACAAGTAAACTTGGATGACGAAGACTACGCTTACTGACAAGAGATTTTTTTAATAAATATAACAACACTAGATGACCCGCGCAACTTCGTTTGCGTCTCTCAATAGTAATAAATTTTCTCCGTTTTTTAAACATTCTTCATTGGTGCTCCGCTCCTATTGCTCTTAGCGTGATGATATATAGCCTATAGCCTTCCTCGATAAATGGGCTATCTAACACTGAAAGAATTTTTCAAATCCTATCATCACCTAAACATAGTTCCTGAGATTAGCGCGTTCAAACAAACAAACAAACAAACAAACAAACTCTTCAGCTTTATACTGTTAGTATAGATTAGATTGGATAGTTTTATCCATAATTTTGTAAAACTATTGTATGGTAATTTATATTATGGCCAATTATTGCAGTTTCAATTGATTTTAAGATTACTGCTCCCCTTTTAAGGGTCGTAGGATAATATTCTCTCTTTGGATAATCCCAATGTAAAAAAAAACATTATCAGTTCCAGAAATTAGTGTGTTTGACCAAAAAGGATAAAACATAAATATATATAAATGAGTATAGATAAAATATGATTAAGTTTGATACCTATAGTTGAATTCATAAGTATATTCTATAAATTTGTTTTAGTTAATATCATTGGCCAGTCTGATTTTAATTGTATTGATTTATACCTTTTTACTTATTATGATTGTTGACTCTTACAGTGGACATACCAAGCAATGGTACACGAGCTACTGACGATCAACAACAACCGAGTAAGTCTGGCGCATCTGCCTGAAGTGCACAAAGACTTCAAAGAAGTTGTACTCTCTTCTGAACAAGACGAGTTTTATGCAAAGGTTTGGAGATTTTGTTTACATTATTTTTCTTTGTCTTTCAACTCTGACAACTGTTCGAATTTTTGTATTTAATTTGCTATCGTTTGTCTCTTGTGAAACGTTGTTGGTTCTAATTTTTTTGGCGGGCTTCTTTGTCTAGTGACCCTGACTGCTGAGCCGGTAGTCCTGGGTTCGATTCCCACCCGGGACAAATATTGTGTGATGAGCACGGTCATTTTTTTTGTGTCTGGTGTAATGTATGTATTAAAAAAATATATAAGTATGTTTATCAGCAGTCTGGTTACCATAGCACAGGCTCTGCCTAGTTTGGGATCAGACGGCCAGGTGTTAGATGTGTGAGATGTATTTTTATTATTTCATATACGACGATGGTGGGTAGACAATAGAATTTAGACCATGACTGGCCTCAAAGAAGTTCGGTGTGCTGACTCGAATCGTCGATAGCGATAGTATATATCATGGAGAGTGCTCCGAGGAATTGTTCGCACTAGTACCGGCCGCAACTTTCCGCCATCGATCAACACGGAAAAATCTACCTTGTGCGCTTTTAAAACACTTCTTGCCTCTTACAACTAATCTATAGAACAAGTTATCGTCTGCGGTATTTCCGGAACGATACGACTTTTAAACCTTCCAGAAAAGAGCGTACTCCTTCCTAAAGGGGCGGCAATGCGTTTGTGACTCCTGAGTTGCAGGCGTTCATGGACGGCAGTAGTCACTTACCATCAGGTGATCCGTCAGCTCGTCTGCCACTCTTTCATAAAAAAAGTCGTTAAGCGTGCAGTGATTTGGCTATGGGGGTCTGAGGTATCAGTTCATTTTAGAAAAGGGGTCTCTTGCCCAAAATAGACCGAAATAGGTATTCCCTGCTGTTCCCTGCTGTAGTAGATATCGCACTGGGTCACGCGTTATGGGAACGTGCTCTAGTCGAATTTAATCAAAGGATTTGATTAGAATTACACACCATGTTACTACTGCTACATCATGTTATTCAATTATCTATCAATATTCACTTCGACTGCACGGATGGCGTACTGGTTTAAGCGGTCACCAGGCCGCTTCCTGCTACGCCGAGTGTTGTAGGTTCAAACCCCACATGGGACGACACTTTGTGTGATCCCCAAATTGTTGTTCTGAGTCTGGGTGTTCTTTGTGTCCGTTTCATGTATGTTTGTAAAGTTCCCCCGATATATCCCTAATGCGGGAGTTGTCTTTTCAACTCTTTCATAAAAAAAATTAAGGTTTTTTGCTTCCCTAAATGTTCTGTGACTTATATAACCAACTCAAATACACTAGTGCTTCCCTAAAAATATTACGGTTTACCTCTTCTGGTGTGACAATCAGTTGACGATAGGGTCGAGATGGGATAATGCTTAAGTACACTTTATTTTAATTACGAATCCAGTATTTAGTATCAGAAATATAGAAAATACCTTAAATCATGGTAAAACATTATACTTACAGAATCTCTATTCCAACTTCGGCGAGATAGGACAAACAATGAAGTCATTGATGGATGAATTCCAGAAGAAAGCGAAGAGTCATCAAAAAGTTGAGAGTATTGCTGATATGAAAAATTTTGTTGAACAATATCCTCTATTCAAGGTATGTAAAAAAATATGCGGTCTAATGACCCAGATACTCCAACTCTGATGAAAATAAAACCTTTTTTATTTTGCGTAGAAAATGTCGGGTACGGTGACCAAGCATGTGACTGTTGTGGGCGAGCTGTCCGCGTGTGTGACTCGACACAATCTACTGGAAGTGTCGGAGCTGGAACAAGAGATAGCTTGCCAGAGCGATCACTCTAAACATTTACAGGTTTGATGCCATCTAAGTTTAAATTGTCTGTTTGATTTTATGATTGTGGATACCACGACATTTTTAGGTCTAGATTCTAAACTACAGTGGGGCCCACATATTGATAAATTATCGAGTAGACTCAGCTCAGCAGCATTCGCAGTAAGACGAATTCGAGGATTGACTGATGTTGATACAGCAGGACTTATTTACTTCAGTTATTTTTATAGCATAATGTCGTACGGTATTCTACAGTCTGAGAATGCTGCCGACATTCAAACTATTTTTGTACTGCAAAAGAGAGCGATTTTAGCACTTTATAATTTAGGCAACTGTTTTTCATTGAGGCAGATATTTAAAGAAATAAACATAATGACAGTGGTATGTCAATATATATATGAAAATGTATACAATATATATGTTCATAAAAACAAGGATAGCTTTTTGAAAAAAGTAATGTATATTCTATAAATACCAGAAATAGAAATACACTTGTAGTACCTGCCTCTAGACTCCAAAAGATAAATAAGTCGTTTCGAGGTCAATGTGTTCGATTTTATAATAAAATCGTTAACAATATTCAAGACTGTCAATTACAAATTTAAATACGCAATAAAACGGCAATTATTTCAGAAGGCATATTACAATTGTTGATTACATAGAAGACAAAAATGCTTGGGATTAATTTATCCCAGGCTATTTCTTAAGTGGAAATGTGAAGTGGGCTTGGGTGTTTTTTAATATTTTTCTTTTCTATTTTTTATGTTTCATTTCACTTTCTCTTTTATTCGATCTTTTTTCCAAATCTTATTTTCTCTTTATTGGCATTTTACGTTTTAGTCCTTAGCAAACGGACATACTCGAACCCCTTGGAAACAGGCGGTTGTAGATCAGCACAGGCATATCGTAGATTTTGTATAATTTTAAATAAATTTATTTTCCTATTTGACAAAACAGAGATTGTTGCTATTGTGTGTGTGTGTTGATCTACGACTTTAGAGTATACATAAAAGACAATTTCAAACAATTAAAAAAATATATGAAATAAAGTTATTTTGAATTTGAATTTGATAGGAACTTATCATAAACACTTATATAATTTCTGAGGGTGGTCACTTATTCCTAAGACCCTAGGATAAGTCAAATATTTTTAATTAACATTTTTACCATAACAATAGTTTGAATATTTATTTACAGCGTTTAAAGAACCTGCTATCAAACGCAGCAGTCCGACACCACGACGCTGCTAAACTGGTAGGTCTGTATGCCCTCCGATACGAAAAGCATGCCAGCAATGCTTTACCTTCACTCATCGAGGCTCTCAAGAATAGAGGAGTCTCGGAGCAGCTCATCAAAAGTGTTATCAATCTCTTGGAGTACGGAGGAGCACACGCCAGGCAGAGTGATTTGTTTGGTCTGCAAGATGCTGTCAAAATTACCAAAAGACTGTTTAAGGTATGTTAAAGATATGTCACTACATGTAAGTCCACCAAACGGAGATGTCCCTTGATCTGAAAACTGCTGATATCTTCAAGGGTATACTGTAAGATATCTTCAAGGGTCTCTAAAACTGGCCATTATATTATTATTCTTTATTGATATTCAACTGCAACAAAATAATATTAACAGTAGCATCTACGATATCTTTTCACTTACATTAACATTTGGTTTATATGGAGTTCTTCACACAACTCCGACTCCGAAAAATACAGAAGATCTAAATCTCGTAACAAATCTCCTTACTTCAGGTAATTGGCCTATGACAGTCCGTTGCTGAACATGGGTCTCTCTCAATGTATGCATAGCATTTGCCTTCCACATCCTGTCCATCCTAGCTACCTTATTTCAAGTCGTCAGTTCATCTGGCTTGCATTGATGCGCAATCTCCTCAGCCTACTTTCTGAATATATATTGAATAGTTATTTCTAAAAGACGCAAAAAAAGAACCATTATCCTAATATAAAATTGTTTTGCTTATCTAGGGTCTGAACGGTGTGGAAAACATATACACACAGCACACACCGCTCTTGAAAGATACGCTAGAAGATTTGATCAAAGGGAAACTTCGAGAAAATCTTTATCCAACTATGGGAGGCGATGACGGTGCTTATGGGCGAAGGCCACAAGACATTTTTGTGTTTATCGTAGGGGGCGCTACGTACGAAGAAGCCTTGTGCGTACATCAGATCAACCAAACATATCCTGGAGTCAGAATCGTGCTTGGAGGCACAACCGTGCATAATTCTACATCGTTCTTCGAAGAAGTGAAGGCGGCTATGCAAGGCGTTCATAGAACACATACAAGACATATTAGAAATGTGTAAGATTGTGCGCCACCGATGGTGCTGTAGGTTTTTAAGATATAAAAGTATTTATTTCAGAAGTATTACAGAAACTTCATTCGCTGGTCTGTACGTAACAAACAACAATAATATTTTGTAATTCGGGTTACATTTGGTAAAATGTAAAAACACAACAAATGTAGATTCTCGAGTTAGTCCGCGAATACCGTTGCGTAACCGTTTTTACTGTTCTATATTTTGTTAGCATATAGTAAGGTCACAGTACATTGGTGACGAAAAGAAACGACAAGACCCTTGGCATGTTAGAAGCCCGACGGGATCGCTCTAAACATGGTTGGCATATCTTCATGATATTTAAGAGGAGCGCCACGTATCATACCAACCAATTTTGGCAAATGTGAGTTGAAAATGACGGTAGTGTAAATATCACAAATGTGTATAATAATAATTAAATCGTAAATTTATTTATTTCTTCCGGAACGTAGTTATTTAAGCATCTTAGAGAGAAGTCAATAGAACACACAAAGCCCTCAAAAGAGAACCGAACTTAAGAGTAGTCCTTATAATATCAAGACAACCTTTCTAGTATTTACTAAATGTACTATTAACATACAAACTATATACGTGTTTAAAAACGACGTAGGAAGGTACCTATTAGTGATGGATTAATTAGTCTTCACACACATTTAATTGTGAATTCTTAATTAGCAAATTAATTGTAGTCGTGAAATTTTGTGAACGTATGAATTAAAACGTACACGAAATTTCGTCGCTTCATTCGTTTACGCTTCACATTCACACAGCGCGTGCTTTTTCATTTGCATCAACTCGAACACTAACTTTCATCGTAGTGCTAAAATATGAATACAACATTTAAGTAACTATTTCGCTCGGAACGGTGACCAAGCGCGGCGCGATTGATTCTATATCTGAGAGTGCAAATGATTTTATTGTCTATTTTAAAAGAAATGCACGTTAGGATAGGATTAGGATTGTTTATTGCATTAATATATTTTTAATATTATTCTTAAATTATATTATTTTTAATACCCGAATATTTTATTTGTGTTTATTATGGCCGTGGACGTATAAAAAAAGTCGGACGGAACTCCCGCTAAGACAAAATTGAGGCACCGTAATGGCAGCAGGTCTCTATGAGAATGAATTTAGGGCTTACCCAAATTTTATTCCGCAATTATTTTTCTTAAATGACAGACAGACGACAGACGAGGCAGACGAGGAGACGGGTCACCTGATGGAAAGTGTTTGAAGGTCGTACCGGTCCGGAAATACCGCAGACGATAACCCGTTCCACAGATTGGTTGTGCGAGGCAAAAAGTGTCTCGAAAAGCGCACAGTAATGGAGCACCAACTATCCAGTTGATGACGTTGAAAATTTTGCCGTGTGGAACGATGGCGGAAATTTGCGGCTGGTATTAGTACGAACAGTTCGTCGGAGCACTCTCCATGATATATGCGATAGAGAATGCAGAGTGAAGCCACATCTCTACGTAACGCCAAGGGATCAAGCCGATCGACCAACGAAGATCGACGATTCTAGTCGCTCTTCGTTGGATGCGGTCCAGAGAGAGAAGCTGGTACTGAGGTGCCTCTGCATAGAGATGCGAACAGTATGCCATATGCGGCCGGACAGCGCCTTATAGAGCTGAAAGCGGTGGGCTAGAGTGAAATACTGCCTCGATCTGTTCAGCACACCGAGCTTCTTCGAGGCCAATTTGATCTTACCTTCTAAGTGACCTCGAAACTGGACTTCGCTCGATATTACGATGCCTAGGATTCCGATGTTGGCTGAGGCAGTTAGGGAGGTGCTCTCAAACCGAGGTGATACGACAAATGGTATCTTCTTTGCGGTGAACGCACAGACCTGTGTCGGCTTTTTTTATATTTAAAACATTTATTTTGTGTTCTATTCCGGCCAAAGTATGTTCGGATTCTAAGTTTTCTTCTCTAAAAACTCTCTTCTTTTCTAAAAACACAATTTCATTGCCAGTTTTTGTGAGAATGTGTTTGTGTTTTCTTTCATTTTCACCATTACAATTTATAATTATTTGAATCCAATAGTTTCTCCATACCCCATTTTCCTTAGTAAATTTAGTCAAAAAATATAAAATAAAATACCTTAGTAGTAACTAATAAGTAAATAACCTTAATAAATTGATTTTAATAAAAACCCGAAAATTTCCTATATTTCGGGTAATTTTCACACGTGAAAATTGTCAACTCAACTCGGCTTATAATGAATTCTTTTGTTCTAGAGAATGAAGATTGATTTTAATGTATAAAGTCTGGAAAAAAGAAAATACCTATTTCTTAGCGTTTCATGAATTCACCGTGCGGGTGCCGGGTCCATCCATTCGCGTAATAGATGGGGGCAACACATGCGACAGCGCCTGGGACTTCGACCCAGGTATACGTTTAGGGAGGCGACGCGTCAGCGCTTACCTCCACTGTCTGCTGTGTTACCCCCTCTACCTAACCATATTTGACACGAACCTAGCAATGCCGCTTTGGATATTTGTTCAAGAAAAGAGCTTACTGAATCTCTTGGCAATCCAAGGTCTTTAAGCAGGTTATAGAGGGGTTTAGCTGGTATACCCCTCGCACCCACTTCTAAGGCATACAACGCAACAACATAACCATTTTTAGTTATTTCATTTACCTACGAAATGTGATGCCTGGATCATCTCTCGATGTTTGCGCGCGTAATGTCTGACTAATGTGTGCGTGCGTGCCGGCCTGTACGTACAGCGAACTGGCCGACTATGAGTGACACAGTTTTTTGTTAGCGAGACCATGTCCGACTTTTTTTGTACGTCCATGATTACGACTTAGCATTAGCAAGTGGCCGGCAGATTAGGTATTGTTTTGAATGACGTTGTTGTTTTGACTATTTCTCGAAATGTTTGTTAAATTGTTTAAAGTTGTTAATTGCCCATACCTACTTTAAATTAAACTTCTTATTAACAAATACTATATAGGTACCAATTTAAGTTTTGAAGAGTATGACGCGTGCGTTGTTAGTAGGTATTTTATGAATAGATAGGGATATTTTTGTGAATGGATACCTAGTGTTAAGTGACGAATTGTCGAAGGCTAGCATATTGTGAACAAACCTTATATTGCATTATTTCTGTAATTGAGAAAATAATATAGCAGCCACTTTTGATCGCGAAAGTCGCGGTGAGTTAAATAAAAATGAGTTAATTATGTAAAATTAATACTTAGTGATAGGTATACCTCCAAGTTAGTATCGTTTTCATGTGATCTCCTTGTACCAAATTGCAATATTAGCAAATTATATTAGCATTAGCAATTAACATGCTAAGGCATAAGAATTCGCAATTAATTAATTTAAATCTAATTGACATTAATGCCCATTACTAGTACCTATGTATCAATGGATGTCCTGAAGAAAAACATTTGTAACGTTTTTTTGGTTAATTCCAATTTAAAAAATAAGAATTAGAAAAGTAACTAAGTACTTCAGCATACATTTTTATTTTGACTGTCGTGTAAAAAAATAAATTTCAATATTTATAACTTACCATGATTTACTTATATGCTGTTTAATAAAATTTATGTAAATATTAAAAATATCTGTTACTATAAAAGTATCTGTGAAATATAGACCTAATATTTATTGGCCCTATTTTGCTGTAAGTTATTTTATGTCGCTATACTCTATGTCTATTCGTTAGGTATTTCCTTTTTGCCAAAGCTTCTTGAGGAACGTAACCTAATCGTGGTTTAAGTATAATTTTACAATACAACCAACCAGTTTTGTAAAATTATATTTAATCGCGATCTTACAAAATGTAAATTATCTATACATCTATCTATTATATAGACATTGTAATACTGTACATATGTTTATTTAAACGATTTTTGTTGGATATACCTAACAAAAAAAAGTTGCGTTCTATCATTCGTAGTAATGTGAAGAAATGTTATTGCTACGTCCTCAGGAATCAATATGAACTTTTTATTATAATTTTTTTTATATAAAGTAGTATTACAATTTACGGAACAAGTTTTATCTATCTGTCAAAAAAAAACAATTAATGGACATAGTATAGGAATTAACTTATTATATAAAAAAAATCAGTAAAATAAACTTTCTTTCTGAATTTTGTTTCTTTCAACTAATCTTCGCAGCAACCACATTTTATTTATGCATCATTAAGGTTGACGAACAGAGAAATTCGTAAGCATTAAGTCCGCCTTTATATCTTTTGGGTGTCGGTGTCCTTTGTTAAAGCTACTTTCGCAAGTCAATGTTTTGTTAGGGCTTATGCAGCGTGTCACGCGACTTCGGTCGCACCGACTTGATAGAACGTATATTTCTATATAAAACTATTTGGCTGTGACAGTGCAGCGTGCCCACGACTGATGACGAATGGTCGCGGGACTCAGTCCAGTATGACAAACTGAAAGGTGATCAGCTGCAGCACACAAGTAAAGTTTGGTAATGAGAATCGCAGCCAGCTAACCGATTGGACTTTCACCAATATTGTTATTCAAATAAGCAAGACTGACTGATGGCTGATAACACGGATGGCGTTGTGGTTTAAGCGGTCACCTCGCCGCTCCTACTGCGCTAAGTGTTATGGCTTCGATTCCCACATAGGACATCACTGTGTGATCCACAAATTGTCCTGAGTCTGGGTGTATTTTGTGTCCGTTTCATGTAAGTTTGTTAAGTCTTCCTTAATATGTGAAGCTGTCTAGTGTGAGCTGTATTTAAATAAAATGAATTGTTGGTTTAAAAAACGAACAAGAACCATTTTCTGCTGTCCTCAACAGATTTTCTTTGGCAACTATTGACGTTTTACTTTGTGTGCGTTACGATTGCTCAGTCACGTTATCCAAACAGAAAAAACTTCTACGAAAATTTGTCAAAGTAGAAATAAATAAAGAAGTAATAAGGGTTTAAAGTTCACGGAGATTTCAGCAACTACTTCAGATGAAATTATTTTTGTTTATTGAAGACTGATTTTGTC